GTGTGTGTGTTTGCTATTCCTTAGTTACAAATGGAACCACCTCTGCTTACATTTCCAGAAAATTATATTATGGTGAAAGCCAGAGGATTTCCAGAAAAAGGTACCATATGGTAACATTCTATCTCCTCTCCCTCTTGCATTCTAGTGGTAAGACACTGTCCTCCATCAAGGAGTCTCATGTGTACCGGATGCTCCAGGATGACCAGGAGAGGCCACATGAACCGCGTCAGTCAGGCTCCTTTAAGGCTCTGCAGGAACACGTGGAGACTGATGGTGAGATAAATCCAAGCACACAGGTTGGGTAGAAACAGATTACATGTAACGGGGATTGACACTTTCACACAGCAGTAAACAAATGTTTTGTGCGTTAATAGGAGTAAAGCCATTGATTACTAGGAGTGTCAGAGCTCCAGTGACAAGGCCTCCTCCACCGGCGGGATCGCTACAGAAACTACCCCTCTGTGACAAGTGTGGAAACGGCATAGTGTGAGTACCCACTATCCAGACTGACTGATAGGAAATAAGGTACTGGAGTGTCATGGTGCTGCCCTCTCCCAATGACCCGTCTGATCCTGCCCCCGCCCAATGACCCGTCTGATCCTACCCTCTCTCAATGACCTGTCTGATCCTACCCTCTTCATGTTCCGGATAATGACTAAACCAAAAAGAATGTATTAATAAACCACTAAGGACCTCCACTAAATTATACACATGTGAACAGGAAGGTAATGAGAAACCATGGCAGGAATGTTTTTGCGGCAAGGAAACACAAGATGACAGTGTCAACCTTGCCAAATCTGTCCTCTCTCATCTTTTGGTTTTGGGGGATGAAAGTAAGAAGTACATGAAATGATTGAGTAAGAGAATATACCTGCCTCAGATACTTTTGATGTGGTGGGGCACATCTGCTGTTGGATAAGACCAAGGTCTAAGTGGGGTATGATTAGCGCTATGATGGTTTTGGATCCATAAATCTATCTGGATGGCAAAGTATAACATCCTGCCTAGGCTAATTGCGCAAAGTGCATAATAACAATAATTTTGAGCATTGGGAGGAAGTGTCTGGTAGACAAGATTAGGCAAAGTAAGACAGTAATCTCTCTTGTCCCCTGCTCCCCTGCTCCCAAAGTAAGACAGTCAAATCTCTCTTGTCCCCTGCTCCCAAAGTAAGACAGTTAACTCTCTCTTGTCCCCTGCTCCCAAAGTAAGACAGTTAACTCTCTCTTGTCCCCTGCTCCCAAAGTAAGACAGTCAACTCTCTCTTGTCCCCTGCTCCCAAAGTAAGACAGTTAACTCTCTCTTGTCCCCTGCTCCCAAAGTAAGACAGTTAACTCTCTCTTGTCCCCTGCTCCCAAAGTAAGACAGTTAACTCTCTCTTGTCCCCTGCTCCCAAAGTAAGACAGTTAACTCTCTCTTGTCCCCTGCTCCCAAAGTAAGACAGTTAACTCTCTCTTGTCCCCTGCTCCCAAAGTAAGACAGTTAACTCTCTCTTGTCCCCTGCTCCCAAAGTAAGACAGTCAACTCTCTCTTGTCCCCTGCAGAGGCACAGTGGTGAAGGCCAGAGATAAGTTCCGCCACCCTGGATGTTTTGTGTGCTCCGACTGCAAAGTCAACCTGAAGCAGAGGGGCTACTTCTTTGTGGAGGGGCAGCTGTACTGCGAGACCCATGCCCGCGCCCGGACGATACCTCCAGAGGGACATGATGTCATCACCGTTTACCCCACGGCTTGAGACCCGTGGACCGGGACATGCACAGACCTGTCCAACTGGAGCAAGAACTGAACTGTCCCCATCTCATACAGAATATTTCAGGACAAAATACATTATATATGGTTCCACAAGCTGCACAGTGGATAAGTCATACTTAACAGATGTGGATAAGTCGTTTATAAACTTAACAGATGAACAGATCATATCAATACCTGTGGACATTATGATGCAATTGGGAATTTGCTTATCACTGCCAAAAATGCAACCATTTATCTTTTTAAAAAGGAATAGGTTTGTTATGCCTTGTGAATACCAACTGTGCCTTGTGATTTAAAGGTTTTCTGAATATGTTACCATTGGTAATAAAAAAATAATACAAATGTATTATCTTATTTGTGTCATGTCATCTATTATTACCACCACATGATATTGATGCTCAAGATAGTCTTCGTTAAACTAGTCAGCATTAAACTACACTGTAAAAGTTCAATCAGTCAACAAAAAGCGAATCAGAATTTCAAAGCATGCCTTTAATACGTCAATAAAGTCCAACAGGAGCCGGTTGTCTATTTGTTAGGAGTTTCCATGGAGACTCATAAATCATTCAGTGCAGGTCAGGCATCATGGTGGGGCTTCCAGCTTACACACTCAACAGGACAGCACCATTTCTTAGTGTTATACTGGATTTTTCAAAAACTTAAAATGTCAATGTGAAAGATAATTAAAATATATTGATATTTGAACAACATAATTCAGTACACCCTCAGATAGCAAGTTTTCACATCAGTATGCCATCACAGATGGTATATTCATGGTGTAGTTTGCAGAGTGCACTGCCCTGAAAAACCAAAGACCCAAACAGTCAAACACAGTGGCCTAAAACTATTATTCTGTCTGAGAGGATATGGATGGCCGAAATGGAGTCTCACCTGTTCACATTAACATTGATGATGCTCTTCACAGGGGTGCTCTTTGGCCCGGGAGATGGGTGGAATACCTTTTCTTCCTTATTCACGGTCACAGACTTGGATCTCCGGGTGATGTAGGGGTCAGCAGAGTGAGACGGGTAAATGTCAAACGTACCTGCTTTCATGCCGCCGATCTAAAACAGAGAAAATCTCCTCATAAAATCTCCTCCTATTACACACACACTTGTAATAATAAATCATAAGGTCTGTTGTCTGTCTCCTCTCTGCACTTTCACCCTTTTGTTTGGTGAGCTGGGTTTGAAGGGAACCACAAATCTCTTCCTCTCCTCCAATCTCTTCAGAGGCGGCAGAGGCTTGTCCAGTTTGTACGGGTTGTTGTCGAAACATTCCTTTGGGTGGAGGTTCAAGTGGAAAGCACCACCTTTCAGCATAGCTTTATGGCTTACTGCGTCTTTCTGGAAAAACATACATTCCCCTGTATAGTTAGAGAACGCATGTACCTCTGGATATAAATTATTATCTTGGACACTGTTTCAACCATAGAATTACATATAGAACATTGAATAGGATCTCTGTGTTTTCAACACCACTATTCTCCAGGCCGCACACCTTCAACATCTCATTCGCTCTGTCATAGGGGTCCGAGGAGTAAGGGTCAACTTTGGACAGGGTGACATTCGGATAGCTATGGGACAAAAGGATTCATCACTATCCATGCATGAAAACATAATACTGTCCTGTTAAGTACAGTGAAACAACACAATGGTTGCATCCCAAATGGTCCCTTAATCCCTACATAGTGCACTATATAGGAAATAGGGTGCCATTTGGGACACATCCCATCATCTACAGACATACTGAACCTGTATCCACTTCCCCTCTTGGGCGGGTTGGTAAGGATGTTCTTGCCTGGTGGTTTGCACGGCTTCCTGGGGACCTTCATAGGACTCATGGACTGGATGGGACCACTCAGAGTTCCGTAGTAGCTGCCAACCCCTGACCTTGAATAATGGGAGCAAGCCAAGTTCTGGCATCAATCGCTGCATGCCACTGTGCAAGCAGACTGTCTGAGAAATGCAGTATAGTTTGTTCAGGTCTAATTTAATTGGGCCCCAGTCATTTCCATGGTGTCAGCTCTCTGGCTGTGTGGCTGGTCCCTGGTTCCCGGCCTGTGTCCCAAATGGCACACTATTACCTATATAGAACACTACTTTTGACCAGGGACCACAGGGCTCTACTACCCATTGGGCTCTGGTCAAAAGTATAGCACTATGTAGGGAATAGGGTGTCATTTGGGCCACAGTCCTGGTCTCTGAGTTGATTAGGGCCAAACAGAAACAATATGTTTCTCTGAATGGTAGAGGAATACAGAACGCCTTACGCAGCTGGGGAACAAACTGCATGACGGAATGGAAACGGAGCTCTGGAGGTCCTTCTCATCTGCTGATTCAAATTAAGCCTGTAACCATGTCAACCTCAACTATTTCACATAAATTACATAGTCTGTTTTGGTCAGGGAGATCCATTCTTTATTTGCTTTCATCTTAAAGTCTCTTAACGTAATCAAGATCATCACCAAAACAAGGGGCTCATGTCTATGGGCTGGCATTATGCACCATCTGTTCTAAAGCAGCCTTTTAAAGTCTTGTTAAGCCTAAACCTCAAGTAGATGTGTGCTCTTCCATTAACCATATGATCTGTGAATTATTATTTTTGAACTCATGGCTTACGGTTTCTTCTCTCCATTGCTGGGGAGGAAGGCGCTACCTACGTTCTTCTTGGACTGCTGACTCCTGTATTGCCGGGCGAGCCTCACAGGGTCTGTGAGGGCTTCTCTCTCAAAGACCCGCTTAAAGTGAGTGTCAAAGTAGCCCACTTGTAACCCTGACCTCTTCTTGGTGGCCCCACCAGTTAGTAGCTGTTTACCCTTCTGAGCAGACTCATTGCAAGGACCTTAAAGGGTAAGTGAAATGGGATTAAAGTTACATTTTTTTACCATAAATATTACAGTCAACTATCTCATCCTGCCTTACTTGTCTGTATAGACTTCAATAGTGTGAAATATCTATAATCTAATTGAAATCCCTTGTCCACTGTCATTACCTAGACATGGTGTACTTACGGGGAATAAAAGGGGTGTATTTGTCCCCAATGGAGATGTATCCCATTTCCTTGAAGACTCCAATCTTCTCCATATCTGACTTCCCTCCTTCTGGGGGCATCTTTAGGGAATAACAGTGAGCACAACCACCAAAGACTATTCAATGTAATTGCTACCGTTGTAAAGCAAATGTTGACCATTTGTATTATCTTCAATTGTTATACTGGGATTATTTTCTCAACCCTTGATGAACTCTCCGCGGTTTATCTATCATGGGATGACACCGTTGAAAATTCCATAATAATAATCCAACAATAGATACTCTTTAGTAAATAACTAAACTTTAAAATACCGTAGTATTTTAAAATATAAATCTACCTTTAATTCGCTGGTCTTCGATCTGCAGATTGGTTTATGAAATTATGAATTGTTCTCGTTCCTGTATCTGTGTACAATGTGTTACCTTGGCGTCCGTTGTGCACAAACGGGGAGAGAGGAGGGGTTGTAGCTATCGTCTTTGCGCAGAATATACGGATTATATCTAGCCATGTAGCCAATGCCTTTTTACTTGACAGTAAAATAAAAATATAATTTACATTTTCACTTGGCATATGGCAATATTAAAACATCCCGTTTGAGGTTGAGGGGTATCTCTCTAAACTCTAACTCTGAATACTTCTCCATGCAACGGTAACTCACACACTGCACAATCACCTGTTTTACCATGGTAATATAATTTAATCTGAAACAAGAGTAAATCAGTTATTTCTCAATTTGTTTGTCTCACTTGCAAAAAAAATTTGAGTTTCCAACTAAACATGAACGGAATTACAACATAGCCTAGGCTTAATTTGGAAATGTACCAGGGGTCACACAGTTTCAGCAACAACAAAAAATATGGGCAATCGGTTATTTTATTATCAATGTTTATTGATAGGCCGAAATGGCAAAGTATCAATCCATTCTAATAATCCAATAGGCGAATATTATAACAGGCCTAATCAAACGTTGTGTTGTGATAATAATAATTGTCATTGTTACTGTTAGCACATACTAGTCGCACACATCTACACACAACAATAGAGTAATGTGATTTACTGAACGCACAGTATTTGCATCACAGTATTTGTTTAGTAGTTGCTTAGTAACAGATTATATTGTGTGGTTGCAAAAAGCACACTGTAGACTTTATGCACACAAAATGAACAAACTGCGTGAAAGGTAAGTCAGAAAAAACGATCAATTTGGGTTCTTATTTTATGTTTTAAAGCGTAGGTGTATCCTGCCAAACAGATTGTAAAAATCTAGCGATGTATTGCAGGCTCTGAGGCAAGGGTATGAAGTCGGATTATAAAACCGAAGCTCCAAAGAAACACAGCTCAGCAAAGGTGTTTAGCGCCATCACGGATGTCTACCGAGATGAAGGGGTGAACCCGACTTCACACCAAGGTATTCAGCACGGGCTAAAACAAACAGTCAATTTAGATTTGGAAAGGTTCATGACCTCAGATCAGCTATTATAATGACGCACCACTGCTGTTGTTGTTGAGATGAGTAAGGGAATGGAAGGAAAACCATGGAAAATATTAACGTTTGTAGAGGCAATTGGACACAACAAGGTTTTGAGGCGGTGAATGGCCAGTTGGCTGCGACCTCTCTCATGGCTTTCCAAAATCGTATTGCTGTCGACATGCTCCTGGCTGAAAAAGGAGGAGTATGTGCTATGTTTGGTGAACAATGTTGTACCTTTATTCCCAACAATACAGCCACAGATGGCAGCTTGACTGTCGCCCTGGAAGGGTTACGAACTCTTAATGGCAAAATGAAGAGCCACTCAGGGGTGGACACTTCAATGTGGGACTCTTGGATGGATGCGTTTGGTAAATATAAAACGCTTGTTTCTTCTATACTTGTATCCATCTCTGTTTTTGCTGCAATTCTAGTGCTTTGTGGATGCTGTTGCATTCCATGCATACGGACGCTGACAACCAGGATTATAACCACCGCTATTGATCCACATCCTGCAGATAACGGTCAGATGTTTCCTTTGCTTGCTATTGACGATGCTGACCAAGGATATCTGGATGATGAATAGCATTTAAGCTTTTTGTCACGTCTCTTGTGAGACGTGAAGAGGGGGAATGTAAAACTTTATCTTCTGATAAAGTTTTCCCTATTTTGCCAATTGCAGCATTTAAGCTTTCTGTCACGTCTCTTGTGAGACGTGAAGAGGGGGAATGTAAAACTTTATCCTCTGATAAAGTTTTCCCTATTTTGCCAATTGCAGCGTTTAAGCTTTTTGTCACGTCTCTTGTGAGACGTGAAGAGGGGGAATGTAAAACTTTATCTTCTGATAAAGTTTTCCCTATTTTGCCAATTACACTGTTAGCTTGTGTCACGTCTTAAGTTTTCCTTCTTTACTGTTACTTGGTCACGTCTCTGGGGAGACGTGAAGAGAAGGGTTTGTCGTAGTAAATATATAATGTTATAGCTTGGTCTGACTAAAATCTTGTGCATAACCCATCTTGTGTTGGGCCTTTGGATTTAATACAATGCACAAAGACTTCTATCTTGTCGGCCTTATCAGCAGGTGGCTATGGACAACACCCACTCCATAGGTCTCTCAGTTCTCCCAAACTCACGAGTTATTGCTCTGAGGACATACACACACACACCCCCACACACACACACACATACACACACACACACACACACACATCATCATTGTTAAACATACACACATACACACACACACACATACACACACATACACACACACACACATACACACACACTCACACACACACACACATACACACACGCACACACACACACACACACACATCATCATTGTTAAGCACACACACACAAAAAACCCCTTCTCTTAGGCTGAACATCTGAAGACAGAGAACCCGACTCAGAGCCAATGCAATGGAAGTGACCTCGACCAACTCATCAGGACCAATCAGAAGATCAGAACTACTAGAATCAACCTACTTTATTTTATTGTATAAAATGTCAGCACACAATGTTTAGGGGCGCGCTCTCAGATATCTCCCTACGAGATTGACGAACGGGTCCGTGCACGCTATTTACAGATATCTTTACCTCTGAATAAACTGCCTTATATTATACAATCATCCACCTTGTCCGAAAGTCTCTACTTGGTCTCCGTTCTCCAGTAAACTTGTGATCATCAACAAGATCCAACTTTAATCGACCTGCAGTAGAATTGAAATCACTCAACACATATAAAGAATAAGTTAATTTCCCACAGTCTTTGGTTTCCTTCTATTCTGTAAAATATTCACTTTGTTTGCCTCAGATCCACAACAGTCTGGAAAAATGGGCGCTGGTTAAAAGTAATGCACAGAAACACACAACCTGCCAGTTGAACCACATGCTTTGTTCTCCTCAGAGAGCCTTGCCGCTCTGGTGGAGAGGGCTGAGAGGCTGCTGGAGGGCAGAGCTGAAGGGGGAGACAAGCAGGCCATTTTCCTGCTGGGACAGCTGTACTATTATGAGGTAACAGCTCTCACATTCATATATCATATGCCCACATTCTGGACAAAGAAATGTAGTTAGCCTGATATAATGGAGCCATGTGAGAGCCATTTCAGTAGTGCAGAAATACCAGTGAGGTATACTGATCTTGAGCGATGATGCCCTGGTTTTCTGACTGTACTCTACTGCTGGGCCAGGGGCGCTATGCGGAGGCAGAGAGAAGCTTTGACGGCATTAAGGACAACGACCCCAGAGCCCTCTTCCAGCTAGCTGTCATGTATTATGATGGCCTGGGCACTGCTAAGGATCATGTGAGTCAGGGTATTGATAGTGTTGTGCATTCTTCCTTGTTTGGTTTGCTGCGTTTCCGCCTCATATTAAATGACAATGGGTAACTGAAGAACCCCATGGAGCATTTCTAAAAACTGCTCGCTGTCACGCCTGCTACTATCATGTTATAAATCCAAACTACTGTATATCTACCAAACATACCTCATGTTGAGTAGTCTCCCTAGGCAGAAGGGTTGCCTTCCACAATGTAACCTGTTTGTTGCATTGGTCTGGGGTTTCTGAGACTACATGTTGAGTAGCCTGAGTCTGACGTGTGTTGTACTCTGCTCCAGCCCAGGGCAGTGGACTACATGAGGAGAGTAGTCCAGTGGAACAGCCCAGAGGCAGGCTCTATCAGATACACTGCTCTGTATCACATTGGCATAGCCTACCTGGAGGGCTATGGGGTCCAGCAATCCAATACAGAGGCAGAAAGGTCAGCAGAAACACACACACACTCAATGTTTGAGAGGTTTGCCAACTCCTGGAGAACTGTTGTGGTAGTGACCGTGTTTAATGTTTTCCTCACCCAGTAACTGGCTCCTTGCTGCTGATGAGGGAAACCCCAAAGCCTGTGTAAAAGCTCAGAGTTCACTGGGTATGTTCTACTCTAGACCTGAGACATAGGACCTTAAAAGGGTATGATGGGTTTACTGTACCCATGAGATGTTTCACCTTGATCAATAATTCAGTATTCTATTTTAACTATTCCCTTTCATAACTCTGTTTCCCCAGTGTGCACCCTATGCCCCAGGCGTTCTTCTGGCACTCAGAGGCCTGTGGCAATGGCAGTCTGGAGTCCCAGGGTGCACTGGGGATCATGTACTTGTATGGTCAGGGCATCCAGCAGGACCCCAAGGCTGCCATGGAGTGCCTGAAGGAAGCGGCTGAGCGGGGGAGTGTGTACGCCCAGGCCTACCTGTCTGCCTACTACTACCACAGGAAGCTCTACTCCAGAGCAGCAGGCCTTGCCAAAAGGTACTGTCATAGCTGATACAGTATATTCCCTGTTCTGTCCACACGTTGATTATCCACCACAATAATCACACGAATAAGTGTGTCTTTTTCAATCAATCTTCTTTTCAGACACGTTTTATAGTATCCTAACCAACAGCAATTTGATTTCCCTTTGAACCACATCCATCATGCCGTTGCTGGTAAAGTACCCCGTAGAGTGCCAGTCCCATCAGAGTTGTTCCAACAAGCAGTAAGACAGAGTCCTTGGAAGCAGTGGTTGTGTTGTTCATGTGGGTATGAGAGACGAGACACAGCCCGCAAAATACCACGGCAGTCTTTTTAGTTTCGTTGTAATTGAAAATTAAAATGAGGTGGAGAGAAAAGGCAGTTAAATACTTAAAACACTAACCATCTTCAGAATACTAAAGATGTGATAAATATGTATGGTTTGTTAGAAGTCAGAGGTATAAAAAAAAAAAAAAGAGATGCTGTGGCTAAAGCTAACCTACTACCCTCTATTTCCACAAGGAAAATGATTGAAGCAGTTATTAAATTGTAGACTAATTCTGCGGTGTGACACCTCAATGGAAAAATATATATTCCGATGTAAAATGTCAACCAACGGAGTGTATTTAAAGAAAAGTATTATTTGTATGCCAAAAGAAGTTGACGTTATCATCTTCCCACAATGAAAATGTAGAATTTCCAATTACGATGACATCGCTGCCATCGCCAGGGTCACTGACTGCCTGCCTGAATACGTCACTAAGGGCGTGGCCATTGCTCTTTTCTACTACGCCCGCTGTCTGGAACTGGGAAAGGGGGTTCCTCAGAGCAAGGAACAGGCCTGGCAATACTTCACTAAGGTGGGCACACACACACATTCAAATGTATGTAACTTATAAAGTCTTGTCTGTAAAATATTTTTCGTTATGTGTCGGACCCCAGTAAGACTAGCTGTCGCCATTGGCTAATGGGGATCCTAATAAATCAAATCAAATTCTGCTTGACCCTTTTGCCTGAAATAACGTAAGTATCAGTGAAGGCCAATTAAGATTTTCTCTCCATTCTCATCCTGGAAACTGGATTCTCTTTGACTAGGCTGCTCTGCTAAACACAGAAGTATGCAAGGACCTCCAGATGGACATCATCTTCAGCAGAATGTAGCAATCCACCATCATGACCCTAGTTAAGGAGTCCACATAGCAGTCTCCTCCGTTGCTTTGAGATGACCTGAGTAAATAACATCAGACCTGAATGCTTTGTGTTCAGTGTGCGGGTTTGGTATTGATAAGAGTATGTTGATTGTGTGCCCAGTGTAAATGAAGAAGTGTAAGAACTGTTAAATACCTATAGACTCCACACATTAGAACGGTGTTACCGGTACTACTCTGCATGAACCGGCGGTCCTTGAATTCAGATACAATTTGTAGCATCCAAATTCAGATGGTTCCAATCATTCATACAATTATGAGGAGCTTACATTGACAAAGAATTTGCCTAAAAAATATTAGCTAACAAGTCATACATTTTTCTTTTGCAATTTATTGCTTATAAATGCTCTAAACATTTTTTGGGTAAAAATAAAATCTAACAATAAGTCACAAATAAAATTGTCACAATGACTTTACATGACATATTGCACAATGAAGCCGTTCTACAATGAACATAATGTAACATATTGGTGGGGAATGTATTTGAGGTCAGTATGCAGCTTGTTTCTTCTATATATGAGCACAACACTCATCATTTCACAACTATTCACATTTTGGATCCAAAACAAAGTAATCAATCAATAGCCTGGCTTTCGGCAACAGACCTTGGCAGTGGGACTGATTTGTCATTTTCAGCTACTGGAAAAAAATTAAATAAACATGTAAGGTAGTAACAGGAACAGAAGCTTGTCTCCCTAGTTTGAGCACTACATAATCAAATGCATTCAGATAAAGGTAGGGCAGAATAACAGAAAAGACATCATCCATTCAGCTTCATCTCATCGTTTAGCATACCATGCTGGAACATTATAGTACCTCTGTGTTGATGTTACATTTGTCTTCATGATCTATCTGTTGAGTTAAAATTAAAAAATCAAGTTTGAACAAAAGATAATACATAATCCTTCAACGAGTGTCTCTCCCCTGAAAACCAAGACAACTAAAGCCATGTTGATCTCCAGGAGCACCTCCATTTCCTTCACTGAGTGTGTGTGTGTGTTAGGCTGAGGCCCCAAATGGCACCCTATTCCCAACAGTGCACTAATTTATGCCCTCTGGTCAAAAGTAGTACACTATATTAATGGCACCCTATTCCCAATCGTGCACTACTTTATGCCCGCTGGTCAAAAGTAGTACACTATACTAATGGCACCCTATTCCCTTTGAGGGAGGGAATAGAATGCCATTAGGGTTCTGCTCCACATTAACCACACTATCCTGTGTTGCATACGTATGGGCCTCGCCCCATCAGATTTGGTCCGTCTCCACGTTGAGTTCTGGACACAGCTCTTTGAGGATCATCTCCATCAGAACCTGAAACAGGGGCAGAGGAAACGTGTCAGGAGGCGATTAAACAATACCTCTCTTCAGCCTGGACTCCAATGAAAGAGTGTTCTGTGCACTTCGTTCCTATGCTTGCATGTATGAGAATGACTGACTCATCCGGTGAGGGAGACCCTCTTATGATGATGTCTTTGACCCACTGATACCTTCCCCTATTAGATGGAATGAGGCAACCACAGAATGAAATAGAACATGTAATATATATGTATCTCTATGGAGGCAACTTCACAGAGTATTCCACACAAATAACTTTATTGACATAGAGCAAATGGGAATACTTTTGGAATGTACACATACCCTTTCAAACCCATTCTCCCTCTCTTTGTGTGGTCTGACCTGCCAGTAATGAGATGCTGTTCTGAACTGAGCCACTAGGTGGCTGAGTTACATGTGTTTGTGAAATTCCCAACAGAATCGGGGTGGTGGCTCTTTCAAACAGCACGTTTTAGCATCCTTAGCCATTTCACAGATGGTGAGGTGAACTTACATAAAGTAGATGCTTGTTGGCATTGGCCTCCTGAAGTGCGTTGAAGATCTTGATGATCCCATACCTGGCATTCTGCTGTCCCACCAGGTTCTGTAGTGCATCTGAAAAGACAGTTAACACGCTGTATGTGGTTGTGCTACCTATCTTAGTCGAATGACCTGACTAAATCACCATGGATAAGAGCGCCTGCTAAATTACCAAAATTGTAAATGTAAAAATGTCCACATTCAGAGATCTAGCCACAGATACTAGTCACGCCTAGGTGCAACATGTCTGCAAAAATATCAAATAGGGGGTGCTTAAATTTGTCCTGTTTCACACATGTACCAGTTTGTAGCCTGCACAGTGTGTGGTACAATATACAGGAAACTGCCAAAATAAAGGAAACACTTGAGTAAATGAGGGATACAAAGTATATTGAAAGCAGCGTTTTCCACCACCATCAACAAAACACCAAATTACGGAATTTCTCATGGAAGGATGGTGTCGCATCCCTCCAATAGAGTTCCAGACACTTGTAGAATCTATGCCAAGGTGCCTTGAAGCTGTTCTGGCCCGTGGTGGCCCAATGGCTTGTTAAGATACTTTATGTTGGGGTTTCCTTTATTTTGGCAGTTACAGGTAGCTAAGTATTTTTGTGTTATTTATTTTACCCAGTCTGTTTTGCTCATCTTTATCAATAATCCAATTGAAGCAGAAACTTTTGTTTCAAGACCAATGCCAGACTCTCTCTCCCCCCCCCTCCTTCAGGACTGCCCACACGATTTGTACCTCTGCAAATGTATTAAGACATTTATTTGAAGAAAAAGGTCTGACTGAAACATTGATAATAGATGTGCAGAGATGACACCAGTATGGCAGGAAGGAAGACCTATCTGGGATATTGTCTAGCAGCTTCTGTTGTGGGGAGACCTACCTGGGATATTGTCTAGCAGCTTCTGTTGTGGGGAGACCTACCTGGGATATTGTCTAGCAGCTTCTGTTGTGGGGAGACCTACCTGGGATATTGTCTAGCAGCTTCTGTTGTGGGGAGACCTACCTGGGATATTGTCTAGCAGCTTCTGTTGTGGGGAGACCTACCTGGGATATTGTCTAGCAGCTTCTGTTGTGGGGAGACCTACCTGGGATATTGTCTAGCAGCTTCTGTTGTGGGGAGACCTACCTGGGATATTGTCTAGCAGCTTCTGTTGTGGGGAGACCTACCTGGGATATTGTCTAGCAGCTTCTGTTGTGCCCGCTCCTTGGTCTCCCGACGTTCAGTGTCAGACCGAGCCTTGATTTGGGGGGCCAGTTTTCCGTTGGGCCAGAAGGTGTCGCGGAAAATGTTGATGTAGCAAACAATCATCTGCTCACTGAAGATCCAGTTGACAGTGTCTCGAATCTGCCTGAGGGGGTAGGAGAGGGAGGGAGGGTTCTGACGATAGCCTCTGCATTACAGTAATAGCTTTCTATTCCCAACTGAAGATAGCTACTTCACCCATGTTCAGAGCACGGCCACAACAACCCATTGCAGTGCATATCCGGAACACCCAGTCTGATAGATGTGGTAAGCGTAACCCTAGTTGTGCAGTTTGACTTGTTAAATAAGCTAAACGATCTAAACCAGAGGGGTATCACAGAGAGATGGAGATTGATCCAAGAGTCTACAAACGCCTTGCATCAGTGTGTGAAACGTGGCAGGGTCAGAGTCTGGGGTAGCGTCCCCAATGGCACACTATTCCCTACATAGGGCGGCAGGTAGCCTAGCGGTTAGAGAGTTGGGGTCAGTAGCTGAAAGGTTTCTAGTTCGAATCCCCAAGCCAACAAGGTGAACAATCTGCTGATGTGCCCTTGAGCAAGGCCCTTAAACCTAACTCCAGGGTCACCGTTGATAATGGCAGACCCTGGCTGTGACCTTACTCTCCAAGGGTGTCTCAGGGGGAGTTGGGATATGCAAAAAAAACATTTACAATTCACACATGCATATAACATGACAAATATAAAATCCCCTACCTAATTATTATTATTACAACTTTTGACTAGAGCCCTATGGGTGAATAGGGTGAAATGAGTGAATCGAGTGCCATTTGGGACACAGCCTGGGAGTGTCTACGCACCATTAGAGACGTGGGTTAGGGTGCAGGATAACAGGATAAGACGATAACAGAACAGAATAAGATGATAACAGAATAAGACAAAAACACAACAGAATAACAGAAGACGATAACAGGATAAGACGATAACAGAACAGAATAAGATGATAACAGAATAAGACAAAAACACAACAGAATAACAGAAGACAATGACAGAATAATAGGATAAGACGATAACAGAATAACAAAATAAGACAACAGGATAACACAATAACAGAATAAGACAATAACAGAATAAGACAAAAACAGAATAACCTAACAGGATAACAGAATAAGACAATAACAGAATAACATAACAGGATAACAGAATAAGACAACTGGATAACAGAATAAGACAACAGAATAAGATAATAACAGCATAAGACAAGAGAATAACAGGATAAGACAATAACAGAATATGACAACAGAATAAGACAACAGAATAAGACCATAACAGAATAAGACAATAACAGGATAAGACAAAAACAGAAGACAACAGGATAACACAATAACAGGATAACAGAAGACAACAGGATAACAGAATAAGACAATAACAGAACAGGATAATAAAACAACAATAAGACAATGACAGGATAACAGAATAAGACAATAGCAGGATAAGACAATAACAGGATAACAACATAAGACAATAACATAATAAAACAATAACATAATAAGACAATAACAGGATGAGACAATAACAGAACAGAATAAGACGATAACAGAATAACAGAGCCCTGCCTGTCCTCTGATGAGATCACTCCCAGACATGTCACTCACTAACTGATCTCTCTCGCTCAACAGATAGCTGGAGTGTTTAAGTACAACACCACTCGCTGTCATATAAACCTCAACTTAGCCTGTTCCCAGATATGTGTGTGCTCCTTGCTTCACAAACTGGCAGGGAATAAGAGCAGAAATCTGATTTGAAATGTTCGTAAAGAGAGAGTGATGCTTACTTGTTTATGGTCCTTCCAAACGTGACTTGAACTAGTGCAATTAGAGTTTTTCGTACCCATTTGAACACTGAGAATAAAGGAAGACAAACAATATCACATTAGAGTGCCCAGTGGTGGAAAAAGTACTCAATTGTCATACTTGAGTAAAAGTAAAGATACCTTAACAGAAAATGACTCAAGTAAAAGTTACACAGTAAAATACTACTTGAGTAAAAGTCTAAAAGTATCTGGTTTTAAATGTACTTAAGTACAGTGGTAGAAAAAGTACTCAATTGTCATCATTGAGTAAAAGTACAAAGTAAAAACTATACATCAAATTCCTTATATTAAGCAAACCAGACGGCACGATATACTTATTATTTTTAATTACGGACAGACAGGTGCACACTCCAACACTCAGATATAATTTACAAACACAGTATTTGTGTTTCGTGAGTCTGCTAGATCAGAGGCAGTAGGGATGACAAAGCATTATATTGATAGGTGCCATAATTCTGTCCTGCTTGAGCATTCTAAATGTAACGAGTACTTTTAGGTGTCAGGGAAAAAGTATAGAGTAAAAAATACATTATGTTCTTCAGGAATGTAGTGGAGTAAAAGTAGTCAAAAATATTAATAGTAAAGTAAAGTACAGATACCCCAAAAAACTACTTAAGTAGTACTTAAAAGTATTTTTACTTAAGTACTTTACACCACTGAGAGTGCCAGACTGCTAGCAAGAGGTGACTGGACTAAATAACAGATCCATTAACAAAGTTAGAGTTCCAAGGCTAGTTTCCAATAACTACAAACTAGGATATAATCTATTCATTTCAAAATTGCTTTGGGCAATTCATTTGATTTAAAGAACACTGACATAACTCCTCATAATATACACAAACCACACACTCAGTCTACCGAGGTGAACATGACAGTGAAGTGTCTCTCTCAAATGGCACCCTATTGCTTTTATAGTGCACTGCTTTTGACCAGGGCCCTCTCAAAAGTAGTGCACTATAAAGGGAATAGGGTGCCATTTGGGATGTATTCATAGCGTAGTGTAGAGGTTCCACTCACTTCCTCGGAGCTCAAAGATCTCTCCTATGAGCATGAAGCAGGGTTCAGCCAGGGCATCTTTCTTCCCATCAGCCTCGTCTCCATAGTCAGATAGGTCACTGTCATCCTCCGCCTCCTCCTGGTGGGGAAAAGGGAGTTTGTGAGAGAGAGACTAAATGTAGCTCAGTTGGTAGAGCATGGCGCTTGCAACACCAGGGTTGTGGGTTCGTTTCCCACGGGGGGCCAGTATGAAAATGTATGCACTCACTAACTGTAAGTCGCTCTGGATAAGAGTGTCTGCTAAATGACTAAAATGTAAAATGTAAATGGGTACAGTGTCTTGCAAAAGTATTCATCCCCCTTGGCGTTTTTCCTATTTTGTTGCATTACATCCTATAATTTAAATGGATTTTTATTTGGATTTCATGTAATGGACATACACAAAATAGTCCAAATTGGTGAAGTGAAAAAAATAACTTGCCTCAAAAAATTCGAACAAATAAATAACGGAAAAGTGGTGCGTGCATATGTATTCACCCCCTTTGCTATGAAGCCCCTAAACAAGATCTGGTGCAACCAATTATCTTCAGAAGTCACATAATTAGTTAAATAAAGTCCACCTGTGTCCAATCTAAGTGTGACATGATCTCAGTATATATGCACCTGTTCTGAAAGGCTCCAGAGTCTGCAACACCACTAAGCAAGGGGCACCACCAAGCAAGTGGCACCATGAAGACCAAGGAGCTCTCCAAACAGGTCAAGGACAAAGTTGTGGAGAAGTACAGATCAGGGTTGGGTTATAAAAAAAATATCAAAAACTTTGAACATCCCACGGAGCGCCATTAAATCCATTATTAAAAAATTGAAAGAATATGGCACCACAACAAACCTGCCAAGAGAGGGCCGCCCACCAAAACTCACAGACCAGGCAAGGAGGGCATTAATCAGAGTGGCAACAAAGAGACCAAAGATAACCTTGAAGGAGCTGCAAAGCTCCACAGCGGAGATTGGAGTATCTGTCCATAGGACCAACTTTAAGCTGTACACTCCACAGAGCTGGGCTTTACGGAAGAGTGGCCAGAAAAAAGCCATTGCTTAAAGAAAAGAATAAGCAAACACGTTTGGCATTCGCAAAAAGGCATGTGGGAGACTCCCCAAACATATGGAAGAAGGTACTCTGGTCAGATGAGACTAAAATTGAGCTTTTTGGCCATCAAGGAAAACGCCATGTCTGGCGCAAACCCAACACCTCTCATCACCCTGAGAACACCATCCCCACAGTGAAGCATGGTGGTGGCAGCATCATGCTGTGGGGATGTTTTTCATCGGCAGGGACTGGGAAACTGGTCAGAATTTAACGAATGATGGATGGCGCTAAATACAGGGAAATTCTTGAGGGAAACCTGTTTCAGTCTTCCAGAGATTTGAGACTGGGACAGAGGTTCACCTTCCAGCAGGACAATGACCCTAAGTATACTGCTAAAGCCCAGACCTCAATCCAATTGAGAATCTGTGGTATGACAAAGATTGCTGTACACCAGCGGAACTCATCCAACTTGAAGGAGCTGGAGCAGTTTTGCCTTGAAGAATGGGCAAAAATCCCAGTGGCTAGATGTGCCAAGCATATAGAGACATACCCCAAGAGACTTGCAGCTGTAATTACTGCAAAAGGTGAATAGTTACACACGTTCAAGTTTTGTTTTTTTGTCTTATTTCTTGTTTGTTTCACCCCAAAAAATATTTTGCATCTTCAAAGTGGTAGGCATGTTGTGTAAATCAAATAATACAAACCCCCCAAAAAATCCATTTTAATTCCAGGTTGTAAGGCAACAAAATAGGAAAAATGCCAAGGGGGGTGAATACTTTTGCAAGCCACTGTATGTACTTGAGAGTACGTTTGTGAACGCCTATATGAATGTACTGTATATGTGTGTTAGTCCCACCACCCCAGCCAGCCAGCCAGGTCTCCTGATGTGATGGTGCAAACTAACCTCTGTGTGTGAGAAGAAGTCTCCAGACAGTCTCTCCAGGAAGGAGGCCAGGGAGAAGGAGGTCTTCTTGTGGATGTCGATGACCTTCAGGTGCTCTGGGGAGGGGCTGAGGAAGGCATAGAGCGCCTCACTCTGACACATCCGCTCGTCTGTCAGCATTTTCTATACATGGTGGAGAAAACAGCTGCACGTTAGACTGGTTGTGTCCCAAATGGCACAATATCCCATAGGGCCCTGGTCAAAGGTAGTGCACTATATATTGGGAATAGGGTGCCATTTGAGACAGTCAATGCTAATAACATTGGAACCTGACTACTGCAAATCAATGAGGCAAACAAACAAAATCATAATTCTCATCATTGTAAAGCCTTTCCATCATCACCACCATCATAACTAACATTGTTGTTAAGGCATCTAAAGAATGTGCTCAACTTCCTCTTCAACTTAGTCATTCATTCTCATCTCATTGGCCAGTCTCCCGACATAGAAAGAGCCTAGCTTGAAATCCTGACTGCCAACTGAGAACCGCAGGAACGACCCGTTCCAATAATACATACATTTCCTGTCAGACAATACTGAAAGAGGAAACAAACTACCTGATCTCCCAATGGTAGCTCTATGTGACATCATCAACTCTGATGACATCTCCTGTTCTGAAAAACTATGCCCTTAGGAGAAATGCCTTCCACATAAACAATACACTGATTTCAGTGATGGTTTCACTATGATTTGTGGTTGAACTGTGTTGGCAGAGAGTGACTTACTTGTAAAAATGTGTTGAGCTGGTTTTTGGACTTTTCAAGGAATTTTTGGTCAATTGACTTGAATGGCAGTTTACTGACGGAGGGAAGCTGGACTTTTTTCAAGGTAGGGAAACACTGAATAAAGAATATAAAATGAAAGAGGAGAGAGAGAGAGAGAGAGAATAAGAGGGGTTATGTTTCAGTCTTCAAGTCTTGTTTGTAGCACCTCATGATATGCAGTGGCATGGTGACTCACTCCATCTCCACGGCAACTGGCATGTGGAAGCATTATTAGGGTGATTATCAGATGGCAGGCAGTGATATTTGAAACAAACGGCTGTGACGCAGCAGCGCAGGACTGTGGTAATTAAAAGGCTGTTGTTGGGGGGCAGACAGAGGGTGAGTCAGAGAGACTAGCTAGACAGGCAGTAGCACTAGCATGGAGAATCCTTTACCTCAGTCAGTTTTCGGTGCAGGGCCTGGAATTCTATGAGCTTCCTGGTGACGCTCCAGCGGCTGTTCTTAGAGTCGTCTCCCTCCAAAAGGCTCACTGAGACGCAGTAGCACGGCATCTGCTCTCCGTTCTCCTCTACTGCCTGGTGGGGGATAGGGGGCACAGTAGGAATCATTTTCCTTTATTTCACAGCAAATAATGAGTTGTGGACACAGAGTCACAACATGGTCAGAGAGTATGGTCAATGGTTACAGTAGTGTGAGACCAAGTGGTCAGAGAGTATGGTCAATGGTTACAGTAGTGTGAGACCAAGTGGTCAGAGAGTATGGTCAATGGTTACAGTAGTGTGAGACCAAGTGGTCAGAGAGTATGGTCAATGGTTACAGTAGTGTGAGAGCAAGGTGTAGTGATGGGAGAATTTTTTTATAAATATCGCAATATTATTTTTAGTCAAATTATCGATTTAAAAAATATATACATAAAGTGAATTCGGAAAGTATTCAGACCCCTTCCCTTATTCCACATTTTGTTACGTTACAGCCTTATTCTAAAATTTATTAAATTATTTATTTACGTCAATCTACACACAATACCCCATAATGACAAAGTGAAAACAGGTTTAGAATTATTTGCAAATGTATTAACAATATAAACTGAAATATCTTATTTACATAAGTATTCAGACCCTTTGCTATGAGACTCAAAATTGAGCTCAGGTGCATCCTGCTTCCATTTATCATCCTTGAGATGTTTCTACAACTTGATTGGAGTCCACCTGTTGTAAATTCAATTGATTGGACATAATTCGGAAAGGCACACACCTGTCCCACAGTTGACAGTGCATGTCAAAGCAAAAACCAATCCATGAGGTCGAAGGAATTGTCTGTAGAGCTCCGAGACAGGATTGAGTCAAGGCACAGTTCTGGGGAAAGGTACCAAAATATTTCTGCAGCATTGAAGGTCCCCAAGAACACCGTGGCCTCCATCATTCTTAAATTTACATTTTAGTCATTTAGCAGACGCTCTTATCCAGAGCGACTTACAGTTAGTGAATGCATATGTTTTATTTTTTTCATATATATAAAAAAAAATCATACTGGCCCCCCGTGGGAAACGAACCCACATCCCTGCCGGCCAAACCCTACCCTACCTTGGACGACGCTGGACCAATTGTGCGCCGCCCATGGGACTCCCGGTTGCGACAGAGCCTGGACTCTAACCAGGATCTCTAGTGGCACATCTAGCACTGCGATGCAGTGCCTTAGACCACTGCGCCACTCAGGAGTCAATGGAATACGTTTTAAACCACCAAGACTCTTCCTAGAGCTGGCCACCCGGCCAAACGGAGCAATCGGGGGAGAAGGGCCTTGGTCAGGGAGGTGACAAAGAACCTGATTGTCGCTCTGACAGAGCTCCAGAGTTCCTCTGTTGAGATGGGAGAACATTCCAGAAGGACACATTTTTTTTGTTGCTTTGTCATTATGGTGTATTGTATGTAGATTGAGGTGGAAAAAACAAATGTAGTCAATTTTAGAATGACAAAGCAAAAACGTGTTTCTAGAAAAAATAACAGATATCACATTTACATAGGTATTCAGACCCTTTACTCAGTACTTGGTTGAAGCACCTTTGGTAGTGATTACAGCCTCAAGTCTTCTTGGGTATGACGCTACAAGCTTGGCACACCTGTATTTGGGGAGTTTCTCCCATTCTTCCCTGCAGATCCTCTCAAGCTCTGTCAGGTTAGATGAGGAGCATCGCCGCACAGCTATTTTCAGGTCTCTCCAGAGATGTTCGATCGGGTTCAAGTCCGGGCTCTGGCTGGGCCACTCAAGGACATTCAGAGACTTGTCCCGAAGCCATTTCTGCATTGTCTTGCTGTGTGCTTAGGGTTGTTGTCCTGTTGGAAGGTGAATCTTCGCCCCAGTCTGAGGTCCTGAGCGCTCTGGAGCAGGTTTTCATCAAGGATCTCTCTGTACTTTGCTCCGTTCATCTTTCCCTCAGTGGCGATTTTAGCATGTAAATCTCGGTGGGGCAAACAATATTTTTTCCTCGATCCTGACTAGTCTCCCAGTCCCTGCCGCTGAAAAACATCCCCACAGCATGATGCTGCCACCACCATGCTTCACCGTAGGAATGCTTCCAGGTTTCCTCCAGACGTGATGCTTGGCATTCAGGCCAAAGAGTTCAATCTTGGTTTCATCAGACCAGAGAATCTTGTTTCATATGTTCTGAGAGTACTTTAGGTGCCTTTTGGCAAACTCCAAGCGGGCTGTCATGTGCCTTTTACTTAAGAGTGGCTTCCGTCTGGCCACTCTACCATTAAGGCCGGATTGGTGGAGTGCTGCAGAGACGGTTGTCCTTCTGGAAGCTTCTCCCATCTCCACAGAGGAACTCTGGAGCTCTGTCAGTGACCATCTGGTTCTTGGTCACCTCCCTGATCAAGGTCATTCTCCCCAGATTGCTCAGTTTGGCAGGGCGGCCAGCTCTAGGAGATCCTTGGTGGTTCCAAACTTCTTCCATTTAAGAATGATGGAGGCCACTGTGTTCTTGGGGACCTTCAATTCCGCAGACATTTTTTGCTACCCTATCCCAGATCTGTGCCTCGACACAATCCTGTCTCGGAGCTCTACGGACAATTCCTTCGACCTCATGGCTTGGTTTTTGCTCTGACATGCACTGCCAACTGTGGGACCTGTGCGCACTGAGTGCGCATGTGATATTGGTCCGTATAAACCGGATTCAACCTGGATATAGACGGTCCGTGAATCGGAGTATGCAAACGTGAGTAGATTACCTTGAAAACCACGATCGGACATCTTGGACACAGTCTCCAGTTCTTATTATACCTCAGTGGTCTGAATTGACTGTGTGTGGGTGTGTGTGTGTGTGTGTGTGGGGGGGGTTAATTTATTTTCTTTCACCTTTAGTTAACCAGGTAAGCCAGTTGAGAACAAGTTCTCATTTACAACTGCGACCTGGCCAAGATAAAGCAAAGCAGTGCGATAAACAAAACATACAGTTGGGGTAAAACAAAACATAAAGTCAAAAATACGACAGAAAATATATATATATACAGTGTGTGCAAATGTAGCAAATTATGGAGGTAAGGCAATAGTGCAAAATAATTACAATGTCAAAAATGTTATAAATTGATTTGCATTTTAAAATGAGGGAAATAAGTATTTGACCCCCTCTCAATCAGAAAGATTTCTGGCTCCCAGGTGTCTTTTATACAGGTAACGAGCTGAGATTAGGAGCACACTCTTAAAGGGAGTGCTCCTAATCTCAACTTGTTACCTGTATAAAAGACACCTGTCCACAGAAGCAATCAATTAATCAGATTCCAAACTCTCCACCATGGCCAAGACCAAAGAGCTCTCAAAGGATGTCAGGGACAAGATTGTAGACCTACACAAGGCTGGAATGGGCTACAAGACCAAGCAGCTTAGTAAGAAGGTGACAACAGTTGGTGCGATTACTCGCAAATGGAAGATACACAAAAGAACTGTCAATCTCCCTCGGCCTGGGGCTCCATGCAAGATCTCACCTCGTGGAGTTGCAATGATCATGAGAACGGTGAGGAATCAGCCCTGAACTACACGGGAGGATCTTGGGACCATAGTCACCAAGAAAACAATTGGTAACACACTACGCCGTGAAGGACTGAAATCCTGCAGCGCCCGCAATGTCCCCCTGCTCAAGAAAGCACATATTCAGGCCCTTCTGAAGTTTGCCAATGAACATCTGAATGATTCAGAGGAGAACTGGGTGAAAGTGTTGTGGTCAGATGAGACCAAAATCGAGCTCTTTGGCATCAACTCAACTCGCCGTGTTTGGAGGAGGAATGCTGCCTATGACCCCAAGAACACCATCCCCACCGTCAAACATGGAGGTGGAAACATTATGCTTTGGGGGTGTTTTTCTGCTAAGGGGACAGGACAACTTCACCGCATCAAAAGGGAAGATGGACGGGGCCATGTACCGTCAAATCTTGGGTGAGAACCTCCTTCCCTCAGCCAGGGCATTGAAAATGGGTCATGGATGGGTATTCCAGCATGACAATGACTCAAAACACACGGCCAAGGCAACAAAGGAGTGGCTCAAGAAGAAGCACAATAAGGTCCTGGAGTGGCCTAGCCAGTCTCCAGACCTCAATCCCATAGAAAATCTGTGGAGGGAGCTGAAGGTTTGAGTTGCCAAACATCAGCCTCGAAACCTTAATGACTTGGAGAAGATCTGCAAAGTAGTGGGACAAAATCCCTCCTGAGATATGTGCAAACCTGGTGGCCAACTACAAGAAACGTCTGACCTCTGTGATTGCCAACAAGGGTTCTGCCACCAAGTACTAAATTATGTTTTGTAGAGGAGTCAAATACTTATTTCCCTCATTAAAATGCAAATCAATTTATAACATTTTTGACATGCGTTTTTCTGGATTTTCTTTGTTGTTATTCTGTCTCTCACTGTTCAAATCAACCTACCATTAAAATTATAGACTGATCATGTCTTTGTCAGTGGGCAAACGTACAAAATCAGCAGGGGATCAAATACTTTTTTCCCTCACTGTATGTCTATAGTGTATACTATGTAGGCAGCTGATATGAGTCACAAGGGAAACTAGGCATCTGCCACCACTATCAGATTAGAGCCGTAAGGGAGGAGACTAGGCATCTGCCACCACTATCAGATTAGAGCCGTAAGGGAGGAGACTAGGCATCTGCCACCACTATCAGATTAGAGCCGTAAGGGAGGAGACTAGGCATCTGCCACCACTATCAGATTAGAGCCGTAAGGGAGGAGACTAGGCATCTGCCACCACTATCAGATTAGAGCCGTAAGGGAGGAGACTAGGCATCTGCCACCACTATCAGATTAGAGCCGTAAGGGAGGAGACTAGGCATCTGCCACCCCACTACCACTTTCAGATTAGGGGGGCAATGTAGCCTGTTTTTTTACCCCGACTTTGGTTCTGAAATCACAATCACCCACTAATTAACATATTAAGTGTTTGAGCTAGTAATGTATTTATTTTTCTCTTTTACAAATTAGCTATGGATTTCACTATCTCAAAATGAAATGTTTTTTACCGTTTGTATTTTTTTTACAGAACGAACTTCTATTCTCCTCTCGCTTCGGACATGCAGATCAATGACTGTCACTACAGTTACATGCAGTTCACAAAAGATTAGGTATTTTCGGAAGGTAGAAAGAATGTAATACGAGCAACAACAAAAAAAGTGAACTGCCGATTCATAACGTTTGAATCAATTTTCTGACCGATGCATTCTACATTTGGATTGGTCTGCGGACTGATGCAATTGTATCTTAAACATTTGAATTGGGGGCCGATGTGTAACGCTGAATCATTACGTCCCTGTTGTCCAGCTTCTTTTTAAAATAGTGAGCCAACATGTTTTCAGCACTTTTATTTCCATGACTGATCAAAACTTGTTTTTAAATCATGGCTCTCGTCTCTCTGCCGACAACATATAGTGAGCAATATGTTTGGAACATCAAATCGCAATACATATAGAATCGTGAAGGTTAAGGGGATACCTAGTCAGTTGTCAATTCATATAGAATCGTGAAGGTTGCCTCCCGAGTGGCGCAGTGGTCTAAGGCTCTGCATTGCAGTGCTAGCTGTGCCACTAGAGATCCTGGTTCGAGTCCAGGCTATGTCGTAGCCGGGTTATGCGGGCACTGTGTCAAGAAGCAGTGCGGCTCGGTTGGGTTGTGTTTCGGAGGACGCACGACTCTCGACCTTCGCCTCTCCCGTGTCCGTACGGGAGTTGCAGCGATGGGACAGGGACTAACTACTACCAATTCGATACCACGAAATTGGGGAGAAAAAGAGGGTTAAAATCCACCCCCCCCAAAAAAAAAAATAGAATTGTGAAGGTTAAGGGGATACCTAGTGAGTTGTCAATACATATAGAATCGTGAAGGGGGATACCTAGTCAGTTGCACAACAATTCATTCAACCCAAACGTGTCTTCCGCATTTAACCCAACCCCTCTGAATCAGAGAGGTGCGGGGGGGCTGCTTTAATCGATGTCCATGTCATCGGCGGCCGGGGAGGAGTCGTTGGGGTTTAACTGCCATGCTCAAGGGCAGAACGGCAGATTTTTCCACCTTGCAGGCTTGGGGATTCGAACGCTCTTAACCGCTAGGCTACCTGCCGCCCCCACACCTTCGGGAGAGTCGCAATACATATCGTATTGGCACCTAAGTATGCAATTCCCAGCCCTAAAGAACAGTCACTGTATCAATCAGTACACTGTATCAATGAGAGCATGCTAAGAAAACACTCCAATGATGAGAATGAATTAACTCTGACTAAAGGACATTTTTAAAAGGTTGGCTGATTAGCTCATTACCCTAATGAAGAATTGGAGACAACACTACCATGCTTAATTGAACATCACTACAAACACAAATGTGCTTTTGGCTGAGCAGAAACCGACATGGCTATTATCTTAGCAGCATAGCATTAGGCCTTGGAGGGGGGAGTGAGTAGAGGGGCGTTCCTTCCGGCCGCCTGCGTTTAGATGTTCCGCATCCAATTAACAGACAAAGCATTAATCACAGCGTGTCTCCCAGACTAGATGAAGCGTGAGGACTAATATGCAAATTAGGCCCTCGTCCTTCCTTCCACAAACAGGAACAGCTTAAATTGTATATAGCCTCGTTATTGTTATTTTATTGTGTTACTATTTTTCCTTTTAGCAAATGTTTCTCACTTTTTCTTAAAAACTGCATTGTTGGTTAAGGGCTTGTAAGTAAGCATTTCACGGTAAGGTCTACACCTGTTGTATTCAACACATGTGAGAAATAAAATGTGATTTGAAGGAGATAAAAGGCGATCGTCACACAAAGTACAGATGTAGGATCTTAATTTGAGCCAGTTTACTACAGCAGGAAAAACAATCATACAGCAACAGGAAATGTGAATTATTATGTGGATTATAATAATATCATTTATGGAGATTTTTGTAGGGGTTGATACATTTTTCGTAAGGGAAAATCAAGTCTGAAATGTCAAAGTGGAAATTACAAACTTCAGAAGACTTATTAAACCTCAAATACACTACACGTTTTACATTTCCTGCATTGCAGGAAAGTTCTCCTGCAACAAGATGATCAAATTAAGATCCTATATCTGTAGTCCAATCAATAACACCATACAAACGATGACTGGTATCATTTTATCCTTGCTTTCAGTTTGTATTTTCTTCCTCAGTCTGAGCTCCTACCTCGCTCTCATCCATCTAGACTAGAGAGAAGCTCTGTCATTAGTGCAGTGTGTAATAAAGGTTCCGGAAGGTGCAGATGCTCTCAGATCAGAGTTTCATCTGTTTGAGTTTTGCCAGAGGTACTGGAGCAATGGACACAGGAGAGCAGAGAGCTCACTGCTGAGCTGCTGTCATATCACTGGAACACAGTCAATGACTTAGAGTTGGGATGGTGCTGTGTGTGTGTGTGTGTGTGTGTGTGTGTTTGTCTCATTCACCTCAGCTGTTGTGATGAGGGCCCTCCAGGAGCCCAGGTTCTCACACCACCAGTCTGTGCGGGAGATGTGCAGCTGCAGGTCACTGTGCTCCTTCTCCATGGCCCCAATCTCCTCCTTCAGCTTACATACAATCTGAGAAAGGACAGCACACACACACACACAAATCAGTCAAAAGATCGCTCTCCCCCAGACACAGTAACAACCTGCTAGAAAAGAGACAGCTGGCCTGTGTCTCATAGAAGATTAAATTATTTTAAAATGTTTTTATTATTTCTATTTGTCTCTCTGCATTGCTGGGAAGGACCCGTAAGTCAGCATTTCACTGTTAGTCTACACCTGTGGTTTACGAAGCATGTGACAAATAAAATTAGATTTAAAGGTGGCTGTTCAGTCAATATAAGGGCTACTTGTATTACAGGCAGGGGCAGCCATTCTTTCAGGGAACAATTAATGGATTCTTTATGAATGCCATCACACATAGGGAGACACAAGGAGAGACAGAGAGAGACAGATAGAGACAGAGAGAGCTTGGCCTGCAGGTAAATGACAGCAGCACAGTCAATGATGGGCTTTTGTATTTGTCAAGTAGCCATAAATAGAGAAGATGCATCCTTGAGTGTATGCTCGATATCAGAGTCCATAAAAATAAAAAATAAAAACTTCTAAAACACATTCACCATGCATTGAAACTATAGCAGCTGGACGGTGTAGTGGGGTACCTTTTTGTCTGGCTTGGGGGCATTTTGGATAGAGCCCAGGGCTTGACGTTTGTACTCCAGCTTGTCGTAGAGCTGGCGCAGCTTGTTGGCAGCGTAGCTGGCCTGCTCATTGATGCCTTTAGTGCCCTCGTCCAGCGCCTCCTCTCCTCCCTCCAGAACCTGGAGCTGTGCAGAGAGGTGGAGGAAGTTTTGATGATGCTGATAATACAAACGTGGCTGAGCTTGACACAATGCTAATAGAGCCCCACAGTGGAGGTGTCGTAATACCCAGAAAACCTAGCGGTCAAACAGGGAAATGGTTGCAATCGTTTTTCCCCATAGGGGATTTTAGAAACACTTAAAATAATGGCTGTGTTTCATGTAGGCTTACCCTGGCGTGACGTTTTGATAACCATGTAAATCTCTCTCGGACAAGGCGACTTATCAATATATTCTCCTGCATTTACTCTCAGATTCGAAAATGCTAATTAGCAAAGTAGACATCATGCAAGACTACAAGTCCCTGCAAGCTCCTGTACGTCATCTCTAGCAGGACACCTTTGCTAACAGGTATTGTGTCAATTTAAAACTTGCACAAGACAGTTCACAGAATTGTCCATTTAAAGAAATGTTTCCAATTTATTGATTAATAAATGTAGCTAACATTAGATAGTTAATGCAGAGATTCTTCCCTTTGCCTCAATTCGGCAGTCTCGTCCAGATCATCGCGGCATTTGTAGTTCTTTATGATAGCCACATTAGCAGCTAATTAGCATTTCATTTTTGAGAGGTAAATACAGTCACCTTGTCCTAGAGAGATTTACACGGTTATCAAAACGCCACGCCAGGGGAAGTCTACATGAAACACAGCCCTTATTTTAAGGGTTTCTAAAATACCCTATGGGAAAAATGTATGGAGCAAAAAACGATTGGAACTATTTCCCTGTTTGACCGCTAGGTTTTCTGGTTATTATGACTCTGTGGTATACAGTGGTACTCTGTCGACAACACTGTAGCTATCCTTTTTATATTTGCAATTAGTCTGATGACTCACATAGTAAAATGTGCATCCTGTCTGTACAAATATACACACAGGAGCATATGCTGGTTGGTGTGTACGTCTACGTCTGTGCCAGTGTGTGTCCCCTACCCAGCTCACCCCTTCGTCCTTGTCCTCGCTGCTGGACTGGGAGCTGCTCTGCTGCTCCTCTCTCCTGATGAGCCTCTCGTAGAGGTCAGAGACCAGGAAGGAGGGGTAGTAGCGCTCCTTCATGGTCTCATACACATCCCCCTGGATCCGGTGGAACACGTCCGTGCCCTTGTTCCCCACCAGGGTCTGCTGGATCTCCTTGTACAGGGCCTTCTCCACCGGGATCTCCCTGCTCTCCACAAAGAAGTTCTGGTAGATCTCCCCCACCAGCTGGGGAACCTCGTTCTGGGAAAACACGAGTCAGGATGTGCACTGGGTTTTCAGCTTTAATAGACAGATTCACTTTCACCACAAGTCTCAGAGTAATATTACAAGTCTGAGATATTTTACATGATGTCAGTAGTCACTAACACTGGTTTAACGTTTGCTTTTGGAGGATGTGACAACTTTACCTTGTTGGCAGTCTTGAGCATCTCCACTAGCTCCCAGAAGCTGATGAGAGCCCTCTTGTCCACTCGCTCCATGTAGACACGGAAGTGCTCCCGGAACCCTGGGTTAGACATGATCTCTTCAAACTGGAGGATCTACAGGGAACAGACAGAACACACCACAGGGGGTTTACATAGAGGTACAATACCTATACTTAGTGTTCATACACATTTTGAAAGATGGAATTTCATGACTCCATGACTTTTAACCAAATTCCCATGCCCAACAATTGCCGGCGTCTACGTATGTATAAAAAAGTAAGCGTAATGTGTTATTGACAGTGGGAGTCTGCCCTCTGATCCCATGTACCATCTCCTGTCGCTGTGCAAGGCACTTAACCTCCACAAAGTAATACCTATTAAGCAACTGTATAAAACAGATGTGGTCAACCCACAGCCTGGAGAGCTGCTGGGTGTGCAGACTTTTGATCTAGCCCTACTCAAACACATCAGAGCCAGTTTATCAAGGTCCGGTTGAGCAGCTCATTTCTAAAATGTGGTTTGTTAGAGGGGGACTGGAATAAAAACCCGCACACCCATTAGCTCTCCTGGAGGATGGTTGACCACCCTTGATGCATAACATAACAACCAAATACCTTTTATGCCTTTTAAAATAATTAGCTCATTCAATATAGATCAAATAGCTACGGTAGGCTACAAATCTTTTTATTCAGCTGAAGCAAGCCTACACATTTTCTTCAAGAAATGTACCTTTTAGAGTTTAGTCATTTACAGTGCCTTCAGAAAGTATTCACACCTCTTGACTTTTTCCACATTTTGTTGTGTTAAAGTCAGGATAAAATAAAAAATGTCACTGGCCTACACACAATACCCCATAATGTCAAAGTGGAATTATGTTTTTCTAAGGTTTTACAAATTAATTAACAATTAAAGGCTGAAATGTCTTGAGTCAATAAGTATTCAACCCCTTTGTTATGGCAAGCCTAAATACAGTTGAAGTCAGAAGTTTACATACACTTATGTTGGAGTAATTAAAACTTGTTTTTCAACCACTCCACAAATTTCTTGTTAACAAACTATAGTTTTGGCAAGTCGGTTAGGACATCTACTTTGTGCATGACACAAGTAATTTTTACAACAATTGTTTACAGACAGATTATTTCACTTATAATTCACTGTATCACAATTCCAGTGGGTCAAAAGTTACATACACTAAGTTGACTGTGCCTTTAAACAGCTTGGAAAATTCCAGAAAATGATGTCATGGCTTTAGAAGCTTCTGATAGGCTAATTGACATCATTTGAGTCAATTGGAGGTGTACCTGTGGATGTATTTCAAGGCCTACCTTCAAACTCAGTGCCTCTTTGCTCGACATCATGGGAAAATCAAAAGAAATCAGCCAAGACCTCAGAAAATAAATTGTAGACCTCCACAAGTCTGGTTCATCCTTGGGAGCAATTTCCAAATGCCTGAAGGTACCATGTTCATCTGTACAAACAATAGTACACAAGTATAAACACCATGAGACCAATTGGAGGTGTACCTGTGGATGTACAGTGAGGGAAAAAAGTATTTGATCCCCTGCTGATTTTGTACGTCATTAAGGTCCTGGAGTGGCCTAGCCAGTCTCCAGTCCTTAATCCCATAGAAAATCTGTGGAGGGAGCTGAAGTTCCGAGTTGCCAAACGTCAGCCTCGAAACCTTAATGACTTGGAGAAGATCTGCAAAGAGGAGTGGGACAAAATCCCTCCTGAGATGTGTGCAAACCTGGCGGCCAACTACAAGAAACGTCTGACCTCTGATTGCCAACAAGGGTTTTGCCAACAAGTACTAAGTCATGTATTGCAGAGGGGTCAAATACTTATTTCCCTCATTAAAATGCAAATCAATTTATAACATTTTTGACATGCGTTTTTCTGGATTTTGATGTTATTCTGTCTCTCACTGTTCAAATAAACCTACCATTAAAATTATAGACTGATCATGTCTTTGTCAGTGGGCAAACGTAGCAAAATCAGCAGGGGATCAAATACTTTTTTCCCCTCACTGTATTTCAAGGCCTACCTTCAAGCTCAGTGCCTCTTTGCTTGACATCATGGGAAATTCAAAAGAAATCAGCCAAGACCTCAGAAAATAAATTGTAGAACACCACAAGTCTGGTTCATCCTTTTGGAGCAATTTCCAAATGCCTGAAGGTACCACATTCATCTGTACAAACAATAGTACGCAAGTATAAACACCATGGGACCACGCAGCCGTCAAACCGCTCAGGAAGGAGATGCGTTCTGTCTCCTAGAGATGAACGTACTTTGGTGCGAAAAGTGAAAATCAATTCCAGAACAACAGCAAAGGACCTTGTGAAGATGCTGGAGGAAACAGGTACAAAAGTATCTATATCCACAGTAAAACGAGTCCTATATTGACATAACCTGAAAGGCCGCTCAGCAAGGAAGATGCCACTGCTCCAAAACCGCCATAAAAAAGCCAGACTACGGTTTGCAACTGCACATGGGGACAAAGATCGTACTTTTTGGAGAAATGTCCTCTGGTCTGATGAAACAAAAATAGAACTGTTTGGCCATAATGACCATCGTTATGTTTGGAGGAAAAAGGGGGTAGCTTGCAAGCTGAAGAACACCATCCCAACCATGAGCACAGGGGTGGCAGCATCATGCTGTGGGGGTGCTTTGCTGCAGGAGGCACTGGTGCACTTCACAAAATAGATGGCATCATGAGGAAGGAAAATGATGTGGATATATTGAAGCAACATCTCAAGACATCAGTCAGGAAGCTAATGCTTGGTCGCAAATGGGTCTTCCAAATGGACAATGACCCCAAGCATACTTCCAAAGTTGTGGCAAAATGGCTTAAGTACAACAAAGTCAAGATATTGGAGTGGCCATCACAAAGCCCTGAACTCAATCCTATAGAAAATGTGTGCAGAACTGAAAAAGCGTGTGCGAGCAATGAGGCCTACAAACCTGACTCAGTTACACCAGCTCTGTCAGGAGGAATGGGCCAAAATTCACCCAACTTATTGTGGGAAGCTTGTGGAAGACTACCGAAACGTTTGATCCAAGTTAAACAATTTAAAAGGCAATGCTACCAAATACTAGAATTGCCGCTAAAGGTGATTCTAACATGTATTGGGTGTGAATACTTATCTAATCAAGCAGTGGATGCTCCTCAGAGGAGGAAGGGGAGGACCATCCTTCCCAGTGAATTTCATAAAAATAAAAAATTGTAAACCATTTAAAAAGTGATCATTTTTAGATAAAACGATACTAAATATAATCATGTCAACAAATAATTAATTTAAAACGCATTATTTTGCAATGAAGGTCTACAGTAGCCTCAACAGCACTCTGTAGTGTAGCACCATAGTGAAGCCGGAGGACAGCTAGCTTCCGTCCGCCTCTGGGTACATTGACTTCAATACAAAACCTAGGAGGCTCATGGTTCTCACCCCCTTCCATAGACTTACACAGTAATTATGACAACATCCGGAGGACGTCCTCCAACCTATCAGAGCTCTTGCAGCATGAACTGACATGTTGTCCACCCAATCAAAGGATCAGATAATTAATCTAGTACTGAAAGCATAAGCTACAGCTAGCTAGCAATGCATAAAATGTGTTGAGTGGTTGTCCCAAAGAGAGAGAAAGACAATAGTTAAAATTAATGTTAAAAATGGTTTTTCCTAAATGAAGGAGAAGCAAGAGAGATTGTCATTTTCTTTCACTTTCACTTACTTAGCTAGCAAATGCAGCTACCTAGTTTAGCCTACTCAAAAGCCCTGCTCAAACAGAATAATGCTATTTTAGCTAGCTGGCTATGACTATCCAACACAGGAACGCTTCCAAGTCAAGGTAAGCTTTTGGTTTGACTAATATATTGCCACAGGGGCCCGCCGTTGTAAGTGCTAAACTGCTTACTGACTGTCCACTAACATTACCGCATGATTGTAGCGGGCTTATTAACGTGTTAGTTATGTTAGCTAAGTTTACGTTATTTTAGCTAATATAGTGACAACGATGTAGCGGTTATGATTTGGCTTAGAAAGGTTTTTTTGCCTGGTCACATACAGCTGATGTGTTGTGCATTGAAGTCCACGAGCGAAGGGACAAGGTGAGAGGAGGAGAGTGCATAGATGCGAGAAGGAATACAACGTGGCTGCTATGAAAGTGAACTGTGTTTACGCGTGATCAGGGGTCTATTCATTCTGGCGATTATGTTGAAAAACTTTTCTTAAACGGAAGCAAATGGAGCGAAACAGGGATAAATATACCTGAATTTGTCCAATAGAAACTCTCATTTGCAACTGTTGGACTAATGATTACACCCTATATCAGCTAGATGCAGGCAAGAGTATGCAAGGCGTTACTAAATGTGTCACTGTCTGACCATCTGTCGCTCTCTGTCACCTCAAATTTCTCTCGAACTGTGTGCACCTAGGTTGTAAACTTTTATTCATAGGCTAGGTTGTAGCAACCTCAGAAAATTCTAGTATCGTGTAGTAGTCTAAACCTATCGCTGTTACATTGAACTGGGTGAACGGAATATGAATGACAGTCATCCATTATGCTGTAATAGAAATAAGGCCACGCTCATGAAAAAAAAAAAGTTGTCCTCCCTCATCTTAAACGGCACTGACCGCCACTGTATTTGTGTTTGAACTTTTCTTCCACTTTGACGGAGCATTATGTATATCGTAATGTAAAAAAAAAAGTATATTAAATCAATTTTAATACCACTTTGTAATACAAGTAAATGTGGGAAAAGTCCAGGGGTGTGAATACTTTCTGAAGGCACTTAGCTACCTCAGAAGTCCTTAGAAGTGTTTACTTTGCAGGCTGACTAGCAATGTCCCTTACATTGGATGCCCAAATCGACTAGAAATATCTACAAAACAAGTCTTGAAGCGACATAATCCAAAAGAAAGGCTACTTCAAATATTTGTCTCTAAAATTACTGTTCGCGATTCACAAGTTAATCTTTTGATTCACATGATTTGATTGAACCGAATCCCAACTAATGCAACTGTGCCTAAATAAATTACCTTAACAGAAATTAAATTATTTTCCAAAACTTTGAGGCCTGGAAAACACAATTGTACAATTTCATGACTTTTCCAGGACTTTCATGACCATAGGAACCCTGTATACTGGACCCAGAGAACAGTAGATTCTGCATCCCAAATGGCACCCAATTCCCTATATTAATTAGGTCACTACTTTTAAAAAAGGGCTTTGGTCAAAAGTAGTCCACTATGTAGGGAATAGGGTAGGAGCCAGTGTCTATTGAGGATGAAGATGGGCTGTGACTTCGCCAGTCAATAAATGCCATTGATTTGAAGGTTAGCCAGCCAATTTAAAGGTGACAACAAAAAAATGAACAGAGTGGAGCACCGCTCAGTGTGGTGAGGAGACCTGGGGTTGTTCATCACTGCCAGATACAGACACTGATTGTCAAAAACATTGAGAGCTCAGCCATTATGTCCTTAGGGGACTAATGGGGCAATGTTCCAACAGGGTGTTCGGGTTGGGCTGACACAGGCTGCATCCCAAATGGCAGCCCATTTCCTACATATAGTGCTCTACTTTTGAACAGAGCCCCATCCGATCAGTCGCTGACCTCAAGATGAGGGAATGCCAGGCCCACATTCATTAAAGCACAGTCATGTTTAATGACACTCAAATACAGTTACAATAGGTCTTAAATGAAAGGAAAAACCAAAAGACCAGCCGACACTACATGGAATGAGTTTACCAGGACGTGTACTCCGAGCATACGCTGACCAACTGGCAAGCGTCTTCACTGACATTGTCAACATGTCCCTGACTGAGTCTGTAATACCAACATGTTTCAAGCAGACCACCATAGTCCCTGTACCCAAGAACACCAAGGTAACCTGCCTAAATGACTACCGACCTGTAGCACTCACGTCCTGTAGCCATGAAGTGCTTTGAAAGGCTGGTCATGGCTCACAAACACCATCACAGAAACCCTAGACCCACTCCAATTCGCATACCGCCCCAACAGATCCACAGATGACACAATCTCTATTGCACTCCACACTGCCTTTTCCCACCTAGACAAAAGGAACGCATACGTGAGAATGCTGTTCATTGACTACAGCTCAGCAGTCAACACCATAGTGCCCTCAAAGCTCATCACTAAGCTAAGGACCCTGGGACTAAACACCTCCCTCTGGACTTCCTGACGGGCCACCCCCAGGTGGTAAGGGTAGGCAACAACACATCTACCACGCTGATCCTCAACACAGGGGCACCTCAGGGGTGCGTGCTCAGGCCCCTCCTGTACTCCCTGTTCACCCACGATTGCGTGGCCAGGCACGACACTAACACCATCATTAAGTTTGCAGACGACGCAACGGTGGTAGGCCTGATCACCGACAACGATGAGACAGCCTATAGGGAGGAGGTCAAAGAACAGGCAGTGTGGCGCCAGGACAACAACCTCTCCCTCAAAGTGATCAAGACAAAGGATATGATTGTGGACTACAGGAAAAGGAGGGTCGAGCACGCCCCCATTCTCATCGACGGGGCTGTAGTGGAGCAGGTCGAGAGCTTCAAGTTCCTTGGTGTCCACATTACCAACAAATGGTCATGGTCCAAACACACCAAGACAGACGTGAAAAGGGCTCGACAACGCCTATTCCCCCTCAGGAGACTGAAAAGATTTGGCATGTGTCCTCAGATCCTCAAAAAGATACAGCTGCACAATCAAGAGCATCCTGACTGGTGGCGACACAACCTGGTATGGCAACTGCTCGGCATCTGACCGTAAGGCGCTACAGAGGGTAGTGCGTACGGCCAAGTACATCACTGGGGCCAAGCTTCCTGCCATCCAGGACCTCTATACCAGGCGGTGTCAGAGAAAGGCACTAAAATTTGCCAAAGACTCCAGCCACCCTAGTCAGACTGTTCTCTCTGCTACCGCACGGCAAGCGTTACCGGAGCGCCAGGTCTAGGTCCAAAAGGCTCCTTAACAGCTTCTACCCCCAAGCCATAAGACTGCTGAACATCTAATCAAATTGCTACCCGGACTATTATTATTATTATTGACACCCCCCCCCCCCTTTTTTGCTACTCGCTGTTTATTATCTATGCATAGTCACTTCACCCCTACATACATGTATATATTACCTCAACTAACCCTGTACCCCCGCACATTGACTCGGTACCGGTACCCCCTGTATATAGCCTCGTTATTGTTATTTTATTGTGTAACTTTTTTTAAACTTCAGTTTATTTAGTAAATATTTTCTTAAAACTGCATTGATGGTTAAGGGCTTGTAAGTAAGCATTTCAAGGTAAGGTCTACACCTGTTTTGTTCGGCGCATGTGCCAACATTTTTTGTTGTTGATTTGATTAGAGAGTTGAGGTTTTTTTAGGTTGAGGGTTTAGAGCAGAGGGATTGCAGACAGATGGACATGAACCCTAGCCAAACGTCAACACTGGGCATTGTGTGTGTGTGTGTGTGCGCAGTCATACCCTCTGACTCTGGGGCCCCTCTCCCTCGTCCGTGGAACCCTCCTCCTGCTGTTCATAGTTGGGGCCCCCCAGGAGACGGATGCGTTTTTCACATTGCTTCTTGGCCACGGTCAGCTGGTTGATGTAGCGCTTCATGTTGCGTGCTCTGAGCAGGTCGGCCTTCATGGCTGCAGTCTCCTTCCCTTTACTGTCTGTAGGGACGAGTTGTCGGAGGACATCTTAGTATATTTAAAATATACATTTGATCAGTTAAATACCACCACAGAGGCCACAGATGCTTTAATCCAAAGATTTTATAAGTTAATCAAAGTGACCACCAAAGACGCATTGGCTAGCACATTCAGCAATCACCACAAGAAAAATCAAAGGCACAGCCCTTCAGATAGTGATGAGACGAGATTCTTTCTCAACCTTGAAATGAGACCAATAAAACTAGCTCCCTCAGACAGAGAGAACAAGAGAACCCTACAGGTCTCAGACAGATAGGAGATGATGGGACATGAATCTTTCAGACAAATTGACACTTCAGCAATCTATCGAGTTCCAAACCATCCCCATTACTGTGCTAGGATGATTCAGACAACTCATTTTACATCTACTTTCAACATGACGTCTCTGGATGGACTAGAGGGGGGTGAATGAGAACATGACGCACTACGTTGTGTAGGAAACATCTGCCTTTCTCCAAACATAACTGAATTTCCCCCCTGTACAGAGGTAATGAGAGCCTGGCTGGGAGGCAGATGAGGCGAGAGAGGATCAAGTGAACAGCTTTTAGCTCACATTGGAGTTGCCACAATGTCTTTCTCATTCATCACATACAAATCATCCCCCCGCTTTCTCCGAATCATTTCGCTCCATTCATCTGAGAAAAGGTGAAGACTGACAACGTCAGCCTGTCCTTTCTGCTGTGTGCGAGATCTGTCAGTGAATGACATTTAGCTTCCAGCCTGTCAGTTTCCAGTACGCAGCACATTGCAGCTCGCTGAGAGAAACATTTTAACGTATTCACTGGCTCATAAAGAACCTTCGCCTCATAGGAAATTTCCAGGAATATTTCTCTGGGTAATCACCGTGCCGACACCTTGGTAACTGCCCAGCTGTCAATCATAGATGGAGGAAGATTCAGACACACAGATGGGGCCTTTTAGCTCTTAGTCACAGATGCAACATCAGACTACATTGACGTCAGAGCTGTTATAGGCCTGGACCCGTAAACATAAAGCATCTCAGAGTATGGGTGCGGATCTAGAATCAGTTTTCCCTTTTAGTTCACATTAAATAAGATCAACTGGACAGGGGGGGGACCTGATCCTAGATCAGAACTCCTACTCTTGACGCTTTGTGAATACGGTCTAGAACACAGACTGTAGCTGGAGGACACTATGTATGGAGGTTGTTCACTAGAGGCAGTGCAGTTGTTGTTCATGGCCTACCTTTCTGTTTCTTCAGCTGGGGGAGGCTGCTGATGGTGGTGGCCTGAATGATCTCCACCACGATCTGGTACCTACAGAAGGAGTGGAGAGGAGACGGGGAGAACAAGATGGGTTGTGTTTCAGCGGGAATACCGTACCATTAGTATAATTGAAAACAGGACGGTCATCCACCTGTATGCCTGCTCAAAGAGCCATCCTCCATAATAGTAAGACGTATGTAATTTATGGTTAAGTTGTCGGATGTGGCAGGGTTTGAAAACTATTAGACTACAAAGGGAAGCACAGCCGCGAGCTGCCCAGTGACACGAGCCTACCAGACGAGCTAAATCACTTATATGCTCGTGTCGAGGCATGCAACACTGAAGCATGCATGAGAGCATCAGCTGTTCCGGTGAAATAAGCGATTAAAGTGCCAATGAAATGATGACTTCAAGCAAGTGGAGATGAAGACACTAATTGCAATCATTTTGCGTTCTCGCCGCCTCATCATTCCTCGGCTCAAATGACCAGAGACGTCAAATAAATGCAATAGACGGCAGGGCCCCATAGAATGGTGTTGAATATTTAGTAGGGAATATTGCTCCCTCTGCCACTCTCACAGACAGACTGGTTTGCCTGTAATTACCTCATTACAGTCAACTACATGTAATGCAGATGGTAGTTCAAGGCCATGTGGCCTTGGCTATGGGTAGATATGATGATTGGGATGATGACCATTGTATCCATTAGGAAATACTTTTTGCATCATACAGCATGTCAGCTTAAGACAGAGACACACATGCAACGTCACAAACATTACATAGAGCATTAGACATTCAGACATATAGTACTTCAGAAAAGTATTCAGAACCCTTGACTTTTTCCACTTTGTTACGTTACAGCCTTATTCTAAAAATGGATTAAATAAAACATTTCACTCATCAATCTACACACAATACCCCATAATGACAAAGCAAAAACAGGTTTTTAGAAATACGTAAATAAGTATTTAGACCCTTTGCTATGAGACTCTAAATAGAGCTCAGGTGCATCCTGTTTCCATTGCTCATCCTTGAGATGTTTCTACAACTTGATTGGAGTCCACCTGTGGTACATTCAATTGATTGGACATGATTTGGAAAGGCACACACACACACACACACACACACACACACACACACACACACACACGTCTATATAAGGTCCCACAGTTGACAGTGCATGTCAGAGCAAAAACCCAGCCATGAGGTAGAAGGAATTGTCCATAGAGCTCTGAGACAGGATTGCGTCGAGGCACAGATCTGGGGAAGGGTACCAGAAGATTTCAGCAGCATTGAAGGTCCCCAAGAACACAGTGGCCTCCATCAATCTTAAATGGAAGATGTTTGTAACCTCCAAGACTCTTCCTAGAGCTGGCTGGCCCGGCCAAACTGAGTAATCGGGGGAGAAGGGCCTTGGTCAGGGAGGTGACCAAGAACCCAATGGCCGCTCTGACAGAGCTCCAGAGTTCCTCTGTGGAGATGGGTGAACCTTCCAGGACAACCATCTCTGCAGCACTCCACCAATCAGGCCTTTATGGTAGAGTGGCCAGACGGAAGCCACTCCTCAGTAAGGCACATGATTCTCTGGTCTGATGAAACCAAGATTGAACTCTTTGGCCTGAATGCCAAGAGTCACGTCTGGAGGAAACCTGGCACCATCCCTATGGTGAAGCATGGTGGTGGCAGCCTCATGCTGTGGGGATGTTTTTCAGTGGCAGGGACTGGGAGACTAGTCAGGAGAGGGAAAGATGAATGGAGCAAAGTACAGAGAGATCCTTGATGAAAACCTGCTCCAGAGCGCTCAGGACCGCAGACTGGGGCGAAGGTTCACCTTCCAACAAGACAACGCAGGAGTGGCTTCGGGACAAGTCTCTGAATGTCCTTGAGTGGCCCAGCCAAAGCCTGGACTTGAACACGATCAAACATCTCTGGAGATGTGAAAATAGCTGTGCAGGGATGCTCCCCATCCAACCTGACAGAGCTTGAGAGGATCTGCAGAGAAGAACGGGAAAAACTCCCCAAATACAGGTGTGCCAAGCTTGTAGCGTCATACGCAAGAAGAGTCGGGGCTGTAATCGCTGCCAAAGGTGCTTCAACAAAGTACTGAGTAAAGGGTCTGAGTACTTATGGAAATGTGATAGTTGTTTTTTTAGTTTTTTTTTTTTTACATTTGCTAAAATGTCTAAAACCTGTTTTTGATTTGTCATTACGGGGTATTGTGTGTAGATTGATGAGGGAAAAAAACAATTTAAATCAATTTTAGAATAAGGCTGTAACATAACAAAATGTGGGAAAGGTCAAGGGGTCTGAATACATTCCGACTGCACATTAGCACAATACAGCACAAAATAGTCAGTGAAGGTATCAACTGTCTGCATGGGAACACCGTCTGCATGGGAACACTGTCTGCGTCGCAAATGGCACCCTATTCCCTATATAGTACACTACTTATAACCAGGGCCTGTGTCGCTGGTCAAAAGTAGTGCACTATATAGGGAATAGGGTGACTCAATTTTTATAAATGTTTGCATTGAACTTGCAAAAATGTGTCTGTTCTGAGTATATGTTGCCTAACCCCTGACCACTTTAAGAGCAAATTTGTCAATATTCACTGTTCTGCAACATATGCTTAAACAATTGAAGTATGTGCTGTGCTACACCTAAGGGATAATGTTTGCTTTATAAAATGTTTTATTTTCTAAAATCTATAAAAACATGCCAAAATGCTAACGAAATTAGCCCTGGAGCATTTAATAGTGCTATAAAACATAACAAAAAGAAGTTTGGAGATTTGTATTACATATTTGAATAATCTAATGTTAGAATTAAACATTGGACAATAAACAAATAAGTGATAAAACACCCCTGTTTTAGAGACATGTTATAGTGATATAAAACACCCGTTTTTGATTCCCTGATAAAGCGCTCTGCTACAGTACAAGTCATCTTACTGAAGCTCAGTTCCCATGGAAACCCAGCAGTAAGGTATACGAACAAGGCAGGTTCTGTGTAATTTAAGCTAGAGCTCTTCGTCATCAGTGGGCTTAAATATGATTACAACATCTACCATGCTAAGCTAGCTCATTTAGCTGTCTGGATACTGCAAGTGCATCGCTAGTAAAAAGCCTTATATCCAGCAGGTAGCCTAGCGAGTAAGAGCGTTGGGCAAGTAACCGAAAGGTCGCTGGTTCGAATACCCAAGTCGACTAGGTGGAAAATCTGTCGATGTGCCTTTGAGCAACGCACTTAACCCTAATTACTCCTGTAAATCGACTCTGGATAAGAGCCTCTGTTAAATGCCTAAAATGTAAATCCACAGGTTTAAACTGCTGGACATGGCAAGATAACGAACACTTTAGCCAAAATTATTTCCTTAACTGAGAATCAGACCAGACACCTCTGGTAAACAGACTTTATCAACAGTAGATACATACGAGTCATCCTTAGATAATGTAGCAGGCTATCCTTGCAGCGTATTAGCCTCACAGCCAGCTGCTTACTTCAAGGGAACACTGCCAAGGCTCAGAGAGCTTTAGAAAAAAAAGTTGGATCAATATAGCTTCATATTAGAAATGAAATAAATAAAAAGGTCTATATCCTGTGATCGATGTGGAGAACATTACTAGTTTTAACAATTGATTGTTGACTTTGAGAGAGTGTGCGGTACAGAAAGATTGGACGGATCCACAGTTGTGATGGATCCAGTATGATAAGATGCTTTGATGATTCATCATACACTAGTAACTACAGGGAATTCACTGTTTGCATCCCAAATGGCTCCCTCATCCCTATATAGCGCACTACCATAGGGCTCTGGACAAAAGTAGCATACTACAGGGAACAGGGTGCCATTTGGGACGCATACGTCGGTCCTCAAATGCAGTCTCTGATCATCAGGCACACGGCAGGCTGAACACCAGCTGAACGCATGCCTAGTGCCTTCGGAAAGTATTCATACCCCTTGACATATTCCACAGTGTTACAGCCTGAACTCAAAATGAATTAAATAGATTTTTTTTTCCCTCACCCATCTACACACAATACCCCATAATGACAAAGTGAAAACATGTTTAGAAATGTTTGCCAACTTACTTCAAATTAAATACAAAATCTCATTTGTATTTTATTTATTTGTATTTTATTTAACTAGGCAAGTCAGTTAAGAACAAATTCTTATTTACAATGACGGCCTACACCGGCCAAACCCGGACGACGCTGGGCCAATTGTGCGCCGCCCTATGGGACTCCCAATCACGGCCGGTTGTGTGAAACAGCCTGGAATCGAACCAGGCGGTCTGTAGTGACGCCTCAAGCACTGAGATGCAGTGCCTCAGACCACTGCGCCACTCGGGAGTGCATTCACACCCGAGTCAATACTTTGTAGAATACTTTGGTGGTGATTACAGCTTTGAGTCATCTTGGGTATGTCTGTATAAGCTTTGCACATCTGGATTTTCCCCCCATTCTTCATTGCAGATTTTCTCAAGCTCTTTTAAGTTAGATGGGGAGCAGCGGTCATGTGCCTTTTTCTCAGGACTGGCTTCCGTCTGGCCACTCTCCCATAAAGCCCAGCAAAAACCAAGCCATGAGGTAGAAGGAATTGTCGGTAGAGCTCCAAAATAGGATTGTGTCCAGGCACAGATCTGGGGAAGGGTACCCAAAAATGTATGCAGCATTAAAGCTCCCAAGAACACAGTGACCTCCATCATTCTTAAATGGTAGAAGTCTGGAACAACCAATACTCTTCCTAGAGCTGGCCGCCCAAACAAACTGAGCAACAGGGGGAGAAGGGCCTTGGTCAGAGTTCCTCTGTGGAGATGGGAGAACCTTCCAGAAGGACAACCATCTCCGCAGCACTCAACCAATCAGGCCTTTATGGTATAGTGGCCAGACGGAAGCCACTCCTCATTAAAAAAAGGCACATGACAGCCCGCTTTGTAGTTTGCCAAAAGGTACCTAAAGTACTCTCAGACCATGAGAAATCAAATCAAATTTTATTTGTCACATACACATGTTTAGCAGATGTTATTGCGGGTGTAGCGAAATGCTTGTGCTTCTAGCTCCGACAGTGCAGTAATATCTAACAAGTAATATCTAAAAATTTCACAACATATACCCAATACACACAAATCTAAGTAAGAAATGGAATTTAAGAATACATATATGGACAAGCAATGACAGAGCGGCATGGACTAAGATACAGTAGAATATTATAGAATACAGTATATACAGTTGAAGTCGGAACTTTACATACACTTAGGTTGGCGTCATTAAAACTTGTTTTTCAACCTCTCCACAAATTTCTTGTTAACAAACTATAGTTTTGGCAAGTCGGTTAGGACTTTTACTTTGCGCATGACACAAGTCATTTTTCCAACAATTGTTTGTTTACAGACCGATTATTTCACTTATAATTCACTGTATCACAATTCCAGTGGGTCAGAAGTGTACAGACACTAAGTTGACTGTGCCTTAAAACAGCTTGGAAAATTCCAGAAAATGATGTCATGGCTTTAGAAGCTTCTGATAGGCTAATTGACATCATTTGAGTCAATTGGAGGTGTACCTGTGGATGTATTTCAAGGCCTACCTTCAAACTCAGTGCCTCTTTGCTTGACATCATGGGAAAATCAAAAGAAATCAGCCAAAATAAATTGTAGACCTCCACAAGTCTGGTTCATCCTTTGGAGCAATTTCCAAATGCCTGAAGGTACCATGTTCATCTGTACAAACAATAGTACACAAGTATAAACACCATGAGACCACGCAGCCGTCATACCGCTCAGGAAGGAGACGCGTTCTGTCTCCTAGAGATGAACGTACTTTGGTGCGAAAAGTGAAAATCAATCCCAGAACAACAGCAAAGGACCTTGTGAAGATGCTGGAGGAAACGGGTACAAAAGTATCTATATCCACAGTAAAACGAGTCCTATAATCGACATAACCTGAAAGGCCGCTCAGCAAGGAAGAAGCCACTGCACTAAAACCGCCATAAAAAAGCCAGACTACGGTTTGCAACTGCACATGGGGACAAAGATCATACTTTTTGGAGAAATGTCCTCTGGTCTGATGAAACAAAAATATAACTGTTTGGCCATAATTACCATCGTTATGTTTGGCGGAAAAAGGGGGTAGCTTGCAAGCCGAAGAACACCATCCCAACCGTGAAACACTGTGGCAGCATCATGCTGTGGGGGTGCTTTGCTGCAGGAGGGACTGGTGCACTTCACAAAATTATGTGGATATATTAAAGCAACATCTCAAGACATCCGTCAGGAAGTTAAAGCTTGGTCGCAAATGGGTCTTCCAAATGGACAATGACCCCAAGCATTCTTCCAAAGTTGTGCAAAAATGGCTTAAGGACAACAAAGTCAAGGTATTGGGAGTGGCCATCACAAAGCCCTGATCTCAATCCTATAGAACATTTTTGGGCAGAACTGAAAAAGCGTGTGCGAGCAAGGAGGCCTACAAACCTGACTCAGTTACACCAGCTCTGTCAGGAGGAATGGGCCAAAATTCACCCAACTTATTGTGAGAAGCTTGTGGAAGGCTACCTGAAACATTTGACCAAAGTTAAAAACAATTTAAAGCCAATGCTACCAAATACTAATTGAGTGCATGTAAACTTCTGACCCACTGGGAATGTGATGAAAGAAATAAAAGCTGAAATAAATCACTCCACTATTATTCTGACATTTCACATTCTTAAAATAAAGTGGTGATCCTAACTGACCTAAGACAGGGAGTGGCCAGTGATTTCAATAGGCAGCAGCAGCCTCTAATGTGCTAGTGATGGCTATTTAACAGTCTGATGGCCTTGAGATAGAAGCTGTTTTTCATTCTCTCTGTCCCAGCTTTGATGCACTTGTACTGACATCGCCTTCTGGATGATAGCAGGGTGAACAGGCAGTGGCTCGGGTGATTGATGTCCTTGATTATCTTTTTGGCCTTCCTGTGACATCGGGTGCTGTAGGTGTCCTGGAGGGCGGGTAGTTTGCCCCCGGTAATGCGTTCGGCAGACCGCACCACCCTCTGGAGAGCCCTGTGGTTGCGGGCGGTGCAGTTGCCGTACCAGGCGGTGATACAGCCCAACAGGATGCTCTCAATTGTGCATCTGTAAAAGTTTGTGAGGGTTTTAGGTGCCCAAGCCAAATTTCTTCAGCCTCCTGAGGTTGTAGAGGCTCTGTTGCGCCTTCTTCACCACACGGTCTGCGTGGGTGGACCATTTCAGTTTGTCAGTGATGTGTACGCCAAGAAACTTGAAGCTTTCCACCTTCTCCACTGCGGTCCCATAGATGTGGATAGGGGGGTGCACCCTCTGCTGTTTCATGAAGTCCACGATCATCTCCTTTGTTTTGTTGACGTTGAGTGAGAGGTTATTTTCCTGGCACCACACTCCCAGAGCCCTCACCTCCTACCTGTAGGCTGTCTCGTCAAACAAGATCCTCTGGTCTGAAGAAACCAAGATTGAACTCTTCAGCCTGAATGCCAAGCGTCACATCTGGAGGAAACATGGCACCATCCCTACGGTGAAGCACGGCAGTGGCAGAATCATGCTGTGGTTGTTTTTGAGCGGCAGGTCCTGGGAGACTAGTCAGGATTGAGGGAAAGATGAACGGAGCAAAGTACAGAGAGATCCTTGATAAAAACCTGCTCCAGAGCACTCAAGACCTCAGACTGGGGCGAAGGGCGAAGGTTCACTTTCCAACAGGACAACGACCTTAAGCACACAGTCAAGACAAGGCAGGAGTAGCTTCGGGACAAGTCTCTGAATGTCCTTGAGTTGCCCAGCCAGAGCCCGGACTTGAACCCGATCTAACATCTCTGGAGAGACCTGGAAATAGCTGTGCAGCGACGCTCCCCATCCAACCTGACAGAGCTTGAGAGGTTCTGCAGAGAAGAATGGGAGACAATCCCCAAATACAGGGGTGCCAAGCTTGTAGTGTCATACCCAAGAAGACTTGAGGCTGTAATCACTGCCAAAGGTGCGTCAACAAAGTACTGAGTAAAGGGTCTGAATACTTATGTAAATTTGATTTTTTTTATTTTATTTTTTTATTAGCAAACATTTCTAAAAACCTGTTTTTGCTTTGTCTTAATGGGGTATTGTGTGTAGATTGATGAGAAAAATAATAATAATATTTAATACATTTTAGAATAAGGCTGTAACGTAACAAAATGTGGAAAAAGTCAAGGGGTCTGAATACTTTCCGAAGGCACTGTATGTACACTGAGTGTACAAAACATTAGGAACACCTGCTCTGTCCATGACAGACTGACCAGGTGAAAGCTATGATCCCTTATTGATGTCACAGTGGTGTTATGTCTACAGGCTGACGAAACAGAGCCTGCACACTCACAAGCTCCACCACATACCTTTATTCACTAACAAACAACGTTTAGATCCTGCAAGGATCTTCGTCAGGTTGGCATGGCTCATAAGAGTGTGGGCGGTGGAGGGAGGAAGAGAGAGGGGAAGAGAGGAAGGGGTAGAGAGAGGGAGGGAGTAATGATTGTAGCCTGCAGGAGAGCTGAACACAGCACAGCCCAACACCGAGAGGAGGTAAAGCACCCTGATCAGAGGCCGCAGCCAGGGATTGTCTTGGTCAGAGGAGAGGCCGCAGCCAGGGATTGTCTTGGTCAGAGGAGAGGCCGCAGCCAGGGATTGTCTTGGTCAGAGGAGAGGCCGCAGCCAGGGATTGTCTTGGTCAGAGGAGAGACCGCAGCCAGGGATTGTCTTGGTCAGAGGAGAGGCCGCAGCCAGGGATTGTCTTGGTCAGAGGAGAGGCCGCAGCCAGGGATTGTCTTGGTCAGAGGATTAACTTAATTAACTACAATGACCAGAATCCATTGCACCTACAGCTGCCTGTTCTCATTGGTTCCTGTGGGGCCGGCAGACAGAGAGGAAGAACGATAGAGACACCAGAGGGATAGAGAGTGGTTGTTAGGTATCTCTACCTGACAATACATCTAATTGATTGGTAGTTGTTATTTAGCAGTTTTAAAAGTATGACTTATCTACTTTGAAGTACTACTGAAATAGTGATTTCGTCAGACAGCAGGCAGCTAGCCAGCTAGGCTAGCCTACTAGCATGAACGATGACTTTGGGGAGCACTGAGATAAAAGGCAGTCTGGCTGCTACTGCCTGAGCAGAGATGAGATGATGACTTAGAATAAAATAAGTCATCAAATAAAAATGTAATATACACAACTAAAATATTTTATTAAAGTAATGTTAATAAATGATGGTTAGAGCATAATAAGTGATAGTAAAGGGCAGTCACTCACTACCATCAATTTTTTTGTTCTGTGTTGTTACAGCATTGAACCCACAATGAATTCATTGTTTAAAACATTTCAAATGAAATTTAAAACTGATTATTCTTCAAAAACCTAACCCCGACTGACTTCAAAAAGCACAAATCGCTCAACGCTAAAAGGGAAAGACGGTGTGACGTGTTGGTATGATGACGCACGTAAGTGAAGTCGGGGTGACACGAGACAGCGTGGTTGAGGTGTACGTGTCGGCATGGCTAATGAGAAAACTGGAGCTCTTCTGTGTCAGTCAGGGCATCTATACACATCTGACTCACTAGCAGGAGGATGGGTGGGCTGCTCTGTCTGTACCTGAGCTGTTTGAGGAAGTCGACGTCTGAGGAGGAGCTGATGAGCTTGATGAACTCCTCGTAGGACGGGGCGTAGGTATAAGCCTTCTTGTGGTGCTCGTTGAGCTGCTCGCGGTGCTCCAGCTGAGACAGCAGCATGAGGTTCAGGAAGTCTGGGTCACTCAGCACCTCCACCAAGGGCTTCAGCACTGCACACACACAGTAGAAAACAGGCTTATACTGTGGAATGTGCCATCTTATTCATTCATTCAGACACACAGACAGCAGAGAACTAGCTAATATTGTAAAGTGACATCCTCTGACACAAGCACACACTAAAAAGAGCCATCTTTGAATCTAAATGCCTCCTCTCTTCCTCAACCACACACTATCATGGATTTCCTTTATTACAATGCCATGTCTGGGCTGCCTTCAGATGTCACTGGCTATCTTAGTGGGCTTCTTCACATTTCATTTTAATGGAGGAGCTAAATGTTTTATAAAGGGAAGTGGTGACTCATACATGCTTACACAAGGAGTCTTAAACAGCTCAACTGGTAAAGGCTGAGGCTGGCAGGCAGTAGGCCAGGGCTACGTCCAAAATGCCACCCTTTTCACTATGTAATGCATTGCTTTTGACCTGGGCCCATAAGGCTCTGGTCAAAAGTAGAGCACTATGTAGAGAATAGCATGCCATTGGAGGCACACGCCTTGGGGGTTTCATCAGTCTGACAGCTGGTTTGATGGCTACAGCACCACAGAGGGGGATTTGGGGCTGGTCTATGAGCTGGGACAGGAACCACTCCACGGACTCTCTTCCTGTTGCTGTTCAGTAGAACTACCTCTATAGAGAGGAAGTGCAGGGAGGCGTGATCTGCCTGTGACTGCCTGAGCGAGCATCATATTTCCCCCTATCCTCATGGGTATTAATACTGAGAGTAGGCATCATCTGCACTTAGCTAGACGTTGCGCACTAGATGAATGCTTTGCTGATGTGTGTTGGGATCATTTGAGTGTGTGGGTTAGGGGGCTGCATTCTATTCCATTTCAGTTTACAGGTTTTTCAGCCAAACCCTGAAAGATCTGATTTGCTTTATGTCTGACTGCAAACATTTCCGAGAGCTGTGCTGCTGTGATGCAAAGCAAGCTATCAGATTTCTCACACGTAGCTGGTGGAATGGCTTTTTAATGTCAATTTCATAGATAATCTCTGGCAATTGGAATCAGAGATTGGCCACTCCAGACAGCCCCCAGCCTTGTTACAGAGGGCAGCATAGTGCACTATATTGGAAACAGGGTGCCATTTGGGACGCACATCTCTCCACCCAGTCAGTCCTCCATGGAAACCCATAGAAGTACTGAAGAGCCAGGTCTCAGATTGAGCCCAGTTGGAATACAATGTCCCATTGTTCAAGAATTAAAATCTCTCCTCAAATCGCATTACTTTGTTGTGAGATCAAATTTTTAAAATCAAATAGCAAAATATGAGCAAATGCCCCCCAAAAAACTGATAACAAATGAAACAATAACATGGAAATGTGATAACATATCTGACTAATGTTTGACTAATGTCGAGCAGCACTAATGTCGAGCAGTAACATTGAGCATTTTGGATGCTCTTAAACAGAGCTCTCCAACCCTGTTCCTGGAGAGCTACCGTCCTGTAGGTTCACTCCAACCCTGTTCCTGGAGAGCTACCATCCTGTAGGTTCACTCCAACCCTGTTCCTGGAGAGCTACCATCCTGTAGGTTCACTCCAACCCTGTTCCTGGAGAGCTACCATCCTGTAGGTTCACTCCAACCCTGTTCCTGGAGAGCTACCATCCTGTAGGTTCACTCCAACCCTGTTCCTGGAGAGCTACCATCCTGTAGGTTCACTCCAACCCTGTTCCTGGAGAGCTACCATCCTGTAGGTTCACTCCAACCCTGTTCCTGGAGAGCTACCATCCTGTAGGTTCACTCCAACCCTGTTCCTGGAGAGCTACCATCCTGTAGGTTCACTCCAACCCTAAACTAGGACACCTGATTCTAATAATTAGCTGGTTGATAAGCTGCATCAGGTTAGTTACAACTGGGGTTGTAGTGAAAAACTACAGGAGGGTAGCTCTCCAGGAACAGGGTTGGAGCCCTGCTCTAAAACCTTTCCATAACAGAACCTCTCCATCCTCACCAACACCATGGCAGGAGAGTGGAGGTATAACAGAACCTCACCAACACCAGGAGAGTGGAGGTATAACAGAACCTCACCAACACCATGAGAGTGGAGGTATAACAGAACTAATCTAATATGTTCAGTACCTTGAGGGATGTTGCTAAGTAACGGCAGTAATGAAGATCTAATTAGGGGGCTGAAAGTATATTTTTGTCATCCATATGTGACTGCAAGATAAACAAAATCACCACCACACCTTCCTGACTGAGCCCATTTAGCTCTGCCTGCAGTCAGGCAGCCTTCCTTGCCATCACAGATGTGGTTCTGTTTATAGCACAGCAATTCAGTTCACAAGGAAGTAAAACCCTGTTGTGAAACACACTCACCTTCTCTGATTGTTGTTGCCTTTTGCTTTTCCAGTTGGCGTCACATGACGTCTTCAGAAGCGGTCCATAGCCATGAATATTTTAACACCAGCAAATATCTGGTTGTTTCTTAGTGTTTTTTTGGTTAGTACAGCAAGAAACATGTGAGAGAGCATTTCTCCTCCTCCTACAGCATAAATACAGCAGCTGAAAAGTAATTCAGCTGGAGCTCTGCCACATCATCCAGCCCACATTGCTCATCATGCCAGTGTTACATGAAATAGATTTAGAATTCACAGAGTACATGTCCCAAATGGCACCCCATTTCCCCATTGGTAATACGTTTTGGGCCCTGGTCAAAAGTAGTGCACCATAAAGGGTGCAATTTGGGATGCATGTCAGTCCCTGTGTTGAATTTATAATGGATGAGCTTTAGGGAGACAACGGTGTGTCCCTGGCTGTCTGTGTACCTTTGGTGGTGATGACCTCCACCAGCACCACGCGCAGGCTGTAGGAGCGGGCGTCTCGTGTGGGCAGCAGGCACAGCATGAGCAGGCGGGCACAGCAGCGCAGGAACCGCAGCTCCTCCTCGGGGCTCTGCAGACACTGGTGCAGGGGGAAGGGCTTGGGCAACTCCTCCTGCCTAAGGGGGGTAGAGAGAGAGAGAGAGAGAGGAAGGTGAGAGAGAGAGAGAGAGAGAGAGAAGGTGAGAGAGAGAGAGAGAGAGAGAGAAGGTGAGAGAGAGAGAGAGAGAGAAGGTGAGAGAGAGAGAGAGAGAGAGAGAGAGAGAGAGAGAGAAGGTGAGGAGAGAGAGAGAGAGAGAGAGAGAGGTAGAGAGAGAGAGAGAGAGAGACAGAAAAATAAGGGTGGGGATCATCAGAGCCAGGCTAAAGTCTAGACAGAGCCCAACCCGCTGTCTCCTATATTGAATTTTTTGTAATTGTTCTGCACACTACAGAGGAGCGTTTCCTTACTGCACAGTCAATGCCAGTCTCTTTGTGTAAGCGGTTTACTGCTGATAACACTTAAGAAAGTCAAATCAATGGAATTAATTGGAACGCTTCGTTTCTTTTCCATTCAGGATAAAGGCTGGCCAGCCATCAGAGATGTGTGATTCAGCTTTAGAAGGCAGTCTGTACTCATGACAGATCCCTGTATAGAGGGGCTGGAGAGAACACAGCTGATACTGATCCATACTGCCGCCACAGCTCTTTCATTTTAATGAGGCATGACACAACCATGGCATCATGGCTTCTGAGCCATGACATCAGGCATGGCCCGAGGAAGTGTGCATTTACTAGATAGCCTACATACAGAAGTGTGCTTTGAACAAACTCACTCACCCCAACTGAAGACTATCGATTCACTATGATGGGTTTGTCACAGTGAGCATCGTCTTTGTGTAAATAAAGCTGCAGTCTTACAAGACAAGCTTTTCTATTGTGTTATTGACTGTACGTTTAGTTTTTGTTTATTCCATATGTAACTCTGTTGTTGTTGTTTTTAAATCGCACTGCTTTGCTTTATCTTGGCCAGGTCGCAGTTGTAAATGAGAACTTGTTCTCAACTGGCTTACCTGGTTAAATAAAGGTGAAATAAAAATAAATAAATAAATAAAAACCCATCATAGAACAACATCATGGGAGCTCTAGCTCTGCAGAGGCAGGGAGCTCTGCGGAGGCAGAGGCAGGGAGCTCTAGCTCTGCAGAGGCAGGGAGCTCTGCGGAGGCAGAGGCAGGGAGCTCTGCGGAGGCAGAGGCAGGGAGCTCTAGCTCTGCAGAGGCAGGGAGCTCTAGCTCTGCAGAGGCAGGGAGCTCTGCGGAGGCAGAGGCAGGGAGCTCTGCGGAGGCAGAGGCAGGGAGCTCTGCGGAGGCAGAGGCAGGGAGCTCTGCGGAGGCAGAGGCAGGGAGCTCTGCGGAGGCAGAGAGCTCTGCGGAGGCAGAGGCAGGGAGCTCTGCGGAGGCAGAGGCAGGGAGCTCTGCGGAGGCAGAGGCAGGGAGCTCTGCGGAGGCAGAGGCAGGGAGCTCTAGCTCTGCAGAGGCAGGGAGCTCTGCGGAGGCAGAGGCAGGGAGCTCTGCGGAGGCAGAGGCAGGGAGCTCTGCGGAGGCAGAGGCAGGGAGCTCTGCGGAGGCAGAGGTAGCTCGGCAGGTCTGGTCTAGTGCATCTGAAACAAGCTGGGATAGAAATGCATCCACTGTGCTAAATAATGAGCAGCATCTCCAGCTTGCTGTCTTTGGGAGGGAGGGAGTGACTGGCTGAACTTCTGAAAAGCCTCATTTAAAAGTTCAAGAGGGACCTCTGACATTACACAGACTGCTATAGTAGCTATCTGTCTGAGCTGAGAAAATGTGGCACTGGCAACATACAAAATACATGATTATACCCCAAAATACACAATATTAATCTAGCACAGGAGGATTACACAATGGATGTATCCCAAATGGCATTTGGGAACCATCCAATAAAGCCTCTATCAGTTGATGGCTGAGGACCTCTTTCTCTCAAAGTCAATGTGGGATGCAGAGCCAGAGCCATACACAGTACAGAAACCAAGGGAAGCTACAGCCGGCTCAGTGTGAGGACCTACCTGCTCAAAGTCTCTCAGGGATTCAATTAGTGACCTTTTGCTGGAAATTTCAACCGGTTACCTAGCTGAGTTCCTGCTTCAATGTTGACTGTTTGGAACAGGTCTACTGTTAAAATATATCTAATTGCTTACAGAAAATAAAATGTTAATTGGTTGCTTCACTGTTTGTAAGTAACACTATGCATTACAGGAGCTAAATGAACTGACAGTCACAGTGAGTAACTTGCTTTATAAAAGCAAAATTAAGACAATTAAATTGTGGTTTTATGACTTCCACTGGTCAGACAATACAGCGCATTCGGAAAGTATTCAGACCCCTTGAGTTTTTCCACATTATTACGTTACAGCCTTATTCTAAAATGGATTAAATAGTTTTCCCCCCCTCAATCTACACACAATACCCCATAATGACAAAGCAAAAATAATAATATCACATTTCCATAAGTATTCAGACCCTTTACTCAGTACTTTGTTGAAGCACCTTTGGTAGTGATTACAGCCTCGACTCTTCTTGCGTATGACGCTACAAGGTTGGCACACCTGTATTTGGGGAGTTTTTCCCGTTCTTCTCTGCAGATCCTCTCAAGCTCTGTCAGGTTGGATGGGGAGCGTTGCTACACAGCTATTTTCAGGTCTCTCCAGACTCTTCCTAGAGTTTGATGGGGTTCAAGTCCAGGCTCTGGCTGGGCCACTCAAGGACATTCAGAGACTTGTCCCGAAGCCACTCATGCATTGTCTTGGCTGTGTGCTTAGGGTCGTTGTCTTGTTGGAAGGTGAACCTTTGCTGCAGTCTGAGGTCCTGAGCGCTCTGGAGCAAGTTTTCATCAAGGATCTCGCGGTACTTTGCTCCGTTCATCTTTCCCCTCGATCCTGACTAGCCTCCCAGCCCCTGCCGCTGAAAAACATCCCCACAGCATGATGCTGCCACCACGCTTCACCGTAGGGATGGTGCCAGGTTTCCTCCAGACGTGACGCTTTCCATTCAGGCCAAAGAGTTCAATCTTGGTTTCATCAGACCAGAGAATCTTGTTTCTCATGATCAGAGTCCTTTAGGTGCCTTTCGGCAAACTCCAAGCGGGCTGTCATGTGCCTTTTACTGAGGAGTGGCTTCCATCTGGCTTCCACCCATCTCCAAAGATGAACACTGGAGCTCTGTCAGAGTGACCATCAGGTTCTTGGTCACCTCCCTGATTGCTCAGTTTGGCCAGGCGACCAGCTCTAGGAAGAGTCTTGGTGGTTCTAAACTTCTTCCATTTAAGACTGATGGAGGCCACTGTGTTCTTAGGGACCTTCAATGCTGCAGAAATGTTTTTGTCACCTTCCCCAGATCTGTGCTTCGACACAATCCTGTCTCGGAGCTCTACGGACAATTCCTTCAACCTCATGGCTTTGTTTTTGCTCTGACAAGCAATGTCAACTGTGTGACCTTATATAGACAGGTGTGTGCCTTTCCAAATCATGTCCAATCAATTGAATTTACCAAGTCAAGGGCTCTGAATACTTTCCGAATTTCCCTGGCTGTACTTGCTTTCCAATGAGTGAGCTCCACTTCTAGGTGTACATGGCTGGGGGAACTGAGAAGCAGCACGGCTCAGTGCAGGCAGATGGAACAGCGACTTTACAGCATCGTAAACACCGACCAGCAGATCTTTCCACTCACAGCCCGTCATCCCTTATACTGGTTGTAAATGGCAGATTTTGTCATTGATAAGCGCCAAAATTGGAACACAGTGGCTGTAAAGTAACATGCTATACATGACGTCAGAGCTCAGGTTCTCCGCTTCACAGGGCTGCATGGGTTTTGACTGACAGAATCAACAGTAATTGTGTGATGGTGGGGACGCAGGGCTGTATTCCAAACAAAAACACTACAAGTGTGCTTGCTTCAGCTAGTAGAGCTAAAAAAAAAGCACCTTATAGCTGAAGGCTCTTTCCTGGAGTCATAGAAGTGCATTGAAATTACTTAGGAACTGTGCAGTTTGGAGAGGTGTGTGGCCAATTGGAGACACCAGTTAGACCTCTCACTTAAACCCTTGTAAATCGTTTTTCCTTACCATGCACCTACTCCAAAATGTATTTTCAGATTTTGTTATTGACAAATGCTGTGAAAAGTACAGTAAATGTAAAATGCACATAAAATCAACAGTGTAATGTTTGGATTCAGTCTTGTGACAGGTGAACTGTTGTGTCCTCACCTTTAGTCTGATAATTTCCCCATAATCTCCAAAGTGTTCTCTTTAAAAATTGCTGTCATGGTCATGCATATGCTTTTTATAGTTTTATAGATTATAGGGTTAATCAGACAGCTAAAACAGTCAAGACAGTGAAAGAAGCATCCTCTCCAGCCCATTAGCATAAGTATGAGTAAGAGCCCTGTCCTGATCTTTGCTCCAAGGCCACAGACTAAAATAAGCAAGGCTGCTCTCCTCTCCTGAGGAAAGGGGGAAGCTGGGTAATGCTGAGTATTACAGAGTGATGATGACCCCAGGAAGAGTAGCTGTTGCCTTGGCAGCAGCTAATGGGGATCCATAATAAATACAAATAACCACCTCTATATCCTCACCAGACCAGAGGCGCCCATGTTTGGGCCCCTGAAACTCTCACCTCTAGCCTGCTGCCTTGTCCTGATCTGTTTGTGTTGTCCTAACTCCTATGGTCATCAAACCAGTGTGAGTTGGCAAGACAGCACAAACAGATCTCCTCGTCCCACGCCCTCCCTTACCTGGTGTTGGCCGTCTTGAGGTCACAGAAGTGTGCATGGAGGGTCTTGACAGTGTCATTGCAGACCACGTTGACCATGTCGACGTCTGCCAGGCGGCCCCGCAGCTGCTTGGCCATCTCCCAGAAGTCTTCCGACAGCATCTGGTAGAGCTGTCCCTCGTCACGACTCAGCGGCACATACCACGACAGGACGTAGTCCCTGTAGCTGTAGTCAAACACTGGAGGACAGAGAACAAGACGTGGTTGGTACACCGCTTGGCAAAATACAGGGTAGATTTAAGCAGACGCATCAATAGAAATCTCTGCTACTAAAGGGTAGCAAAACTCGGAATTCTCTGTTCAGCCACATTGTCCTTATTTCACGGTGTAGGTTTACATTAAGACTGGATCATGTTGGACCTTTAGCCCCACCTCCTAGTCTTACTTGATCCTAGCCTAATACATCAGCTGCTAATCACTAGCTAATGCTAATGCTTGCTAGGTACTGTTGGAAACATTGTTGTGTACTCATTTGGATATGGTCCTTTCAGAGCCTCTCCAAGCCGTAATTTTAAATAAAATTACATTTGATATTACTCTACCGGTTCCTCTGGTTAAACCAACTAGCCGAGGTCATGCACACCAGCCGAGGTCATGCACACCAGCCGAGGTCATGCACACCAGCCGAGGTCATGCATGTGCTTAATTGTATTCAACATTCCAGCTTGTAGAGGGCCTGAAAGGACCTAAATTAAACACTGGGTTCTCCCAGACAGTGGACTTTCTTGCGATATCACCTGTCTGGTCCAACAGGCTAACCCTATCCATAACCTCTATGGTGCCTAAGCCAACCCAACCCTTTATGATTGCTCCTTAAGCCAGTTGTAACCTCGTCCCCAGGCTTTGAGGAAGTGTCTGGTGAACGAGATTAGGTTAGTTGGGTCCTAGCCACCTAGGCTACAGTTTATTCTCCTGGTTGGGGAGATTTACTTCTTTAGTGGTACTCTCTCTGTGACATCAGCATGATGCAGCAGCCATACAGACAGTAGAGACAGAAAGTAGAGACAGACCCTTCCTCTGGGAGGACCTCAGCACAGCACCAATGCTGGCTGCCAGGTAACAGATATTCTTCAGCCAGGGGATTTACACAAACACACCTTAAACTACAGGAGCCTGCAACCACTCCATACAGACAGTGCCACTGTCTGACCTGATACTGAACCTGTTCCATATCAATGAGAACATAATGTATGGAAAGACTTATCAAGACGCTAAACCCAAAACATGGCAATAACTGACTGCAGCTCAACACGTGTGTTTCTATAGAGCCAGACAGCACTGTATGGAGCACAAACCCAGGTAGAGTAGGGAGCTATAGGCTAGTCAGACATAGCCCCAAAAAGGCCTTCAATTTGCTTTGAGTGCATGTGCTTCAGACTGACAGTGCCAGACTCCACAATGAGCCCTCTACAGAATATTGTGAATAACCTAAACTCCCTTACTGTGGAGAGAAGTGGGAGGTTGGTTGAGCTCTTGTGGAAAACACTAATGTTGTTAGTGAGGAAGATCAATTTATATCTACTGGATGGTTTCAATCAATCCCTACATAAGAACCACATGATGGTAATGCCAGTGATGGGGTGATGCTCAGATATGATCAGAATGGAAGATGCGGGGCCTCCTGAGTGGCGCAGCGGTCTAAGGCACTGCATCGCTGTGTTGCGGCGTCACTACAGCCTGGGGTTCAATCCGAGGCTGTGTCACAACCGGCCGTGACCGGGAGTCCCATAGGGTGGCGCACAATTGGCCCAGCGTCGCCCGGGTTAGGGGAGGGTTTGGCCAGAGGGGCTTTACTTGGCTCATCGTGCTCTAGCGACTCCTTGTGGCAGGCCGGGCGCCTGCAGGCTGACTTCGGTCGTCAGTTGAACAGTGTTTCCTCCGACACGTTGGTGCGGCTGGCTTCCGGGTTAAGCGAGCGGGTGTTAAGAAGCGTGGTTTGGCAGGTCATGTTTCAGAGGACGCATGACTCGACTTTCGCCTCTCCCGAGCCCGTTGGGGAGTTGCAGCGATGAGACAAGATCGTAGTATCACGAAATTGGGGAGAAAAAGGGGGTAAGATTACACCCCCCCCCCCCCCAACAAAAAAAAGGAAGATGCAAAGCGAGAGGGTTCAATCCCGTCAACATCTGTCCACAATAAGCAGACAGCCTGCCTTCCCGCCTTTGGGACAACGACTCCTATTGTTAGGGCGGGGACCAGACCATCTTGTCAGTATATACAGACCTCTGATATGATATAACAACATTTATCACAAAACCAGAGGAGGTAGGCATTTTCATCACAATACCAGAGGAGGTAGGCATTTTCATCACAATACCAAAGGAGGTAGGCATCACAAGACAGATGCAAGTCAGTAATGCCTTTCTGCATGACTTGCTGCAAATACATCACAATATATCACTGTAGAGCCAAAGTGTAGCCTACCAAATTCCAGCCATGAAGCAAGAGGTTCAATCCTCAAGCGAGGCTAACAGCTGCAAGTGCCGGGTGTATTGAGAAATCTAAATTGCCTGACAACAATCTCCTGCTGTATGAATGAAAAGAGTGGTGTGTAAAGTAAACAGCATGTTGGTTAAACGCAGGGCCAGGGAGGACAGCAAACATCTGACTGTCCCAAATGGCACCCTATTCCCTTTATAGTGCACTACTTTTGACCAGGGCCCCATGTTCTCCTCTATGGACCCTGGTCAAAAGTGTACTATAAAGGGAACACTGGGCCTTTCTTCCCCTCCATCACACTGCACCAGATTCAGTAATACTATCCAACATAGGCTGAATGAGGTGGGGGAGGTTGGGTCAAACTCCTCACGTGGTTCCTTTCTGTTATCAACATTTCAATAAAACCATTTGTGATTGGTTTCTGCCTGGTGGGTATAAGTGCTAGTCATTAGGGTTAATGCTAGCTTCGATAAGGGACTTGTGATTAACCATCCATGCAGTAACACACAGCAGCTTGTTAAATACAGTAACACAGAAGCATGTTAAATACAGTAACACAGAAGCATGTTAAATACAGTAACACAGAAGCATGTTAAATACAGTACCACAGCAGCTTGAAAATGATCGGAGAGGTTGAGGGTAGAGGAAGTTCAGGAGTAAAAACAAACAAAAAGAATTATTGTAAAATTGACTGTGTCCATAAATTCTATATAGTATGTATAAGCTGGAAGTAGAGGCCTAAGCATTGTTGTTCACTAGTTTACTCCAATTAGGGAAGGGGTGGTGGGGTTGGAAAGTAATAAAGGGAAATATCTTTTTTAAAAGGATAGATAGATAAATAGATAAATAAATAGATAGATATATGCGAGGGGGAAAAACCATGGGGGATTGGAAGTGATGCAGACAATTACATTGATGGAAGTTACAATCTATCTGCAATATTAAAGCTGATCTACACCCTAAAAAAAAAAAAATACAGTAACACAGCAGCTTGTTAAATACAGTAACACACAGCAGCTTGTTAAATACAATAGTACACATGTAATTGTGATCTCCTTACTAGGGGATAGCTTTCCATACTAGCAAACAAGATCTAATTGAAAGGCTATCTGCACCATGTAAAATGACAATGAGAAATGTTGTTTGGGGTGTGAGCAGACATGGTGCTTAGTGAGTGACAATGTAGTGATCTCAACTGCATACTCCTCGCATCCTCTCTCCTCATTTCCTTAAAACCCATTGGGGGAGAAGGTCATAGAGGAGAGACCTCTGGCTTTCTCATCCAATGGGTTTTGAGAAGGCGATGAGGACTCAGGAGTCTGCAATTGAGATCTTCCCCATGTTTGTGCTGACCTCACAAGCTCTTCCTGAGAAGAAGTTGGCCTATTCTAGGACTGCTGACTCCACACAAATGACACCGATGGTTCAGCAGCATGATATTTGGGGTTTTAACCACCAACCTTCTTTAAGGGCCTTGTCCACATTGTGTGATACCACCACTCTTCTTGTCTGCGCAGACTCCAAAAGGGGCACGGTGAATCTTCCCTGCAAACATAACACAAGTACAAAGGATGGAGTCCCAGCCGAAGGTCAATAACGCTCTCTCAGCCCATTGCATGCATACAAACAAGATAATTGACAAAGGATACAATCTAACAATTTCAAACATAAATTCATAAATAATGGAATTGTTGAATGAATGGGCAGTGATGTCCAACCCAGACAAGGAAATGACTGAGGTAGTATTGAGCAACAAGGATGTTTCTAAAACATAACACCCACACAGTGTCATGCAGGAGAGACAAGACTGAGATAAAACACTGCCTGTTTCAAAGGTCTGGCAGACTGTTGAAGCTATAGGCTATAACACAACATGATAATGTGTCATCACGCAGGACTTTAGAGCACAGTAATGAATCCCTAAAGATGTCTACTGTATTGAATATTAAATGTCTCACTGACACAACTCGGTGCTCATAACCAGGATGACAATGAAAAGGCCCATGACATGAACATGAATAAAAACTATTCAGTATGCTTACCATTAATTTGTTAAACAATTCCAACAGGTAAGCAGACTGTCTCTTTGAAGTTTCAAATCGGCTGATTTTAGGAGGACCCTTCTTCACGAGGAGACCAACGCTTCCCAACAAGAAGCAGAACAACGCAAAGGAGATATAAATAAAAAGCTTCAGAAAAAATGACGTTATGGTGAGCCCCCCATATCCAAACTGAAAAAGTAACGCTGCGGCGATTCCCATGAAGATGACGGGCAAGAAACGAAAAGAGGAACCGATGGAGACGGCGCTAGACATGGGGGCATCGGTGCTGCTGCTGCTCCTGCCAGCAAAATGCATGCTGCTGTCAATGACATCTCCTCAACACCGACAAGAGGACAGGCTTTGTGTTCCTCGCAGTTGGATCTTCATTCAAAAGCATTTACCATTTTTAGGGAGAGACGGCACCCAAATATTGACATGGGATATTGGACCTTAGAGATTTAAAAAACCATCCCCTTGCTGTCGTTAGCCTCCTAGGTCCATGTGATGGTCTGGGCATTGACGTCATAATATGAACCTAGCTATTCTGTGTTGCTCGTGCCATCAGATTTGCATCGCAAAGCAAGCAAGTTCACGGTGTTCCATGTAAACAATTTCTCAAACCTAGCTAGCTGGGTTGGTAAGCTAGATACCAAATGCAAGAAAGCAGCGAGCATGTAAGTTCATTCCAGTTCAATTACCTAACAAGCTAGCTACTTAGCTGGCCAGCTAACGACGTTACGTTTACAACTCGACAAAGTCCGAAAGGTGGATAAGGCTTCTTTATCTAAATAGCTACATTATATAGCCAACAGGCTCTGTCCGCAGCTAAAGTTAGCAAGCTTGCTAATAAACTCCATCAGCAATTAGCTAGCTAACAGTTAGCTATGTAAATGCAAGCTAGCTTTAGTTAGCTAGCTAGCTTGTGTGTTCCATGAAACAGACCTTTCTCGATATTTTATCTCTAAACTAAATAAATATCAAAATGCCTCTGGTTGGAAAATCCGTATTCCTGACCATCCACCGACACAGCTGATGATGACACCTGTGTAGTCGAGGCGACGGCAGGCAGTTTTGTTATCGATTGCCCTCTATCTTCAGCTGAGTGTCTAATTTCCTGTTATTAACTTGACAGACACATTTATTTCTACACGTGAAATCTGCCGACCAATCAGCGTGGCGGTGTCAACCGCACGAACCAAATCAGGGGTGTATTCATTACGCCGATTCTGTTGCTAAATGTTTGTTACAAAGCGTTTTGCAACAGAAACCGTTTACTCCAAACGCTCTTCAGCGTGACGTAAAAGCTGTTGGGTTCCTCAACGGAAGTTCTAGTTCATTTAAATGTTATGGTTTCTACAGATAGCCATTCCAATCCGCACAAGCTGCACATCTATAAATGACCTATTCTTCCATGCTCTAAAGTGGAGTGAACTTCTTCCAGCTGCTTATTTTTTTGGGAGAGACACAACTGAACGACAACTTCCGTTTAAGAACAAAACGGAACTCAACAGCGTTTGGAGTAAACGGTTTCTGTTGCAAAACGTTTTGCAACAGACCAAACGTTTCGCAACAGACCAAACATTTTGCAACAGAATCGGCATAATGAACAACATGGGTGTAATCATTAGTCCAAACAGTTGCAAAATAAAACAAGTTTCAATAGGCCAAATTCTCGTAGTTCCTTTCCGTTTGCTTCGGTTTGAGAAACTTTTGCAACAGAATTGGCGTAATGAATAACCCCCAAGGGAAGTTGTCAGAGGGATCACTGGGAACAATCAGTCAGTGACCTATCAACATTCTCTACAGGGTTAAACAAAGGGAAAAAGGGAGAATCATTAGCATATTATAAGGGGATAATACACTTTTGTCTTTTAATTATTATACAGGCTCATCAAGTAATGTAAATCGTCTATTGATCTCTGCTTAATGAAAAAAGACAAATTTTTCTAATAATACTTTCAACAACTTATAAAAGGTACTACATGTAACAATTCAACAAGGAACTGTCTCTTCTTGTCAAATTGACTGGGGCCTGCAAATCTCTTGTTGTCAAATTGACTGGTCTATTGTGGAATTGACAACTAGATTGCTGGCCCCAGTCAATTGGACATGAGCCGGTCTGTCTTTTGTTGACCAATAAGGCTGCACCATTAGAATGCATTTTTGTGTGGGCCCAATCATTTTTTGGGTGGAAAAATATTACAGTATATTTTACATTTACATTTACGTCATTTAGCAGACGCTCTTATCCAGAGCGACTTACAGTTAGTGAGTGCATACATTATTTTTTTATTTTTCATACTGGCTCCCCGTGGGAATCGAACCCACAACCCTGGCGTTGCAAACGCCATGCTCTATCAACTGAGCTACATCCCATATAAATATTACAGGATATATTGTTTTTATAGTTTTGAGAAGTGCTCTACTCTACTGCCACTATGTGTTCATCTCCAAGACAACAATTTCTACAGACAAGGGGATTAAATTAAAGGATTACATTTATTTTTACTGTCAATTGCACACAAGTTCCAACCGAAACTTGACTACCGCTTTTAACCCAACCCCTCTGAATCGGAGAGGTGCGGCAGCTGCCACATTAGGCGTCCGGGGAGCAGTTGTTGTGGGGGGTTAACTGCCTTGCTCATGGGCAGAATGACAGATGTTTCACCTTGTCTGCTCTGGGATTCAAACTAGCAACCTTACAGGTTACTGGCCTTTCGGTACACACAGTATCATAATAATCATCCGTTTACCCCAATATCCAGGCTCATAGTCCAACTGAATAAAGAGAGCTTTCATGATGCATGGGACAAATTATACTTGAACTTAGTACTGTCCTGTAGACACAGAGAAGAAACATGAGATTGAGTTGTTTTTCCATTGTTCACATAACTGCAACATTCCTGCCCACTTAATTGCTTTGTGAGCTCACACACCAAACTAAACTATTGAATTACAGTACTTCGATTTATATTTCAGTTATTACTACAGCCACTAGATGGTGCAATGTATTCAGACTTTGCATGATTCACCAGAGAGACAGTGCCTTCAGAAAGTATTCCTAACCCTTGACTTATTCCACATTTTGTTGATACAGCCTGAATTCTAAATGGATAAAATATATGTTTTCCCCCTCACCCATCTACACACAATACCCCATAATAACAAAGTGAAAACATTTTTGCTAATTTATTGATAATGAAATACAGAATGCATTTGCATAAGTATTCACACCTCTGAGTCAATACTTAATAGAAGCACCTTTGGCGGCAATTACAGCTTTGAGTTGTCTTGGGTATGTCTGTATCAGCTTTGCACATCTGGATTTGTGGATTTTCTCAAGCTCTGTTAAGTTAGATGGGGAGCAGCGTTGAACAGCAATCTTCAAGCCTTTCCGCAGATTTTCAATGGGATTCAAGTCTGGGCCACTCAAGGACTTTCACATTCTTGTCCTGAAGCCATTCCAACATTGCTTTGGATGTATGTTTGGGGTCATTGTTCTGTTGGAACGTAAATCTTCGCCCCAGTCGAAGTTCGTTTGCACTCGGAAGCAGCTTCTCAAGGATTTGCCTGTATTTGGCGCCATTCATTTTCCCCTTTATCCTTACCAGTCTTCCAGTCCCTGCCACTGAAAAGCATCCCCATAGCATGCTGCTGCCACTACCATGATTCACGGTAGGGATGGTGTTAGACGGTTAATGAGCTGTGCCTGTTTTTTATCCAGACATAGCACTTTGGATTCAAGCCCAAGAGTTCAATTTTTGTCTCATCAGACCACAATCTTTTGCCTTATGGTCAACATTTTTCACGTGCCTTTTTCTCAGGACTGGCTTCCGTCTGGCCACTCTCCCATAAAGATCAGATTGGTGAAGTGATGTAGTTCTGTAAGAGTGGTTATTGGGTTCTTGGTCACCTCCCTGACCCAGGTCCTTCTTGCCCGGTTGCTCAGTTTGGTCGGACGGCCAGCTCTAGGCAGAGTCTGGGTAGTTCCATATTTTTTCCACTTGATGGACTTGACTTTCAACACTCTAGAAATTGTTTTATACTTTCCCCAGATATACACCTCATCACAATTATATCTTGGCGATCTGCGGACAGTTCCTTGGACTTAATGGTGTAGTTTCTGCTCTGACATACACTGTCAACTTTGGGACCTTATATAGACAGGTGTGTTTCTAAATCATCTCCAAACAATTGAATTGGCCAAGTTGTAGTGATATCTCAAGGATGATCAAAGGTAATTGGATGCACCTCAGCTCAGTTTGGAGTGTCATAGCAAAGGGTTTTTTCATTTTTCAATACATTTGCAAACATTTCTAAAAACATGTTTTCACTTTGTCATTATGGTGTATTAAATAGATGGGTGAGAAAAATATATTTATTTAATCCATTTTGAATTCAGGCTGTAACACAACAAACTGTGGAATAAGTCAATGGGTTTAAATATCTGAAGGCACTGTAACTACAGTATTGTCATTAACTTGACAATATACATTTGCACAGAGACTATTCAACCAAACCAAGGACATGAATGAAACAATTTAATAATAATAATAACAACAACAATAGTTGTATTTTATATACCGCTTTTCATTCAAACAAAAGTGCATGTAGTCCTTCGGCTGGACAATGCATTTTAAAATCTGCGGATGTCCGATGGTCTAGTACTTTAACTCATCTATGCGTGTGCAATTACATCAAGGACATTAGTTTCATAATGCTTGGCATTTGCAAGCTGTTATAATGTGCTCTGTCTGGAATATCCTGTGGAGAGGTTGAAACTGTTTACTCTGGGATTGATTAATGGCCTATCTGGTGTGGTTGTCACAGCAACCAGGGCACCAATTGGCTGTGTGTTCAGGCGCAAACAGGAAGTTAAGAGGCTAAGAACAGCAACCGAAACCAAAAGGCAGCCAGAACATGAGCCAAAACAGGCCCCTTAGAGATTATGATGTGCTGCTGAAGGCCGGAGCTCAACAACTACCCTCTTTTCCCCCAATAAAATATGAAAGGAGGATTGTTAAGAGGAAACCGAAAAGAAAAGAATATACTGAATTTTCAGTTCACAATCACTAGAATTTGTAGGCTTTTCAGAGCCATTATGCAATAGCTGGAATATCACTGCATTCAGGCCTGTTGAAACAAGTAATATAGGAGTCAACATACAGGGGCAAAACACTCACTGTTGGCACCATTTTCTTTGCAAAGATCTCACTTCCCGAGATGAGAAAGGACAGCAGGAAAAGAACAGTGAAACAAATTTCTTGAATCCAACAGCTGAACCAAACAACTGCATAAACATTTCACACATGGTCATAAAACAGGCATTGCTGACCTCTGGTAATATGTGTCACTGTATTGAAACTTGAAAAACCGTCTACACTTGTACCACAGGATTACAAAACAATATTTTTATTAAGATTCGCATGTTGATCCACAGGATTAAGAGTTGCCCATGAATGTGTGACACACTCAAACGTGTGTAAATGGATTTAGCAACGAATTTAAAACACACCATTACATATAGGCACACATAGGCAACAAACCTCTACAATTTCACACACATTAGATGTCACAAATGCGGTCTTGTTGATACAAACGTTTTTTTCTTTTTTTCTTCATCATGTGTCATGTAAATAACAATAATAAAAAAAGAATCTAACAAAAAATCTGAAATCTTTCATTGAGGAAAAAATATACAAATCAAATAATTGTCCACCTTAGATTAAAATGTCCCTTTACATAAAAAAATATATAAGCGTGCTTAAAAGGCATCAAGATAAATTACCAAGTGCATTTATTCACTTCATCCTTTTAGCCAATCGATAGCATCCCCTTGAAGGTCAAAGACAAGGTTGGAAAGTTAGACATAGATCAGCAAGGCCTCTTAAGGCCTTTCCCAGGCTTTAGCCTTGCTGTCAGAGTAGACACACAGCCGGGGTGGCCACACACATCTCTATCAGTGTTTTCCATAAGGTGCAGAAGCGGTATGCCATTCCGCAGACATATCAGTATGTACATTATTAACAGCGGGCGGAGAGTGGGAGAGATGCCCAACAGTTTCACAGTTTGTAGATTAATTCCCTCCCTCCCATCCCATCTAAAACGGCCCTGAGATCTTGGCAGGTTCAGTTTGGGCATCGATCCATATTCTACAGCTCACAGAGCCCCTATACTGTATAGTATGTCCCATAGACATAGTCCCAGCCATTCCCATGAGTAGGCACTCTGGTCGAACAACAAGCACAGCAGTGATCAATGCTTTTCCACACCTAGCCTGCCACTGACTGGCCTGTATCTGGTCTCGAGTCACTGCACTGCCAGGGCTTCAGCAGGTCTTGACAGAGGAGACGTCTGAGGTCTTCATGATAACGCTGGCTCTGGTCTCTGCAGCAGAGGCCTGGCTGGAGGAAGCCTGCTCTGAGGGAGGGTGCTGGGCTGTTGGAATGTCCCTGGTCCAGGGGCTGTTGCTGTAGCTGATGAGGGGCGTTGGGTCCCTGGTGCTGGTCACTTTGAAGTTGGTTACCTTTCCACCAGTGACGAAGGTGGCCATGCTGGGTAGTGAGCACGAGGGCACTCTCAGCACAGAGGAAGTGAAACTTGATTCCCACAGCCCACCACGGAGATGCTGCAAGTCACAGAGAAGGTGGGTTTAATTCAGCCAATGCCATAACCATTCAAACACTCATTTCAGGATATACATGAATATAGAGTTGGCTACTAGCATATTTCTCAACATGTATTTTGGTCTGTTTGCGGAATCTTCATAAATCATTGACAGCATTAGAAGAGGGAATTTCAATGACATAGCAAGTCTTGCAAAACGTGGCATATTTACCAATTAAAATCTATTAACTTGAACACATTTACATGCACATATATTGTCAAGTTTATGAGCACTGTCAAACTTGTTCTTAATACTTTCTAACATGCTTGTCAATTTCAACTGCTCCTCCTGCTGTTGAGCTCTGCATGATTAATCTATACTAAGGAACCTCATCTCCCCCCCTCTTCACCCACCCACGGACACACATGTGCGTGTGCAGCATCACATTTCCTCTTCCAGCTCAAATGTCTGCAAGAGATTCTACAAGTGCCACAATAGCCATCTTGAGGCCACCTCAAAAGTAATGTCCACATTTTGAAAGTAGCTGACCGCCAGGGCTTTATTGGGCACAGAAAACAGCCTGGTGTTATACTAGTTCTCTGTTTCTCCAGTGGACATGTCAATCAACACAAAAGGCAACAGTTAAGAAATAAAGAATGCATTCTGTTGAATTCTGTAACGGTATGCATGTGCTTGATTTGTGATTGACCTTGTCTTGTAACAGTATGTACAGTACCAGTCAAAAGTTTGGACACACCTGCTCATTCAAGGGTTTTTATTTTTACTATTTTCTACATTGTAGAATAGTGAAGACATCAAAACTATGAAATAACACATATGAAATCATGTAGTAACCAAAATAAGTGTTAAACAAATCAAAATATATTTTAGATTCTTCAAAGTAGCCACCCTTTGCCTTGATGACAGCTTTGCACACTCTTGGCATTCTCTCAACCAGCTTCATGAGGAATGCTTTTCCAACAGTCTTGAAGGAGTTCCCACATATGCTGAGCACTTGTTGGCTGCTTTTCCTTCACTCTGCGGTCCAACTCATCCCAAACCATCTCAATTGGGTTGAGGTCGGGTGATTGTGGAGGCCAGGTCATCTGATGTAGCACTCCATCACTCTCCTTGGTCAAATAGCCCTTACACAGCCTGGAGGTGCGTTTTGGGTCATTGTTCTGTTGAAAAACAAATGATAGTCTCGCTAATCGCAAACCAGATGGGATGGTGTATCGCTGCAGAATGCTGTGGTAGCCATGCTGGTTAAGTGTGCCTTGAATTCACCAGCAAAGCACCCCCACATCATAACACCTCCTCCTCCATGCTTCACGATGGGAACCACACATGCGGAGATCATCCGTTCACCTACTCTGCGTCTCACAAAAACACGGCGGTTGGAACCAAAAATCTCAAATTTGAACTCATCAGACCAAAGGACAGATTTCCACCGGTCTAATGTCCATCGCTCGTGTTTCTTGGCCCAAGCAAGTCTCTTCTTCTTATTGGTGTCCTTTAGTAGTGGTTTCTTTGTAGCAATTTGACCATGAAGGACTGATTCACGCAGTCTCCTCTGAACAGTTGATGTTGAGATTTGTCTGTTACTTGAACTCTGTGAAGCATTTATTTGGGCTGCAATCTGAGGTGCAGTTAACTCTAATGAACGTATCCTCTGCAGCAGAGGTAACTCTGGGTCTTCCATTCCTGTGGCAGTCCTCATGAGATCCAGTTTCATCATAGCGCTTGATGGTTTTTGCGACTGCAATCTGGAAATGATCCAGATTGACTGACCTTCATGTCTTAAAGTAATGATGGACTGTCGTTTCTCTTTGCTTATTTGAGCTGTTCTTGCCATAATATGGACTTGGTCTTTTTCCAAATAGGGCTATCTTCTGTATACCACCCCTACCTTGGTTACTACATGATTCCATGTGTTATTTCATAGTTTTGATCTCTTCACTATTATTCCACAATGTAGAAAATAGTAAAAATAAAGAAAAACCCTGGAATGAGTAGGAGTGTCCAAACTTTTGACTGGTACTGTATGTGCTTGATATGTGATTGGCCTTGTTTTGTAACGGTATGTACAGTGCCTTCAGAAATTACCCACACACCTTGACTTTTTCAGCCCAAATTTAAAATGGATTAAATAGAGATTTTTTTGTGTCACTGGCCTATACACAATACCCCATAATATCAAAGTGGAATTATGTTTTTAGAAAGTTTAACAATTTAACAATTAAAAGCTGAAATGTCTTGAGTCAATAAGTATTCAACCCCTTTATGGCAAGCCTAAATAACTAACTTCAGGAGTAAAGATTTGCTTAACAAGTCACATAATAAGTTGCATGGACTCCTTCAGTGCGCAATAATAGAGTTCAACATGATTTTTTAAATGACTACCTCATCTCTGTACCCCACACATACAATTATATTTAAGGTCCCCCTGTCGAACAGTGAATTTCAAACACAAAGACCAGGGAGGTTTTCCAATGCCTCGCAAAGAAGGGCACCTATTGGTAGACATTGAATATCATTTTGAGCATGGTGAAGTTATTAATTACACTTTGGATGGCATATAAATCCAGGCTCTGTCGCAGCCGGCCGCGACCGGGAGACTCATGGGCGGCGCACAATTGGCCCAGCGTCGTCCAGGGTAGGGGAGGGAATGGCCGGCAGGGATGTAGCTCAGTTGATAGAGCATGGCGTTTGCAACGCCAGGGTTGTGGGTTCCAATTCCCACGGGGGACCAGTATAAAAAAAAAAATATGTATTCACTAACTGTAAGTCGCTCTGGATAAGAGCGTCTGCTAAATGACTAAAAATGTAAATGTAAAATATAAATACACCCAGTCACAAAGATACAGGTGTCCTTCCTAACTCAGTTGCCGGACAGGAAGGAAACCGCTCAGGGATTTCACCATGAGGTCAATGGTGACTTTAAAACAGTTACAGAGTTTAATGGATGTGATAGGAGGAAACTGAGGATGGATCAACAACATTGTAGTTACTCCACAATACTAATCTAATTGACAGAGTGAAAAGGAGGAAGCCTGTACAGAATAAAATATTCTAAAACATGCATCCTGTTTGCAACAAGACACTAAAGTAACACTGCAAATAATATGGCAAAGCAATTAACTTTTTGTACAACACAGCACATTACTGAGTACTACTCTCCATATTTTCAAGCATAGTGGTGGCTGCATCATGTTATGGGTATGCTTGTAATCGTTAAGGACTGGGGAGTTTTTCAGGATAAAAAATTAACGGAATGGAGCTAAGCACAGGCAAAATCCTAGAGGAAAACCTGGTTCAGTCTGCTTTCCACCAGACACTGGGTGATTGATTCACCTTTCAGCAGGACAATAATCTAAAACAAAAGGCCAAATCTACACTGGAGTTGCTTACCAAGGATGTTCCTGAGTGGCCGAGCCACAGTTTTTACTTAAATCTGCTTGAAAATATATGGCAAGACCTGAAAATGGTGGTCTAGCAATTATCAACAACCAATTTGACAGAGCTTGAAGAATTTTGAAAAAAAAAAAAAAGGGCAAATATTGCACAATCCAGGTATGGAAAGCTCTAGAGACTTACCCTGAAAGACTCACAGCTGTAATCGCTGCCAAAGGTGCTTCTACAAAAGTATTGACTCAGGGGTGTGAATACTTATGTAAATGAGATATTCCTGTATTTCATTTTCCCAAAATACATTGCTAAAATTTCTAAAAACATATTTTCACTTTGTCATTATGGGGTACTGTGTGTAGATGGGTGAGGGAAAACTATATATTTAATCCATTTTTAATTCAGGCTAACAACAAAATGTGGAATAGGTCAAGCGGTACGAATACTTTCTAAAGGCACTGTATGTGTTTGAGTTGTGGTTGGGCTTGTTTTGAGGACAATTCAAGATATGAAATGAGGTCTAATCATTAGCCAGGTGAATCAAGTGAATCCGGTGTTCACCAGAGAGCTGCCTTATGTTTGTCTTTCTTTACATCAGAGCACTCTAGAACAGGAAATGACAATACAAGCTAGAGGTAGAGCTACAGCGACAGTTTTACCATGTTACAGTACTCAACTATAAAGCAGTAGAACTGGCTAATGTAATGACAAAAAATTGTGGGCTTCAAGTTAAGGCTTGTTCATCAGATCGGGCAGGGTTAATGTTTCAGCAGTCTGTATGTGTCTGTGTTCGCAGGCAGGCCCAGCCATGCCGCTCAGCCCTATTGGAATAAGCGAATGCTGCTAGTGAAGTGCCCTTCCCTTGCCTTAGAGAACAGGCCAGCTACAATGGCACCATAAAACAAAGCTATCACTCTGTGTTGCAAGCACTCCATAAAGGCTCACAGTATAGCTGGGACGATAAACTGAAAATGATCGACACCAACCAAACCGACCACTTATCGTGGACATTTTGCTGATATCTTTCATTAAGATAAATAACCTATAGGGCCCTACTAGAGAAATGTTAAGTTTGACATTAAATAAGTTTGCTAATATGGGTGATTGTTGATGGGACAATTGATAGCTACAACATTCAAAGTAGTAGCAGTAGTTTTAAGGGTAATATAAAAACTTAACTGGTGCACATTCATGTTATGAACTTATCGTTCAATTTATCGTTATAACTACATTTATCATGATATGGATTTTTATTAATATCGGCCAGCTCTAGCCCACAGGCTTCTGTGTACCTTTCCAATCTTACAAAAACATCTGTCTGTCTTGAGTGATTACTAAACTAACAATGGTTACCAGGACAACCAGTTTTAAATGATGTGCTTTGCTTCTGATACAGAGATGTATTCTACTGTTCAGAGTCCTTTAGTGTGTACACAGACCGGTTTAATAGATGTAGACAGAGCTCAGGCCTTACCTCCTTGGAGTCCTCTTCACTGTGCCCACTGTCGGGATCACTCTCTGTTATGCAGAACAGGAAGAACATTAGTCAGGCATTTCCAGACTAACAGGTTAGAGAAGGATGATGAAGTGAGGATTATCTGCTACCATCAGTGATACACTCTAGAGAGCCTCTACACAATCACTGATCATTTGATGCTTCACCAAATACTAAACATGCAGGACTAGTAGTTGTACTGTGTACAGTATGTCACTTTACACACCAGGCTGATCAACTGAAACAAACACTGTACCCCAAAAAATCCAAGCTCAAACTCTTTGTGTCAATGCCACTCCCAAGCAACACATTAACTTACTCTACAGTAATAACAGGAGCAGGTTGAATGACAGTGGAGATGTAGCCATGTTTATGATGACAAACACTGGCCTTGAGCTTGCAACAGCAAAGCCATAAACCCTAATATACATTAAGCAATACAACACAGTTCTATACTACCTGGCTCAAATAAAGGTTCAAAGGTCTCCATTTGACCTTGCATTTTGAAATGGAGCTGATACTGTTCCTTTGAAGCCACGGGCATAGAATGGTAGTAATTAATACCTCCAATCACCAATTAAATTAATCACCTATCAGTCTTATTTGATTGTAGTCAATCTACTCATTCAAACCTCATTCAACTCTAGCTTAATTTTGATGTAACTGATAAGGATTCTACCACTCTATTAAAACCTATGATGGGTACTGATGTGACTTGCAGGTCTTCTGCAGGAAAGATTGTAGCTGCCAGTGTCCTCACCGTGGGTGGAGGAGTTGGCGGCACAATTCTATATGCAAATTGAGATTCCAAATTCAGGGACAAGCACCCCTGTCTGTTGTGCTAGGGCATGGGTTGAGATGGGAGTGTTTGGGGGGGGGTGAACTGACCTCCATACGAGGACACAGGGGAGATCTGGAGTGGGTACGGGTGGCTGGAGCTGACTGACTGCTCCTCGTTCTCCGTGGTCACCTCGATGGTCTGGCAGACACAAGGCAGGTCGTCGACGATCAGCTGGTCGTACCCAGGACTGTGACTGCTCTGATTAAGATATTCTGAGGGAGAGAGGATGATCCCTGGTTATTAAACGGTCCTCCAGGGGAAAGACACACGCATACGCACCAAGCACTCTACACACACGTACATAGTAATATTGTTGTATGATGGTATTATACATTTTGTATTGTAGACATGTAGTGGTGTAATAATGTTATATGATGTAGTGTTTTATATGTAATGTAAGTGTCTTAATGCGTTTGGAACCCAGGAAGAGTAGCTGCGGCCTTGGCAGAACTAATGGGGATCCATACTAAACCAGGCCATCTATAAATCACTGCTAGGCAAATCCCCGCCTTGTCTTAGCTCATTGGTCACCATAGCAGCACCCACCCGTAGTCTGCGCTCCAGCAGGTATATCTCACTGGTCATCCCCAAAGCCAACACCTCCTTTGGCCGCCATTCCTTCCAGTTCTCTGCTGCCAATGACTGGAACGAATTGCAAAAATCTCTGAAGCTGGAGACACTTATCTCCCTCACTATCTTTAAGCATCAGTTGTCAGAGCACCTTACCGATCACTGCACCTGTACACAGCCCATCTGAAATTAGCCCACCCAACTACCTCATCCCTATATTGTTATTTATTTTGCTCTTTTGCACCCCAGTATCTCTATTTGCACATCATCTCTTGCACATCTAGCATTCCAGTGTTAATTCTAATTGTAATTATTTTGCACTATAGCCTATTTATTGCCTTACCTCCATAACTTGCTACATTTGCACACACTGTATATATATTTTCTGTTGTATTTTTTTGACTTTGTTTTTTTACCCCATATGTAACTCTGTGTTGTTGTTTATCGCACTGCTTTGCTTCATCTTGGCCAGGTCGCAGTTGTAAATGAGAACTTGTTCTCAACTGGCTTACCTGGTTAAATAAAGGTGAAATAAAATACAAATAAATAAATAAAATACTAAACCCCAGGAAGAGTAGCTGCTGCCTTGGCAGGAACTAATGGGGTTCCATACTAAACCCCAGGAAGAGTAGCTGCTGCCTTGGCAGGAACTAATGGGGATCCATACTAAACCCTAGGAAGAGTAGCTGCTGCCTTGGCAGGAACTAATGGGGATCCATACTAAACCCCAGGAAGAGTAGCTGCTGCCTTGGCAGGAACTAATGGGGATCCATACTAAACCCCAGGAAGAGTAGCTGCTGCCTTGGCAGAACTAATGGGGCTCCATACTAAACCCCAGGAAGAGTAGCTGCTGCCTTGGAAGGAACTAATGGGGCTCCATACTAAACCCCAGGAAGAGTAGCTGCTGCCTTGGCAGGAACTAATGGGGATCCATACTAAACCCCAGGAAGAGTAGCTGCTGCCTTGGCAGGAACTAATGGGGATCCATACTAAACCCCAGGAAGAGTAGCTGCTGCCTTGGCAGGAACTAATGGGGATCCATACTAAACCCCAGGAAGAGTAGCTGCTGCCTTGGCAGGAACTAATGGGGATCCATAATAAACCCCAGGAAGAGTAGCTGCTGCCTTGGCAGGAACTAATGGGGATCCATAATAAACCCCAGGAAGAGTAGCTGCTGCCTTGGCAGGAACTAATGGGGATCCATACTAAACCCCAGGAAGAGTAGCTGCTGCCTTGGCAGGAACTAATGGGGATCCATAATAAACCCCAGGAAGAGTAGCTGCTGCCTTGGCAGAACTAATGGGGATCCATAATAAACCCCAGGAAGAGTAGCTGCTGCCTTGGCAGAACTAATGGGGATCCATAATAAACCCCAGGAAGAGTAGCTGCTGCCTTGGCAGAACTAATGGGGATCCATAATAAACCCCAGGAAGAGTAGCTGCTGCCTTGGCAGAACTAATGGGGATCCATAATAAACCCCAGGAAGAGTAGCTGCTGCCTTGGCAGAACTAATGGGGATCCATAATAAACCCCAGGAAGAGTAGCTGCTGCCTTGGCAGAACTAATGGGGATCCATAATAAACCTCAGGAAGAGTAGCTGCTGCCTTGGCAGAACTAATGGGGATCCATAATAAACCCCAGGAAGAGTAGCTGCTGCCTTGGCAGAACTAATAGGGATTCATAATAAACCTCAGGAAGAGTAGCTGCTGCCTTGGCAGAACTAATGGGGATCCATAATAAACCTCAGGAAGAGTAGCTGCTGCCTTGGCAGAACTAATGGGGATCCATAATAAACCTCAGGAAGAGTAGCTGCTACCTTGGCAGAACTAATGGGGATCCATAATAAATACAAACACACAACCAAACACAGATGTATGAATATAAGACATTAGTAAGAGTATAATTAACTACATTGATTGAGGTGTGTAGTAGACACAGTGTGGTCACAAATGGCATTGTGTTCCTTGTAAAGGGCACTACTTTTGACCAGAGCCCTATAGAAATTGATCAAAAACAGTGCACTATATAGGGATTAGTGTGCAATTGGGGACACACAAAATACACTAATGCCAGGTATTACCTGTGCAGTCTGTAAAGTACTCTTCTTTCACCTCCTCCTTCACCTCCACCTTCACCACCGGCCCACGATGGTCTCCAACAGACCCATTCATGCTCTCCATGGCTGGGGACCCGGGCTCCACCTGCTGCTGGGGTGACAGAGGCAGAGGGGTGTGGGCATCCCTCTCCATCCTCATTGGAGGTCTGTTATCCATGCTCATACCATTTTACATACAAATTATTTATTTATTTAAAATAATAGTTTGAATGTGAAATGGATTCTAGAGTTATGTATAGAGGTGTTCTGTGTCAACACAACATTTTGACGATGGTTATTACCTTGTTCTTTCCCCCTTTCTCAGTCCTCTTCTTTCCTAGAAAACACACCGACAGTCCATTGTTAATAGGTACACAATCTATTTCAGTGTGTCAAACGTGCATCAATTTTCTACATGTTATTACCCCGTTTTAACATATACATATAACAAATGAATTGAAGTTGAATGCAAAACTGGCCACATCATAATCCCTTAGTACAGTCATAAGTGTGACCCTCTGAAAGCTGATATATCCTTCGGTCTGCCATTTATAATTCACTGCACTGAATCTATGCACACACACTGGATTCTAACCACACACAAACACTGGATTCTACCCACACACACACTGCCACACACTTTCACAGTCACCACATATGCTGCTGCTACTGTTTATTATCTATCCTGTTGCCTAGTCACTTTACCCCTACCTATATGTACATATCTACCTCAATTACCTTGTACCCCTGCACATCGACTGGTACTCCCTGTATATAGCCATGTTACTACCTGGTACTCCCTGTATATAGCCATGTTACTACCTGGTACTCCCTGTATATAGCCATGTTACTACCTGGTACTCCCTGTATATAGCCATGTTACTACCTGGTACTCCCTGTATATAGCCATGTTACTACCTGGTACTCCTTGTATATAGCCATGTTACTACCTGGTACTCCCTGTATATAGCCATGTTACTACCTGGTACTCCCTATATATAGCCATGTTACTACCTGGTACTCCCTGTATATAGCCATGTTACTACCTGGTACTCCCTGTATATAGCCATGTTACTATCTGGTACTCCCTGTATATAGCCATGTTACTACCTGGTACTCCCTGTATATAGCCATGTTACTACCTGGTACTCCCTGTATATAGCCATGTTACTACCTGGTATTTCCTGTATATAGCCATGTTACTACCTGGTATTTCCTGTATATAGCCAAGTTACTACCTGGTATTTCCTGTATATAGCCAAGTTACTACCTGGTATTTCCTGTATATAGCCATGTTACTACCAGGTATTTCCTGTATATAGCCATGTTATTACCTGGTACTCCCTGTATATAGCCATGTTATTACCAGGCACTCCCTGTATATAGCCATGTTACTACCTGGCACTCCCTGTATATAGCCATGTTACTACCTGGTACTTCCTGTATATAGCCATGTTACTACCTGGTACTTCCTGTATATAGCCATGTTTTTACCTGGTACTTCCTGTATATAGCCATGTTTTTACCTGGTACTTCCTGTATATAGCCATGTTATTACCTGGTACTTCCTGTATATAGCCATGTTATTACCTGGTACTTCCTGTATATAGCCATGTTAGTTTTACTTGTTATTCACAGTATTTATTCCTTGTGTCACTATTTCTATTTATCTTAATCTTTAACTCTACATTGTTGTCAGTAAGCATTTCACTGTTAGTCTACACCTGTTGTTTACTAAAGCACGTGACAAATAAAATGTGATTTGAATTCAATCACTGTTCTCTCTGAGCCAGAGACTGCGTTTATACAGGCAGCCCAATTCTGATCTTTTTTTCCACTAATTGGTCTTTTGACCAATCGCATCAGATCTTTTCACATCAGATATTTTTCAGAGCTGATCTGATTGGTCAAAATACCAATGAGTGAAAAAAAAGATCAGAATTTGGCTGCCTGTCTACACGCTGCCAGAGACTCAGAGAACCACTTGCCTTTCTTGGTCTGGCGCTCTGAAGCAGACAGCATCTTGTATACTCTGAAAGCGTTGGTCCCCTTCTTGATGCTCTTGTCTTTCACCTCCTCAATATCAGGCAGAGAGTTCATAGCACAGCGGAAATTGGCCTTCCATGTTTTCGGGTCTGGTTTGTCGATCCCTAGTTGGTATTTTCCTGATTAGACAAAATCACTTGTTATGGGAAGGCCATACTGCTGCATAAACTTGAGTCATAACACAACAGTGGCATTGGTCATGTAGAACTGTGTATTGTTGGCCATTTCTTATCATTTCAAAATGTTCATTACCGTACCCGTATGAATGGCCCAGTTCATGAATAAAGGGGCATCTTTCTCCAAATCCCAGCCATGCCTTGCAGCATGCATCCATGGAATCTGGAAGATCCTCTTCTCCTGCAGGTTTATCACAACAATGATTCAGACATACTTTATGACTTGGCTAACACATCATCAGCACATTCATGTGTGTGTTTCCTGTTTCTACATACAGTACTTGTCAGTAAGGATTTATCAAATATAACAAGAAAACAAAAACACACACAATTTAAAAACACAGAAGTTTGACAGAATATAGTGCACTGTTTAGATATGAGGGTAAGCCTGTTTGTGTGACGGAGGGGTTATGTTGGTGGGTTTGGTAGCAAATTGCTTCAGCAAAGATTGAAAACCTGGTACAGAATAAACTTAGAATGTGGTGAGGTTCCATACTAAAGAAAACGGAATGTCTCAATAAATATACATTTCACTCACTCTATTAATCCATATCAGGCCAGGGATTAGGGAAGAGTTGATCTGTTCCACCAGCCATGGCCGCATTCGCATCCTCTCCACGGGCATGGTTGCCTGCAGACACAGAGCAAGGAGGAGATAAACAGTGAATTTAATGAATTACCTCTTCCCTTTGCTTCCTGTAGACAGCAATAGGTCAGAAAACCTCTGTGGCCAAGAGGCCCATTGGGGGGATGACATCACTCCCTGAGCCTATCAGCAACATCTGATCTCATTCTCTAACTACAGAGCAGAACCCCAGTGCCACAACACATATTTTACATATGGGCTACAACAAAACACGAATAGGCGCAGTTATGTTTTAGCACACGTCAAGCTTGTTGATGTGTAATAAGGTGTTAATGGTTAAAGGTGGTTAATGGTTAAAGGTGCACATAAGCTTGTGATGACCATGCAAGTTCCTTAGTTATTGCTGCATGTAGCGTTAGCCAAGAATTCTCAAATCCACGTTACCCGATGGAGTTGAACAGCGAGGCGCTGAGTTTTAGCAGTGTAGCCTACTTCCGACTACATCGAGTAGGTATCAGTCGATACTAGTAAAATTGTCCATTCTTTCATGCGTACCTTGTACCTGTGTGTCCTGTGTGACCGCGTTCTTTTCTTTGGGTGCTGCAATCCGTAGGTTTTGATAAAAACGTCATTCTATGCGACCCCTGTCAAATTGCGCCGTGCGGAACTGCTCCTTCTGCTTTAACAAACAATGTCTCTCTTGGCGGAGGTCGCGTAAAAAGCTATTTTTAATTTAAAAACGACGGATTGCAGCACCCAAAGAAAAGAACCCAGTTACACAGGACAAACATAGGTACGCATTAAATAATTGACATTTTTTAGTATCGACAGATACCGACTCGATGTAGTCGGAGGTAAACACTCCGCCAAAACTAATCGCGTCGCCACCAAACTCCATCGGGTATCCTAGAGATGAGAATTATTGGCTCCAGGTAGAGGTAGAGTAATCACAGTGATCAAAGTCCACTTCAACAAAAGTCAACAAACTCCTAAACCAATATTCAGTAACAGGATATGAGAATGTTACTTTCAAATCTATGCATCATGGGTTTATCACACATATTCTAATTTGCTTTAAAAAAAATTAGGCAGTAAAATAATTAAGTTATCATTTTGTAAACCCTGCAGTTGTAGCCTAGTATTCATGCAATTTACTAAACCTGTTCCAATTCCATTATCCTGCCCATTTCTTTCGGAGCCTGATAACATACACAATCTAACAGACAACTACCTGTAAATGGTTATACTGTAACAATTGCCTGTAGACATTTTGGTGCGCAATGCGCCACAAAGAAACATTTCGCTCGATCTCGCGGAGTCATGCTGTAGTCAAAACTGACAGCTGTGCCAATTCAAGTTCACCAGAAAGCTGCCTGACATATCAACCCAAAAGTGAAAATAAACTTCATTCCATGTCGGTTGCCTATTGGATCAACATTCTATTACTTTCGATTAGGGTTTACAATGTCGCTTCGTGATTCTATGGATACATAACTTCAGCAAAAATAACATGCGGAAACGTTACCTGCGATAAAGTATTCTATTCAGATTGATTAATCGACAGTCCTCTTGTCAGTCGCACAATATTATCGTGTAGTTTGTGTTTCTGTATACCAAAGCGAAAAGTTAACTTAGCCTATTTCAGTGTCTAGATCGAAAGCAAAACAAGTAAAGGAAGTGCTTGGAGTGGAAATCCCCTCCCGATTTGTTTGTCTCAAGTCCCTTGAGCATAGATGGCGTTGCACGGGGTTGTGGAGAGCACGGACGTCTGCTCATTGGTCTACGCCTCTGCAACGGACAGCTCAATTTCATTTTCACTTCCTCAAACCCCAACTGGTTGGATTCCAGCTTGCCTTTTCTGCTTGAAACGAAACTAGTTGCTCTGTGTAGTATGTTTCCAAACTTGCTTCATTGCTTTTTGCATGGTTGATTTCTGACAATGTGGACAGACAACTGTAGTGTACTGTAAACCCTACATACAATATCAGAAAACAATGTAATTTTTGCCCATGATTAATATACTGTCTTTGTTATTTGAACTTAATGAAAATAAAACCTCCGTTTCTGGTCAGTATTGTCAGAAAGCCAAAGCAGAGGCGGGGTTGCCCTGGCCCCTAACACAGGAAATACAAGCACCTTGGCCCTGCTTGTCTCTGCAGGCATAGACATCTTATCTGAGGCCAAACACTCTGCAAGTCCCACCCATTCTATTGCCCATCATGTATTGGATAAAGACAGTTTTCAACTTTTGAATAACCATGGTATGTTCGATTTTCATATGGAATACTGTATCATTTTACCTTTACAGATCACAATGCAATTACAGTATTTTCTGTGGAAATGAAATGTTTGGCAACCATTTTACATCACATTAGTCTTAAGATTTTAAGAAGAACGGATTTTCCCGTTAGTTATTTCACAATAGGTTGCGAGAAATTCTTGCACCAGGAAACACATTTTATTTTTCTATTATTCTTTATTTCTTAAATCCCATTTACATACATGTTTTGTTTCTTGGAAAAAACATTTGGATAACAATTTACCAAGGATAAAAGCTACTTTATTCATATTTCTATTTCATGTAGTAACCCATTTTAATGTAAAATGTGCAAATGGGAAAAAAAACATCTCACAGGAGAGATTATTTATATAAATTGAGACATTGCACATCTTTTCAATACTTTTAAAGCCTGAGTGACTGTTTCATTCCATGTTATCTGAAAATGTGTTTACCTTTATACCCTATAATTCAGAACATTTTAATTCCTAGTTCCATCCCAAATACATGAACAACAAATCAATAGCAAGTACTCCTATTGCATAGTCATTACTTAATGCCAGCCTTTCCCCATTAAAAATGCATTCTCTGTGGTCCAACATAATGCCCTTTAGACCTCCAGGGTAAAACATCTCATCATACCTTTTCGCTTTTAGATTTTCCACAACCAGAATACAAGTATTTGAATGAGTGATTATCCACGGTGGTATTTGGTTCACAACATCCCTCTGTATTATTTAATGGTCTTTAGAACCCCAGTAGACATTGTGCAAATATTTGAAATGGTCCCACAGGATATACAATCAATGTGGAAAGTAGAGATCTTTGGTCAACATAGACACAATGCAAGGGATCTGCTTTTTGGCATTGAAACCAGGCATGTTGGAGGAAGCCTCGAAGTCATGTGCCACCTTGTGGTTGACACGTGTCATGATCTGCATAATGTCCAGCTGTTTGCCGTACTGATGTAACATCTCACAGAGGGCCTGAATGAACCAGGAGCCCGTGTCGGTGTTCCTCCAGGAGTAGTAGCCTATGGAGTTCACAACCAATCAGAGTCAAACACTATAGCAATGATGAACATTGCTAAAACCTCTAAAGTGGTACATGATCGTTTTTGTACATAGGTGCAGTGCAATTACCATACAATCCTACTTTGTTATTGTAGCAGGCCTGTAGTCTACTATGATGCCCGCTGATACCCGTTTGCCGTTTGTGTAAAAGTTCAGACATATCAGTTGTAAGTACTACGTAACAATGGGTGCCGACACTGTACCATGTAAAGGTAACGTATGTAGTATGCATGAATAAATTACGTAAAGCACTTAAAGATGGAATCTTTAATTGAAACAAAAAGGGGAGACTGCCTGAGTTTTGGTGAAAAGCTGAGGGATGGGCCTGGAGAAATCTAACCACTCAAATTCAAAGTGAGAACTATGTATGCAAGGATTGACCATCCATGATATCAAAATGATAGTTTTAACCGTGTTGAGGCTATACAGTGTTGGTTTACATTTAGTTTGTTTACAAACATTGGAGTATAACAAGCTTATATATTGGGTACTGATGGGGTACGACAGTTAAAATAAGCTCATGAGGTATTTATAAGTTATATTCGTCAAGAATCAACGGGTATATATAACTAATGTATACGTTTTTTAAAAATTTAACAACTAAGGATTCTAGCTTTAAATATGTTATGTAAGATGGGCGGTAAAAAAACTAAGTTTATTAATAAACAGGGTTTATTACCTGGAGCTGTAGAGTAAGCATAGAGAAAGTCTGCCTCCACTGGAATCCTCTCTGGAGACTCACCAGCAACGCTGTCCGTCTCTATACCACAGTCCAGGTCAGAGCCACGGCACGCCTACTCACCAGGTCCACAGGAAGGATTAGGGGTCAAGGGTCAGGGGAAGAGAGGCTACTCTCTTAAGACTACCACTGAATATCAGTCATGCAGAATACATGTTCACTTTAGTACACAACATAAGTCAAGAAGTTATGCTGTATCCTCAGTCTTTATAGTTGGTTCAACAAACATACCTAGAGTATCATTGAGCTGTGTAAGGGACATTTAGAGCAGGCAGCTAAAACCTTACAGTACCTGGATGAAGAAGAGTTTGGGCTTGCCCACCAGCGTTTTGCAATGGTCGCCCCTGAAGAGTCCGGTGAGCTTCTTCAGCTCCACATTTCCGTCTGTGCCATAGAACACCCCCTCGTCTCCGTGGCTCAGCATCACACACACAAAGGAGGCAGACTGGCTGTGGTCGTCTTGAGACACTGAAAATGTCATACACACACATGTAGTTTAAACTTGCTCTTGAAGTCTATCAAAACATTTTATTAAGAGAGATTTCCTTCAGTTTATCAATGTTAGCCAGATGTCACATCATTACTACCATGATTATTGCAATGTATTTGTAGATGATCAGAAGAACTTATTCTCAAAAAATCTTAGAGAAAGGAAGAAAATCTAACTCAGACACTCACATCCAGACTGGTGAACTTACCACTGTAAAGCAGCCGTTGGATCTGCTGCACCGTCTGGTCATTGGCAACTTTCACTTTGTATCCCAAACGTGAGAACACCATCATTGCATATCTTGCGTCCATGTCTGTTCCCTTGCGAAAACTCATTCCTTTAAAGGGAAATGACCAACGAAGTGTCAGATAACAAAATCTGACATACCGTCATAACCTGAAAAGAAAAAAACTCCTAAAATACATCATTCACACTTAGGCCTACCCGTTCCCCTGTCAAAGTTCTTGTTGTTGATGATGACACATTGTCCAAGGCTGGGGTAGTTCATGTTATATGTGTAGATGTCAGCTGGAAGCCTAGCTTCTCCTTGATGATTCTCTGTAGTAAACCTTGGCACAGAGGGACTCCCTGGCCTGGAACAAAGAAAGAAGTTCCTTTCAACATTTAGTAACATTTCAACGTGCAATTTTCAACGTTAAACTGGTTCCACAGGTAGCCTAGTTGAAACGATGCTATGCCAATATGTTCGCACCGCAGTGATGAATGAGGTATATGGCTTGAAAACGTACCTTAATCCAGGGATGGACAGTGTCGCTGTACTCCTAATTATTCCATTATCCCAGTCAAAGACTGAAATACTGCCAGTTTTTTGTTGTTGAATAAAGCAGCACATTGGATTCAATGAAAAGGCAACGCCTAGCATTGGGGTGAGTAACTGTATTGTGCAATCCAATGGGCTGCTTTAGAATGAGATAATCTAGCATGCTGACAAAAAGGGCAGTTTAATGAAAAATGCAGTATTTCAATCTTCTAATTATCCCGTTATGCCAGCCGCGTAATCGAGGAGTACAGCAACACCTTCCATACCTGGATTGAGGTACGTTTTCAAGCCAAATGGCATAGAATCATTTAGACAAGAAGGAGAATGTAGTGAACCTCAAGTCGAAACCATTCCCACTAGACTGTACAGATGACATGCTTAAACGCACAATGACGCTTGTGTTCCCCTGCTCAGACGATGCATGCATCAACCAATGGTTGCATGCCATGTCATGTCACCGACTGTGCCGTCGGGCACCAGATTGCTATAGCATATGATGTGGTTAGCTGATAGGTAAAATACCTATCCTAGCGTTGTAAGATCTGGTATGCGTCAGCAACGTCTGAGCAGAGGAACACGGCCAACGTGTTTTTGGCTTATGATCAGACGTCCCATTGCATGTTCATGCAGCTGAGAGAATCATTTGTCCCACACTATTAATGGGTAAGTGAACGCATTAAAATATACTTTCGCGGAATATGAGAGCTGATAGAACTACGTAAAAAGAGGCTCACTGGCCCAGCTCATCCCCTCCCAATGGGGTTATAAATTGCCCAGTTCATGCTGTCCCAATGGGGTTATAAATGGCCCAGTTCATGCTGTCCCAATGGGGTTATAAATGGCCCAGCTCATGCCGTCCCATTGGGGTTATAAATGGCCCAGCTCATGCCGTCCCATTGGGGTTATAAATGGCCCAGCTCATGCCGTCCCATTGGGGTTATAAATGGCCCAGCTCATGCCGTCCCAATGGGGTTATAAATGGCCCAGCTCATGCCGTCCCAATGGGGTTATAAATGGCCCAGCTCATGCCGTCCAATTGGGGTTATAAATGAACAATGATAGAGTAAGCCTACATTCAACAGGCCTGAATTTTATTTTGTCGCCTGCTATTCTCTATTCCTTGTGAAGCTGATAGGGTTGACAGGAGAAATGCAATGCCTTACCCTTGTGCAGCTATCCATTTGGCATCCACCAAATCAGACATGGTGTCAGTCTCAGTTGGGCAATCACTCTTACAACGCCTATAGTTGTACTGAAAGAGAAAAATAAAGTAGTTTATTATACTTCCAAAGTTGAGTCCACACAGGAGCCAACAGTTCAATAGTGAATGTAGCTATTCGTTTTAACATTAGTGAATGTTATCTAACACTAGATAAAGCGCTTGCTAGTTAACGTTACTCTTATCAACGTCAGCTACCAATTTGAAAGCGAAACGTGTCCTATTCTTGTTAGAAATGTAGTTAACAGTAGTTAGTTAGCTAAATTGATTGATAAATGCCAATACATACGTTATCAATGTTAGGGGTAAAACAAACTTACTTTAAGTTAAGGCGTTGAAATACACAGGTAAGGGTGGAGACTTCTCAACTTGCCTGCTACTTGTTCATGAGATGGAGAAGTGTCAAATAAAAAAGCTAGCTACCGCATCATTTGGCAAACGCAGCCAATCGAATGCCGTAGTTTAGTGTGTGGGCAGGTTTCCCCACTAGTTACCATAGCCACAAAGTCAAAAATTGCCTTTATCGTGTAAAAATTCATGAAAACAAAAATGTGCTTTTTGGAATTAATTGAAGGTTAGGCGTAAGGTTAGCAGTGTGGTTAAGGTTGAAATCAGATTTTAAGAAGATAAATTGTAGAAATAGGCGGGGTTTATGACCTTGTGCCTGTGGTAACTAGTGACGACCCGCGTGGGCGGGCCTAAAGTACACACCTTGACCAGGGACAGAATTTCCAAAGAAGCCTACTGAGTGACTTTGCTGTAAACGTCCTTGCCCAGATTCCGACCCGAGTTAAGCGCGCGTAAATGGAACGTAATTCCCAATTTTTTCTCCCGCTTTCCCTTCTCTAACCTTGAATTTAAGCATGAGAATAGCATGTTATTCACCCACTATTCGTTTGAGGTGGAGCTCGAATAAATGGTGTGGCGGAGGGGTCTACAGATACGCCATATTCTGATCTTGACTTAATTCCCTAATAATTAAACCACCTTTAAGCGAGAGGAAAAAGCATATTCTCACTTTTTTACACCTTCCAATATCACAACGTTCAGGATTAATCAAACCACTGTTAAAAAAAAAAAAAGATTCATACTTAACCCTCAAATGTGCCTTAATAGTCTACAAGATCAGAGCATTTTAGAATATACCAGTTGGTGCTGAAACAGACGAATATGCATAGATGGCTTTCTTTTATTGGTACCTATATTCTGAACCCGTTCCCTCGATGTATTCTATTGAGTCTGTCAACAAAATTCTAATTAAAAGGTGCATCGTATTTAAAGGATGGTTTAAAATACATTTACTGAAAACCCCATTGAATGAAAACTCCCCGAGAAAATCTGCTGGCCAGCAAGTGAGCAGGTTTTCAGTGGTTGAATTACATTTATTCAGAGCAAGCAAGGTAGCCACACCTGCAGAGCACATTGCATGACTAAATAAGGTTGATACCAAATACTGAGAAGTGGGTAGGAAAGGCATAAACTCCTAAATCAGAAATACATGTAGTGAGCTCCAAAAGTATTGGGATAGTGACACATTTATGGTTGTTTTGGCTCTGTACTCCAGCACTTTGGACTTCAAATGATACAGTGCAGACTGTCAGCTTTAATTTGAGGGTATTTTCATCCATATCGGGTGAACAGTTTAGAAATTACAGCACTTTTTGTACACAGCCCCCCCCCAAAAAAAGTGTTGGGTCAAATTCACTTATATGTGCATTAAAGTACTAATGAGTTACGTATTTGGTCACATATTCATAGCACGCAAGGACTTCATCAAGCTTGTGACCACAAATTTGAGAGTGAGAAAGTTAGACTCACAAATATCATACCACCCCCCAACAAGGGGGTTAGCATGTCTTGGGGGTATGACGTTTGTGCGTCTAACTTTCTCACTCATCATTATTTACAATTAATTCAGGATTTTCGGTAATGTTTAGAAACATTCTATTCCGATTTACATTAAAAGTGACTCCAAAATTACACAATACATTATTTACCATTCATTTCTATTGGGCACAAAATAATCTGAAACAACCAAAACAAACAGCAAATGCATCCAACAAATAGTCACAACTTAGTGATTAATTTACACCATTTAGTTTGCAACTTGGAGCTCACTTGTTGTGAGCCACTCTGTCCAGAGCCTGTTGCAGCCTCTCGTTGACAGTCTTCAGCTGATCCTCAGTCCCCAGCACATCACGGGCTTCCAGGAGAAGAGCTGGTAGACTGGAGGGGCCATACTGTGGAACGGGAACAACAGATGTCAACAGAACAGTGCTTTAGCTCACTTTAAGCCACTATAATAGGTTATCACTGCCTATTCTGTTTATAGCGCCATTCTTGTGTATTTTCACTCTGCATTGTAAAAAAGGGCTTGTCAGCAAACATTTCAAGGTAAAGACTACACCCGTTGTATTCGGCGCATGCGACATAACATTCGATTTGATTCATGCCCTCTGAAGACTCATCCATAACAGTCTTTGGCCATAAATAAGAAACATTGTTGTAAGTGACTGGATGTCAGCATTAGGTTAAATTCTGAGCTGTAACTAGGTGAACAAGGCTTGTTGTTGACATCCTCCTCCTCACCTCCTCCGCCTGGTTAGGGTGGGCTTTTCTATGGTCCAGGTAGCTCTTGTGCAGGTGACCCAAATCTTTCAGGAAGGTGGTTCCCTTCCGTATGTCTGTTAGCCTCTGCTCCAGTCGAGCCTGGTCCTTCTGCAGGGCCCTCAATTGGGCCTCACTCCTGGCAGAGAACAATGGGATGTTTCACATTCTGTATTCTGTTTTGGATGCAGTGTTGTTGGGTTTGAGGAGAAACATGCCATATACTATAGATATAAAACATCACAGTAAACATTCTATTACCTCAGCAGTTCACCTTGCTTTAGCCCCATTTGTACATAAAATTACAGTAAACATACACAGCAATCTACAAGTAAAACCTCATACCTTATAAGTTCATTTTTGGCCTCGAGCAGCCTGGCTCTCTTACGGTTAATGGCAGCGTTCATCTGAGAAAACAACAATAGGCTGATGACTGACTTCATTAAATGATTATGACGGGACACAGTGAATATCCTTGTTGTCCAAGAAGAACTACAGAACATGAGACTAGAGAGTTCTGAGAGACATGTCCACAGGCTTCCAGAGATCTAGTGTTTGTAGTGTTCATATCTAAAGAAAAGCTTTTACCTTTGCGTTTTCCCATTTCAGGAATTTTAGCTCCTTTGAAGCAGTTATCTACGGAAATAACAAATTAAGAAAATGTGTTTATGAAAGCGTTTATAATATTTGCAACATATACTTGAAAGGTTTTGTTTTGTCAATAGTTTTTCACTGCCGTGTGAACAGAGACAGTTTCATCATAGCGGTTGATGGTTTTTGTGACTGCACTTGAAGAAACTTTCAAAGTTCTTGACATTTTCCGTATTGACTGATCTTCATGTCTTAAAGTAATGGACTGTCGTTTCTCTTTGCTTATTTGAGCTGTTCTTGCCATAATATGGACTTGGTCTTTTACCAAATAGGGCTATCTTCTGTATACCTACCCCCCCAACTTGTCACAACACAACTGATCGGCTCAAACGCATTAAGGAAAGACATTTCACAAATGAACTTTTAAAAAGGCACACCTGTTAATTGAAATGCATTCCAGGTGACTACCTCATGAAGCTGGTTGAGAGAATGCCAAGAGTGTGCAAAGCTGTCATCAAGGCAAATGGTGGCTATTTGAAGAATCTCAAATATAAAATATATTTTGATTTGTTTAACACTTTTTGAAACATTTGGACACACCTACTCATTCCAGGGTTTATTTTTACATTGTAGAATAATAGTGAAGACATCAAAACTATGAAATAAGACAATCATGTAGAAACCAAAAAAAGTGTTAAACAAATCAAAATATATTTTATATTTGAGATTCTTCAAAGTAGCCACCCTTTGCCTTGATGACAGCTTTGCACACTATTGGCATTCTCTCAACCAGATTCATGAGGTAGTCACCTGGAATGCATTTCAATTAACAGGTGTGCCTTGTTAAAAGTTAATTTGTGGAATTTCTTTCCTTCTTAATGCGTTTGAGCCAATCAGTTGTGTTGTGACAAGGTAGGGGGGGGGGGGGGGGGGGGGGGTATACAGAAGATAGCCCTATTTGGTAAAAGACCAAGTCCATATTATGGCAAGGACAGCTCAAATAATCAAAGAGAAATGAAAGTCCATCATTACTTTAAGACATGAAGGTCAGTCAACACGGAAAATATCAAGAACTTTGAAAGTTTCTTCAAGTGCAGTCGCAAAAAAACAAAGCGCTATGATGAAACTGGCTCTCATGAGGACTGCCACAGGAATGGAAGACCCAGAGTTACCTCTGCTGCAGAAGATAAGTTCATTCGAGTTACCAGCCTCCAATTGCAGCCCAAATAAGTGCTTCACAGAGTTCAAGTAACAGACACATATCAACATCAACTGTTCAGAAGAGACTGCGTGAATCAGGCCTTCATGGTCAAATTACTGCAAAGAAACCACTACTAAAGGACACAAATAAGAAGAGACTTGCTTGGGCCAAGAAACACAAGCAATGGACATTAGACCGGTGGAAATGTGTCCTTTGGTCTGGAGTCCAAATTTGAGATTTTTGGTTCAACCGCTGTCTCTTTGTGAGACGCAGAGTAGGTGAACGGATGATCTCTGCATGTGTAGTTCCCACCGTGAAGCATGGAGGAGGAGGTGTGATTGTGCTTTGCTGGTGACACCGTCTGTGATTTATTTAGAATTCAAGGCACACTTAACCTGCATGGCTACCACAGCATTCTGCAGCGATACACCATCCCATCTGGTTTGGGCTTAGTGGGACAATCATTTGTTTTTCAACAGGACAATGACCCAACACACCTTCAGGCTGTGTAAGGGCTATTTGACCAATAAGGAGAGTGATGGAGTGCTGCATCAGATGACCTGGCCTCCACAATCCCCCGACCTCAACCCAATTGAGATGGTTAAGGATGAGTTGGACCGCAGAGTGAAGGAAAAGCAGCCAACAAGTGCTCAGCATATGTGGGAACTCCTTCAAGACTGTTGGAAAAGCATTCCAGGTGAAGCTGGTTGACAGAATGCCAAGAGTGTGTAAAGCGGTCATCAAGGCAAAGGGTGGCTACTTTGAAGAATCTCAAATATAAAATATATTTTGATTTGTTTAACACTTTTTTGGTTACTACATGATTCCATGTGTTATTTCATAGTTTTGATGTCTTCACTTTTATTCTACAATGTAGAAAATAGTTAAAATAAAGAAAAACCCTTGAATGAGTAGGTGTGTATATATATATATATATATATATATATATATATATATATATATATATATATATATATATATATATACACACATATATATATATATATATATATTACACACAATTATTGTATTTTTCTACAGCAAATAATGTCTTATAAGCCCATGTGGGCTGGGCATCCTGAAGATGCAAAACACTATAATAATAAAATGTTTTTCCACTATTGGTTTTGCAAAGTTTGACAATGGGTCACCCACAATGAGTTACCTTCTCTGTGAGTTGATCTTCAAAAGAGCTTGAGAGAGCATCTATAGCCAGCAATACTGCATTAGAATCCACTGCATCCCTGAATAAAACAGGGAGAACATTTATAAACATTTTGCAATCTCATAATTACTTCAGATAATGATTACTTTAAAGATGTGTCTATCTATGCTAAAGTGATGATGGGAACTCACATATACTCTGACACGAATTCCAAAAATGAGTCCAACACCACATCAAGATCAGTGGGATTTTTTACATTCCTTCGTCTCTGCTCATCTCTTTTAGAAGGGCTGGCACTTCCTGAAAATAAAATACATGGATTCATTTCTGTGGTGTATATTTTACACAAATCAATTCATTCATGCAGTGCGGTATTTCACTCAGGTGGTCTTGAGAGAGAGACTCATCTGTCTGTCTGGGAGGATGTGGTGCTGAATAGACATCTAGCTCTGTTACCTGAGGATGACTTCCTCCACGACCCCTGCAAACTCCTCCTCGGACCCTGCCAACTCCTCCTCGGACCCTGCCAACTCCTCGATCCCTGCAAACTCCTCCTCTCAACTGAGGACTTCCTTTGCTTTCCAACATCATCTAGTCTGGCCTTCTTCTGACTTGGATTCTGTGGCGAGATAACTGGTTGAGTTTCCCCTTTTCCTTAGCAATCTGAAGGGCTGATGTGGTCAGGAAAAAGGCAACATATCCAAACAAAAAGTTGCAAATGTATCACAGATGACAAGGAAGGAATACATGTTACAGTTCTTTAAAGGAAAAGGTGACTGAAACATCTCACATTTAGTCACTCACTGGGAAGAGCAGTGGCTGTTCTTACCCAACTAATGTCCTCATTCGTCAGATCCTCTGAAGACAGGGAGGTTCTACGTTTCCTATGAACAGGTCGAGGACCGGAGCCCGGAGCAGACACCTCAATTTCTTCCTCCTCCTCCTCGCCCGATGACCTCTGTTAGGAAGCAGTGATTGGAGGACATTACGCTCATCACAGGCAACTTAATGTAACAATGCTCTTAGCAACAGTGCCCCTCTTATGTTACTGAAAGATGGGATAAATGTCATACCGAGTCATCTGCTTCTGTGTCCTGTTCCTTTCTGACCAGTGCCTTTTTCTGGGGCGCAGGTGCCTGTTTCTGTGGGGCAGAAGACCCTCTCTGAGCTTCTGTTAAATCCTCTTCACCTATCCCTTCTGCAATCTCTTTTTGGGGCCTGACCATTATTGTAGGAAAAGGAATATAATAAGTTTGAAACTAGAACTTTGGTGTTCCATTGTTAGTGGATATTTTCTTATTTCCCCTCTCCATAAAGGGATGAGAGCAAAACAGGCTTGTAATATCCCACACTGTGACAAGTAGGTTTTACCTGGCTTTTGGTTTGACCTTTTTCTGTTGGGGAGAACCCTTTGGCTGGACCACTTTGCTAGCTCTCCGTTTGGTCTGACCTCTCCCAGCCGGTGTGGGTCTTTTTGGGGTCGCACTATTAACCTTTTTGGATGGGCCCCATCTTCCCTTAGCTGCCCCCTCTTTTGCCGCTTCCTCTTTGTTTTGAGCCAAGTTTGGGCTGAAATCATCCTCAAGGGCAGTGCTGTGCAGTGGGTTACCTGGGCGGTCAATTAAGACATTTGTTGTAGAACTTCTTGACATTAATGATTTTTCATACTCATAAACGATTTAGGTTTGTTTTCAACTCACCATAAGTATCGCACTCGTCGAGGAAACTGGCTTTCTCAATGGTAGAAACATTTGGGGAAATAGGACTGTCCGTTGCTTTAGATTTCTGTGCATCTTTTGATGGACCCATCTGATGTGAAAACATTGCAAAGGGGCAACTTTGGTTACAGTAGCTCCCTTACAGGGGATATAATATAGCTAGGTAACGTTAGTTAGCTAGCTATGTCGATGACATTGAACATATAACTTAGTGAGAAATGTGCAAATGGACAAACAAACCCCAACAAGCTCGTGTTGCACAACTTTGAGCATCTTCGCCATTTGGCTCTTCTTACTGTGTGGAGGAGAGCAGACCTGTGAAACATGTGAATTTGATAGGCGACAGCAGAAGACAGCATTGTCGTTAACGTCATAGTTTTTTTCTTGTAGCTTGATGGCTATTTGTTTACCTCATGATGATTGATCGTTCCAAGATGAAAATGTAAGCTATTAGCTATTTGTATACATACAATTTGCAAAAGAACACTCAAAACATAGTAAATGAATACGCAAAAGTAGCAAACGATAAGTTTGCGCGCCAGCTGCTTGTGATGTTTTTTTGCGGATCAGCTGAATTTCTTTCCCGCAAAAAAAATATTCGAACGTTCTCGCGAGACTAGTCAAAAAATTACGAACACATGACCTTGTAGATGAGATGGTGCCCTCTACTGGATCGGATGACTGGATATTTCAGACAAAACACTCATGTATGGATGGATAGAACTACTCTGCCATTTTAAATAAATACACATCTGTTAATTGGGAACCGTTTTCCCCCGAAAATCTGTATTTATTTTTTTACAAAACAAACAAATCCCAGACAACATAGTAGTCGAAATAACAACACCATCAAGTTTAAACTAAGGCAAAATATTTCATATTAGATACACTTTTTCACAAGTATGTGTTACATTTTCAAAACTAAGCACATTTTCAACTAACTGAGTAGAACAAACACATTACCAGTCACTTGTTCACTGCACCAAAATCACTCTTTCAATTTAGATAGCTTGAATATGTAAGTATCTGCTTTTCAAAATGCAATATTCACTTTACTTTTGATATAATTTTCTTGTCATTTGTTAACAAAACTGTCACTTAAACTGCTCAAAACTGATAACTACTGAACCAAAATGTAGTGCCTAGTTAGAATATATAGTTTGATAACTGCTGAAAACTACATTTTTACCTCAAAATGTATCAATTTGAAATCAATATATGTTGTTAGGTAAAACCAAATCATATATGGATGTGGCTGTAAATACTACATAATTATCTAGCAGCCAGTGTGCTTCAATAGGACAAAGTGGAAAGAGTCACTATGTGCTACCACCTGGAATTATAGTGAGTTTACGATGCACTGCTGAAATACCTGGGTTGTATATAACAATATATTCATCTGAATTTCGTTGGTAAGCTGATGAATTTCAAGCAGAGAGACACTATCAGTTCACAAGTCACATAGAAAAGATCTTGTACAATGTTGCATGGGGAAGAAGTGGCAAACAACACATGGTATATTTTTACAGTGCCAACTGCTTTACAATGCTCACAACCTGCCATTGGATACAAATTATTACAAAAACTGTGCATGCCATGTTATAGTCAAATACAGTATGAAACATTATATTTACCATTGCTAGTCTTTCTATTCAGCACTTCAAAAAGAACAGTTTTGAAATGTGTATCTTGTATTCTTTGCCATTTGATTAAATGGTAGTTAAAATGATAAAAAATGGTGAGTATATCATTATCTGATGTATTGGTGACTAAACTAAATGTGCTCATACTATTTCATGGAAAACTTTGATTGTGCATTCATTGGGGTTTCACACAAGTCATTTATGCAAAATCAAAGGTTCTGAACATAAGATAGGGGGCATTACAAGTGTTATGACTTTAGAGTTTTGTACTTAGGAGTTTTGAAAATATACCACTTACATCAACAAAAAAATGGCCAAATTGATTGCAAAAAACTGTAAATCACATACCATCTGATTATGTGGAACAAGTTGTGCACATGAATCAAATAACACCACAACCTAAAACAGCTAACAATTCAATAAAATAATTAATTTTAATGACTTTTCCCTACACAAATAATTTACATATATTGTATATCCTACAAAGATTTTCTGTATAAATGTATCTAAAGTAATGGTGTTGAATGAGACGGTGAAGTCCTTCCCAAGATTACATTGAACATTTTCACAATCATGGTTCTCGATCTCAAGCTTTCACATCACGGAACCACTGAGGAACAGTGCAAAAACAAAAACACATCCCTCTTTTTCTTCTTCAATAATTTGAAAAAAATATATATCACATTTAGGCTTTAGTGTTTAGGTGTTTGTGTTGGAGGGTGTTATGGAAAGTGAGAACATGTAGCCCTGAGACTTCCAGTACAAAAGGAGGACATGCCTGAGACAACTCAGCACAAAACACTACTTCATTTGATGCTGATCCATAAAAATAAAAAAAATACTCCTTAGGATTACACACATTCATTTACCAATATACCTGAACCTGAAAAAACAATGCAAATTGACCGCAAGAATCCCAAACAGATATAATATTTGACAAAAACAATCATTTCTACATTTGAATACGATCACATATGCCTTTATTTATTCATGGGAATACATAGGAACGGCTTTTCTAAATTAAAGTCACTTTGAGATGATTTCCCCCCCCAAAAAAAAATTAATTACAACAATAATAATTGTATAAATGTGTATTTGTTTGCTCAGAAAACTTGGCAGGCCGCCTATTGGGGAACCCTGCCCTATAGAGTAGTACATTTTCTTCAGGCAGGCATGTATCCTAAGATACAATTCCCCTTTACACAGTTTCACCATCCCTTAAAGCCTATGATAACATCAAAAAGTCTTCTTTGGAAAAGGAAGCCCTGAAAAATCAGAGCTGGGTGTGTCGTTTGTTCTGTACATGAGAAAACTAATGAGGTATGGTGTGGTATAATTTACTGACAGTTGCTATTTACCAGTATGTGGTATTATTTACAGTACTGATGCTATGTGGTATTATTTACTGACAGTTGGGAGTGACATCAAGCACAGTTTCTTCTTCCCTAATGATCCTATTGTGTTTTGTTCCTATGCAGACAGAGAGCAACTGGCCACACAGGGCAAAGACAGAGAGCAACTGGCCATACAGGGCAAAGTGTATCCATAGACCAGGCCTCACAGACATGTCCTCAATCTGTGGCATAGAAGACCTCTTCTACCAGCTCCGGTTACACCCTACCTTCCGCCCTCCCACTGTTCACATCTTGATCTTGGAGTACAGTTTGTCGATCTGCTCCCTGAAGTAGTTCCTGAGTTCTGCTCGCTTGGCTTTCAGGGTGGGAGTGAGAAGGCCATTTTGGATAGAGAACATCTCTGTGTACAGGGTGATGTCCTTCACCTGATCAAAACAAGAGACATGAAACAGATAATAATTATGTTCTCTAGTTAAGACCTGATATGAAATAAAACAGACTGTGAATATTCTCTCAAATATTTTGTCAAAGATTAACCCTTTACCTGCTCAAAAGATTTCAGACCACTGTCTTTCCCTAGTTTCAAGAGGTCTTCCAAAATGGCCTTCTTTACATCCTACAGAGACAAAAACACTTCATTTCAATGTGAATTCTCCAACACATTCAAGTGGATGTTCCATATCAGGGATGGATGTTCCATATCAGGGATGGATGTTCCATATCAGGGATGGATGTTCCATATCAGGGATGGATGTTCCATATCAGGGATGGATGTTCCATATCAGGGATGGATGTTCCATATCAGGGACGGGCAACTAGAGCCCACAACCCCTCTTTTGTAGGCCCGCAGCTCAATCCCCCCCCCCCAAAAAAAAAAACTGTTGAGTCAGAATAGGAGAATGCACAAGATGCAATTTCAAAATGTAGTTTTATATCAGCACTTTCACTTATTATGTCAGTCACTGGCTGTCACTCAATTAGCCCATGTCAGTTAACATGTTTTGATAGTCTAGCCAGCTAACTTAACAATCTAAACTTGTAGTAATCATGGTCCAATTACAGACCGGGGGGCCCACATTGACATCCCTGTTCTATATGGAAAGAGACTGTTGAAAATATATAAAGTCTACTGTGAATCGGTGCAGATGGTCAGTGGTCCTACCATGTTGTTGCATAGGTCTCCATAGGATCCCTCCAGTCCTCTCTTCTTGGCCCAGCCAGGAAGGAAGTCAGGATCTGGCACAATGATGGCTACTAGGCATGCCTGGAGGAGAACACAACAGTATAGCTGAGGTCTGTGTATTCTCTCTCTCTCCACCTCATTCTCCAACGTTGCTATGGGCACCGCCAAACAACGGAAGTGATGGATTCGACTTCTGCTTTACTTCCCTACTGCAGTGCGCCAGTGGCAAACTTGCCAGAGTAAATTATTTGAAAGAGTCAATTTATAGAGTATAAAAGTAAACAAGTGTATAAGTGTAATTTTATATTTACTTAATTCAAGTTCGCTAAACGTTAGCTAGACCTACTAGTAGGCTAGTTCTGTTGTGATAATAACGTTGGTTGTGTCAGAGTTAAGGCCCGGGCCATCCACCAAGCCAATAACGGTAACAATAACTAATGATAAACTATAGGCTACATAACTATAAAACGTTGGTGAGCATCCACACTAGAGGAAAGTTTGTTTTACAGTCCTACACCTGTCAATCAACTGATCAACGCATCCTACTGCACACTGTCTATTAATAAGGTGTTTACACAGACCATTCATGAGGTCTAACGACAGATACTGGTTCAGACCATTCATGAGGTCTAACGACAGATACTGGTTCAGACCATTCATGAGGTCTAACGACAGATACTGGTTCAGACCATTCATGAGGTCTAACGACAGATACTGGTTCAGACCATTCATGAGGTCTAACGACAGATACTGGTTCAGACCATTCATGAGGTCTAACGACAGATACTGGTTCAGACCATTCGTGCTTTCAGGGTGTGTTCATTGTCAGTGACAACTGCAAATAATACTTTAACGTACAGTGCATTCTGAAAGTATTCAGACCCCTTGACGTTTTCCACATTTTGTTATGTTAAAGCCTTATTCTAAAATTGATTAAATTGTTTTCCTCAATCTACACACAATGCCCCATAATGACAAAGAGAAAAGTTTTTTTTTTTTTTTTACATTCTCTTTTAAAACATAAATACTTTATTTACATAAGTATTCAGACCCTTTGCTATGAGACATCCTGTTTCCATTGATCATCCTTGAGATATGTTTCTACAACTTGGAGTCCACCTGTGGTAAATTCAATTGATTGGACATGATTTGGAAAGGCAGCCACCTGTCTATTAAAGGTCCCACAGTTGCCAGTGCATGTCAGAGCAAAAACCAAGCCATGAGGTAGAAGGAATTGTCCGTAGAGCTCCGAGACAGGATTGTGTCGAGGCACAGATCTGGGGAAGGGTACCAAAAAATGTCTGCAGCATTGAAGGTCCCCAAGAACACAGTGGCCTCCATCATTCTTAAAATGGAAGACGTTTGGAACCACCAAGACTCTTCCTAGAGCTGGCCGCCCAGCCAATCTGAGCAATTGGGGGAGAAGGGCCGCGAGATCCCATAGGGCGGCGCACAATTGGCCCAGCGTTGTCCGGGTTTGGCCGGTGCAGGCCGTCATTGTAAATAAGAATTTGTTCTTAAATGACTTGCCTAGTTAAATAAAGGGTAAAAAAAAAAACTATCCTTGATGAAAACCTGCTCCAGAGCGCTCAGGACCTCAGACTGGGGCGAAGGTTCACCTTCCAAAAGGACAACAACCATAAGCACACAGCCAAGACAACGCAGGAGTGGCTTCGGGACAAGTCTCAATGTGGCCCTGCCAGAGCCCAGACTTGAACCCGATCGAACATCTCTGGAAGGCCAGAAAATAGCTGTGCAGCGACCTGACAGCGCTTGAGAGGATCTGCAGCAAAGAATGGGAGAAACTCCCCAAATACATGTGTGCCAAACTTGTAGCGTCATATCCAAGAAGATTCGAGGCTGTAATCGCTGCCAAAGGTGCTTCAACAAAGTACTGAGTAAAGGGTCTGAATATATTTCTAAAAAACTGTTTTTGCTTTGTATGGGGTATTGTGTGTAGATAAGGGGGAAAAAACAATTTAATCCATTTTAAAATAAGACTAAGGTAACAAAATGTGGAAAAAGTCAAGGGGTCTGAATACTTTCCGAATGCACTGTATGTAGGCTTAATGAAAAATAATATAGTAACTTACATTTACATTTACATTTTAGTCATTTAGCAGACGCTCTTATCCAGAGCGACTTACAGGAGCAATTAGGGTTAAGTGCCTTGCTTAAGGGCACATCGACAGATTTTTCACCTAGTCGGCTCGGGGATTAGAACCAGCGACCTTTCGGTTACTGGCACAACGCTCAAACTTCAATAACAAACGCTGTTTAGCCTGCACATCTTTCACAGCATGTCATTGCCTCGTTGCTCAAGTGGTTTGCAAGTGATTCCCATTTTTCTAATGGTTGTCAATTTCTCTGGTTCTCCTTTTTGACTGTGCTCATCTCTGTATGTCCTGCTGTGCAACTATTTGCAATGCATCCGTGCAACAATGTTATAACTGGCCAAAAGTGATCACACCACTGCACTTTCTTTCCTCAACTTTCCCCGACATGAATTTTTCTATGCTGCTTTAGGCCTGTTTTACATTCAGCAATTAGCAAGAGCAAGCCTGCTTCTTGCCCTGAATAGACTTTTAGGCTTAGTATTTAAAAAATTACCAAATGTCCTATAGATTTTGTAGCCTATAGCTTTTCCTTGGATTTCACGAGAAGAGGAGAGGCTTGCGTAGCCTATAGCCTGCTGCGCACAGGAACAGCTGGAAGAGAGGCGATAGTGATGTCTAGCCGAAGTAAGAAGCTAAATATTAGCTAGATATTAGGCCATTCATTCGATAAATATTAGGGCTATAGGCTAAATATTTACCAGTCAAAGTGCAAGAAAAATAAGTTAACAGATGAGGACATGGCAGATCTGTAGTGCGTTCCTCCAGGCTGCGCTCTGTGGTCCCTGGGCACGCAAAGCTCCACTATTGATTAGGCCTACGTTTTTAGACAATAACATTATTCTACCTGGTCTACAACAACACAGTGCAATGAGGAATGTATTATTGTTATCAAGTGATTACACAAGTATTGTCCATAAGCTGTAAACGGCAGTGATGTAGGTTAACTTGAATGACCTCTCACACCTCCTCTTTAGTTTCATGTCAAAATAACAACATAAGCCAACAGCCTAGACCTGGTCATGTAACCATTTGGATCAGTTTGGGTCTATTCTCTACAGTTTAGAAGGTCAGAAAGGTACATTAGCAGGACACTCATATGGTGTATGTTGTCAGGATGTAGCCCAGTGTTAAGACAGTAGGCCTATAGGACAATATGGTCTTCTCCTTTCCAACTCCCCGCCCGTTAATGCTGTAGCCTATTTTACACTTAGCAAACAAGAGCAAGCGTGCATCGCTCCTCCAATAGTCTATTAGTAGGCTAAAGAAAATAAGTGGAAATAAGTGTCCAACAAGCTTTTGTAGTCTGGCTTTTCCTGGGAGAATTGCAGTACAGAACAACGAAGACAGACAGGTTTGTAGTGTGGCTTTTCCTGGGAGAATTGCAGTACAGAACAACGAAGACAGACAGGTTTGTAGTCTGGCTTTTCCTGGGAGAATTGCAGTACAGAACAACGAAGACAGACAGGTTTGTAGTGTGGCTTTTCCTGGGAGAATTGCAGTACAGAACAACGAAGACAGACAGGTTTGTAGTGTGGCTTTTCCTGGGAGAATTGCAGTACAGAACAACGAAGACAGACAGGTTTGTAGTGTGGCTTTTCCTGGGAGAATTGCAGTACAGAACAACGAAGACAGACAGGTTTGTAGTGTGGCTTTTCCTGGGAGAATTGCAGTACAGAACAACGAAGACAGACAGGTTTGTAGTGTGGCTTTTCCTGGGAGAATTGCAGTACAGAACAACGAAGACAGACAGGTTTGTAGTGTGGCTTTTCCTGGGAGAATTGCAGTACAGAACAACGAAGACAGACAGGTTTGTAGTCTGGCTTTTCCTGGGAGAATTGCAGTACAGAACAACGAAGACAGACAGGTTTGTAGTGTGGCTTTTCCTGGGAGAATTGCAGTACAGAACAACGAAGACAGACAGGTTTGTAGTGTGGCTTTTCCTGGGAGAATTGCAGTACAGAACAACGAAGACAGACAGGTTTCAGATGTAGCCTATAGCCTAAATTAGCCTAAATTAGAAGCGTATGCATATTAGCCCATCATTCATAAGCTCAATGTTAAGCTTAATACTGCAGTGAATATCCAGTCAATTTACACAGCGAAAGAAAAAATAGTTTATCGGATAATGAAATCATAGTGTAGGCTACCTAACCTATGTTCGCTCCAGAGGCTGCGGCGTGCCGGATACTCAGCTTGAAAAGCTACCTTAAGGTTTCAGTTTGTTAGGGACAAGAAATGTATGCTACCTAGACTACAACAACACAATGTAATGAAGAATGTTATTACTGTTTTCAAGTGAGTGCAAAACTGTGGTCTAGGCTGTAAACTGTAGTGAATAGCCTATGTTATTTGAATAACCACTCAAAAGCCTGGCATTTTAAATGCATATTCATTTTGAAATAACTGCATCTAGCCTGCCTGATTGGGCAACTATTTGTTACAGTTATGGGTTTTTTTCTCGTCAGTTTAGCCTACAAGGTCCAGGCACATTAGCAGGACACAAAAATGGTGTATTTTGTCATGATGTATCAGCTAACAGAAACATACTAATGCAGGGATTTCTAGTGGCGCGCATATTAATTATGACAATGCTTGAGCGCGGAGAAAGTTGTATTCATAGGTTCTGCGTTTGGCTTCAGTGTTTTAAAAGCTTTCGAAAATGAGGTGGATACCAGGGTCGTATTCATTAGGATTAAACGTAGCAAAACGTTTTGCATCTAAATAACAAAAAGTGTTTCTTATTGGACAAGTGCAGGTAGTACCTCCCTGTTTAAGTCCATTCACTTTCCAATGAATATGACGTAGTAGTATATCCCTTTTCCTTATGGACACAGTATCAATCCCTCCTTACCTGTAGGCTGTCCCCGTGCACAAAGACCTGTGCCACTGCGTCACTCCTGGTGTAGATATTCTCAATCTTCTCCGGTGCAATGTACTCTCCCTGGGCCAGCTTGAAGATGTTCTTCTTCCTGTCCACAATTTTCAAAGTGCCGTTCTGTACACACAGATGAGAGATGGTAATAAGAGTGTTATGAAAGACTAGGCGGAAATAGAGGCTGTATACACACACTCACTGGCCAGTTTATTAGTTCACGGAAATGGATCGCTCCTACAGTGAGTCACGTGGCCGTGGCTTGCTATATAAAGCAGGCAGACAGGCATCCAGTTACTGTTTGAACGTTAGAATGGGCAAAACGAGTGACCTAAGCGACTTTGAGCGTGGTATGATCGTCGGTGCCAGGTGTGCCAGATCCAGTATCTCAGAAACGGCCAGTCAGCGGCAGCCCTGTGGGCGAAAACAGCTCGTTGATGAGAGAGGTCGAAGGAGAATGGCAAAAATCATGCAAGCTAACAGGCGGGCCACAAACAGACAAATAACGGCGCATTACAACAGTGGTGTGCAGAACGGCATCTCCGAACGCACAACTCGTCGATCCTTTTCACAGATGGGCTATTGCAGCAGACGACCACACCGGGTTCCAGTCCTATCAGCTAAAAACAAGAAGAAGTGGCTCCAGTGGGCACGCGATCACCAACACTGGATAATTGAGGAGTGGAAGCACATCGCCTGGTCCGACGAATCCCGGTTCCAGTTGTGTCATGCTGATTACAGAGTCAGGATTTCGCGTAAGCAACATGAGTCAATGGCCCATCCTGCCTGGTGTCAATGGTACAGGCTGGTGACGGTGGTGTACCGCTGTCCAATCTGCAGAAACTGCATGATGCCATAGCGTCAGCATGGACCAACATCCCTGTGGAACATTTCCAACTTGTAGAATCCAAGCCCCGAAGAATTCAGGCTGTTCTGGAGGCAAAGGGGGGTCTGACCGTTACTAGATGGGTGTACCTAATAAACTGTCCAGTGTGTGTGAGTGAGTGAGACACAAACACACACTCACCGGTAACCACTTGCCAATGTCCCCTGTGTGGACCCAGCCGTTAGCGTCAATGGTCTCCTCAGTCTTCTCTGGGTCCTTCAGGTAGCCCAGAAACACATTGGCTCCTTTCACACACACCTGGAAAGACAGACACACACACAGTATAGACTGAGTGCATGGAGTGTAAAGGGGACATGACCTATTTCAATGTTGATGAGGTAAACACTGCAAATACACATCAATCTTTACATAACATTCTGGATGCATCCCAAATGACACCCTATTCCCTTTATAGTGCACTACTTATGACCAAAGGCCCTGGTTAAAAGTAGTGCACTATACAGGGAATAGGGTGCCATTTGTGACAGACTTCAGTAGAGTAATTGCTTCATGTTAAACAACGCCACTGGGCACTGAGGGCAATGCCAGGCTCCCACCCACCTCTCCCTCTCCATTGGCAGCCAGGTAGTTCATCTCAGCCACATCCACCAGCTTCACAGAGTTACATGGCAGGGGCGCTCCCACATGACCTGGGGAGGGAAGCACAGAAACAGCCCAGACAGAGTTAGCCTCCATAACACAAGTAGGTGTGTGTCTCAAATGGCACCCTATTCCCTATATAGTGCACTAACTTTGACCAGAGCCTTATGGAATAGGGTGCCATCCCTCACAGGACCCCCAGGGGGAGGTGGTGCCTGGGTATAGTATACAACCTCTCTTCATAAATGGGATGACTAATGTGTGTGACGGTTAATGTGACGGTGTGGAAGTTTGCTCATTACCTGCGGTCCAATCCCCTGGTACGGTCATTGTGCAGCCAGCTGTGCATTCAGTCTGTCCATACCCCTCATACAGCTGTTGAGGGGAAATATAGACTTGTTTGGCACGGTTTCCATTATGCAGGACTGGGGCTGTCCTAGACTGCATGGGAGTCTCATATTGATAACATACAGCTGGATTTATATCAATACCAAACTGACAGGCAAATTTCTACCTGAGAAACTGTAATTGTCTTGAATGGTAAGTTAACCATTTACCCATCACCGTGACTTCCAGAGCCTGGACCTTGCACTAGTCCGACACAAACATATAGCCCCTATAATCCACTGGCCTGGGAACACATTCGAGATCCTACAGCTGGGCATCAGTATACCACCAGACTACAACCTCCGCTGGCGCTATCCTATCCCAGAATGCACCAGTGGAGACCCTAAGACAGACTCACTTGGCAGCCCAGCACAGCTCGCAGGAAAGTCAGCACCGTTGCAGACACGGGGGCAGCACCCGTCATCATCAGACGCACCCTTCCTCCCAGACTGGCCTACGGGGGGCACCAGAGAGAGACAACAATCAGGAGATCATTATGATGGCTGGACAAGTTTTCGACATGTTTCACTTTTGCTGAACTATGTGCCAATCAGTGATCTGTGGAGCACAGTGGTTTTCTCAGTCAGGGAGGAGATACAGTACCTGCACTTTCCTAAAGATGAGTTTGTCCCATATGCTGTCCCTCCTAACGATGCCACTCAGCAACTCGGCCTCCTTCCTCTTATAAGCAAAGTCCAGCACCCACCTCTTCAGAGAGGTGTTAGCCTGCCCATAGATCTGAAGATAGGGCATTATGAGGTCAAAATACAGCAACAACTGTAGTCAACACGAGTGCTGTAGCAGGCAGCAGGGCATTACAGGAAACGTAGTTAGAAGAGTCAGTGTTTCTCACCTTGTCGAACATCCTGTTGAGGAGGCGTGGCACCACAGGGAACACTGTAGGCCTCAGGGTGGCGACGTCATCCATCAGCAGGCGGATGTCTCCCTGGAAGAAACCAATCCGCCCCCCGTGCACCAGAATGACCCCCTGGGGTGAGAGGTCAGGATAGCACAGAGGTGGTGAGGACAAATTATGTGTAAAACCCAAACAGGTCTGTAGATTTGGGAGCATTTTATGGCAAAAAAAGCACCACGCATTTACATTGTAGGAGAAGAATTTGAAGGTCAGAGGATTTACAGTAGCACAAAGATATAAATGCATGGATACATACCTCCACGACCCTCTCGAACATATGGGCAAGTGGCAGGTAGGATATATGAACATCATGGTGGTCTAATTTGAGGTGTTCCTAAAGGATACACATGCACGACAAACGCAACACATACAAAAGACAAGGGGAGATATTGATTATGTTACCCCCTACCTCCACCACCCGCTCAAACATGTGTGCCAGAGGCAGGTATGAGAGCAGTACATCCTCGTGGTTGGGCAGGCAACAGTTCTGGAGCCCACAGAACCAGAGGAGAGTAGATGAGGACAGGACAGGACAGAGGCAGGCCAGAGCAGCACAGAGACACACAGGGTTAGCATGTTAGCACTGAAACAGACACACAGGGTTAGCATGTTAGCACTGAAACAGACACACAGGCATTAGCAGAGAGGAGAGAAAGAGGTTCAGAAATAAGTTACAGCAAAAATAGAGTTTAGCGGTAAAGTTTGGCACAAGGTTTCACAGCACAATTTTACAGACAGCAACAGACAGTCCTCATGAGCAGGTGGGTATCATATTAGATGGTAGACAGTGTATATACTGTCAACATGACTAGGTTGGGTGTAAACATGATATTTGATACCATCTTTCCTCACAATCATTAGCTCTTATGGTTCACGCCTATAGGCAATATTTGAATACCAAGGGTATGAGGAGAAGACTTTGCATATGAAGCTTGGCACAAATCTATTTGCTCACACACAAGTACCGTCAACAGTAGAATCAAAATATATGTCAACAGATGTGTTAGTTGTAAAACAACACTGTCCCATTGCTTTACCTCAATGACCTTGATGAAGGCAGAGCAGTTGGCAGCAACATTCCCATGTGTTAGCATGGCTCCCTTTGGGTTCCCTGAGGAAGACAACACAGAAATGAGACTAGCCGCATAATAATAATAATAATAATAATTAATCATTTAGCAGACGCTCTTATCCAGAGCGACTTACAGGAGCAATTAGGGTTAAGTGCCTTGCTCAAGGGCACATCGACAGATTTTTCACCTAGTCGGCTCGGAGATTAGAACCAGCGACCTTTCGGTTACTGGCACAACGCTCTTAACCACTAAGCTACCTGCCGCCCTGCATACATGTGGCTTTCTACAGTGTGGACACATTAAACAGCACTCTTCAGATAGAGCCACACAAGAGGGACAGAGGCCATCTTAGGACAGTGCTCAGTTTGGCATTGGATCATAAGATGGCGTACCCGTGGTTCCACTGGTGAAGCAGATGATAGCCATGTCTTCAGGACTGGGAGGCTGCAGAGAGCAAAGGGTCACAGGTCAAAGAACTGAATGAATGAAAGCTAAATCAAACTCCAATCAATATGGGGCAGGAGGGAGGAACAGGCATCTTTACTCACAACTGGTTGGTGGTGGTGGGCCTTGCCGATAGCCTAGAAGAAGACAATATGAATGAAGGTTACTTGAATATGTACTAGCACTAGCTACTCTCATGGGACAACACCAGGTTGTAGGACTTCACTTGTGGTAAAGACAGACGCAAAACAACACAATTCTAGACTGCGCCTGCCCTGCCTTAAGTCTGCAGTTTAGCACACAAAAACAAAAAGACAATCTCAGAGAATTTGAAGCAAATTTAGTTCAGGAAGTGGTAAAACAGACAAGAGAATGAACCCCAGCAGACTAGTTATGAGTCAGAGTTTCTCCCCTCACCTCCACTTGGCTCAGGCTGAGGATGTCGATGCCACAGTCCTTCCCCTTGGCCACCAGCTCATCATCAAAAGGCTCCATGAGGATGATGGTTCTGACACTGTGCTCCCTGCCAGACACACACGCCAGGACTAGCCTGGCCTTCTCAGGGACGTCACACAGTATGCTGGAAATGGTGGCTGTGCGCATGCGTACACACACACACAAAGAGATCAATAGGGTCAACCACCATATCCACAAGAAAGTATCTCAATGAGATAAGCTGGACATATAAAAGCTGATGAAAATATGACATCAATTTAAATGTATTCTTATTTGAGAGCTTCTCTGGGTTGTTGCTCACCTTTGTCGATGACGTAGGTGATGGCCTCAGTACCCAGAGTGTCATACAGGGGCACAGCCACCAGAGAGAAGGTATAGCAGGCCAGCTCAGCGATGGCCCACTGCAGACGCACAGCACACATGACCAATCTACCGCTATCAGTACTGCTTCTACAGAGTTATGCCTGTGTAGTATTTACCCCACATGTAGCAGATTCAGAATGAACCAGTTGAACATTGTATGCAGCACTTCAATGTTTGTGACTGTGTGCTATTACTGTACTGCTCTTCAAGTGGTCTTGCTCACCTCTGGTCGGTTCTGAGCAAAGATGCCGATGAACTGGTCTTTGGTTTTAGTGTGTCCCCTGTGGAGCAGCGCAGAGCCCAGGTTCTCTGCCTTCTCTGCTACCTGGGGGTGGAGGACACACAGCATGTTAGGGGAGGGGAGGGGGGGGGGGGCACACAGCTCGTTAGGGGAGGAGGGGTGGAGGGCACACAGCTCTTTAGGGGAGGGGGGTGGAGGGCACACAGCTCGTTAGGGGAGGGGGGGGTGGAGGGCACACAGCTCGTTAGGGGAGGGGGGGTGGAGGGCACACAGCTCTTTAGGGGAGGAGGGGTGGAGGGCACACAGCTCGTTAGGGGAGGGGGGGGTGGAGGGCACACAGCTCGTTAGGGGAGGAGGGGTGGAGGGCACACAGCTCTTTAGAGAAGGGGTGGAGGGCACACAGCTCTTTAGAGAAGGGGTGGAGGGCACACAGCTCGTTAGGGGAGGAGGGGTGGAGGGCACACAGCTCGTTAGGGGAGGAGGGGTGGAGGGCACACAGCTCGTTAGGGGAGGGGGGGTGGAGGGCACACAGCTCGTTAGGGGAGGGGGGGTGGAGGGCACACAGCTCTTTAGGGGAGGGGGGTGGAGGGCACACAGCTCTTTAGGGGAGGAGGGGTGGAGGGCACACAGTCTTTAGGGGAGGGGGGTGGAGGGCACACAGCTCTTTAGGGGAGGGGGGGAGAGGGCACAAGTCGTTAGGGAGGGGGGTGGAGGCACACAGCTCTTTAGAGAAGGGGTGGAGGGCACACAGCTCTTTAGAGGGGATGGAGGGCACACAGCTCGTTAGGGGAGGAGGGGTGGAGGGCAACAGCTCTTTAGGGGAGGGGGGGGGGTGGAGGGCACACAGCTCTTTAGGGGGGGGTGGAGGTGCACACACTCGTTAGGGGAGGGGGTGGAGGGCACAGCTCTTTAGGAAGGGGTGAGGGCACACAGCTCGTTAGGGGAGGAGGGTGGAGGGCACACAGCTCTTAGGGGAGGGGGGTGGAGGGACACAGTCTCTTTAGGGGAGGGGGGGTGGAGGGCACACAGTCTTTAGGGAGGGGGGGTGGAGGGCACACATCTCTTTAGGGGAGGGGGGGTGGAGGCACACAGCTCTTTGGGGGGAGGGTGTGGAGGGCACAGCTCTTTAGGGGAGGGGGGGGTGGAGGGCACACAGCTCGTTAGGGGAGGGGGGTGGAGGGCACACAGCTCTTTAGGGGAGGGGGGGGGTGGAGGGCACACAGCTCTTTAGGGGAGGGGGGGGGTGGAGGGCACACAGCTCTTTAGGGGAGGGGGGTGGAGGGCACACAGCTCTTTAGGGGAGGGGGGGTGGAGGGCACACAGCTCTTTAGGGGAGGGGGGGTGGAGGGCACACAGCTCTTTATGGGAGGGGGGTGGAGGGCACACAGCTCTTTAGGGGAGGGGGGGTGGAGGGCACACAGCTCTTTAGGGGAGGGGGGTGGAGGGCACACAGCTCTTTAGGGGAGGAGGAGTGGAGGGCCCACAGCTCTTTAGGGGAGGGGGTGGAGGGCACACAGCTCTTTAGGGGAGGGGGGGGTGGAGGGCACACAGCTCTTTAGGGGAGGGGGGTGGAGGGCACACAGCTCGTTAGGGGAGGGGGGTGGAGGGCACACAGCTCTTTAGGGGAGGGGGGTGGAGGGCACACAGCTCGTTAGGTAGTTAGTGATACATACTGCAGGAGGAATGACTCAGCAGAACACATGGGACGTATTCATTAGTGCACACTGTAGCAAAACATTTTGCAGCGGAAAATGTTTTTGCAGGAAGGGTTTCTTATTGGACAAGTTCAGGGAGTCCCTCTCCGTTTCCGTCTGTTTTCATCCGTTTGGAGTCTAGTGAATATGACCCTGCTGTCTCAGAGGAGAGGGGGAACACTAGGGAGAGTTACAGAGGACTATCAGTTCCTCACTGGGGGGGATCCCTTGTGGTTTGGATGGGTGTGGCTGGCTTTCTGTTTAAACAGACCACTCAGACACACCATGGGGACTTGTAGACTGTCTAATTATGATAGAATAGTGCACCAAACAATATTTTACTGCCTAAAACTACATTTGGTATAACACCTAACCAGAAATATATTCATCACACTATAACAAGAGAAAGTGACAGATGAATGTTGTTGTGCTGGAGTGTGTTACATTGCAAGGTGTCAAGACATCCTACCTCGGAGTATGACAGCCACTCATAGGACTGGTTTGGTTGTCTTGCTCCAAGACAGGGACCATTCTCTAGTGGAGAAAACACAAAATTAACATTTCAAATCACCTTAATGTCCTAGTATGTCAAGTATAGTCTACATAAGGTGCTTAGAGAGACACTCACTGGAGACCCGTGCGCCCCTGAGGAAGAACTCATACATGGTCTTGGCATCGTCGTACAGGTGGGTCATGTGTTTGTCGCTGTCCATCAGCGCTGACCGGCGGGCATACTCTCCTCCCTGACAGGAAACACAGTACCACATTAAACATCCATCATACAGGCGACTAGCTCACTGTCTGACTACCATAGGTATGACCCATAGACATCTGCACAAACACCAAGGTCATCCAAGGCCTGTAAAATAACACAGATTTCAAACTGACGAACTCCTCTGTGTGCTAATGGAGGAATGACTAGCTTGCTGTGGAGAAGACTTTCAACAGGGTTGTTCATTGTGCTCATCCATCCTGTTATTTTCAGAGTCATTTCTGCTTGTGTGAAGCATCGTATTTACTCACTCAAGTATAGCCACACACGCATCTAACTATGCTGGCCAACGCCTTTTCCAGGCCAAGTGTGGTGGTTACGCTCCAACCATAAAATAATGCCACTCTCAGGCCACAACTGTGAAACCAAGGGCACTAGAGACCAGGCCGGCCACTACTCAAACAGCCTCATGCACCTCCACTGTGTGAGTATACCACAGCCCTGCACTCAGGATAGTAGCCTATATCGTTAGCTGGGGTATACAGCCGTTAATATGACTCATGAAGTGAGGTGTTTACTTGAAGAGGCAGCTTGATGCAGGAATGAAAGTAACCAGAAAGAATGTGTACCTCTTTACACATAAACAATACCTTCAGGCATTGCCAAGTCATACAGAAATCATGCCATGTCCTTTACAGTAGCAGGTCGGTCATGACTCTCCTTACCGGAACCTCGACGGACTGCATTCTCAGGTCGCATGGTGGCTTCAGGGCCTTGGGCCGGGTGGTGTACCAGTAGGTTGTGAGGGCAGCGAACGCCCCTACTCCCACCAACGTGTGTGTGGACAGGCTACGCAGGTATTGCCGTACCTCATCCAGCTCGGGGATGCGCAGCTGATTCAGGAGCTGCTGGGCTTGCATGGTTGGGCCTTAGCTAGCGTCTCTGTCTGTGGGAAAGAAGAGGTTCGTTAAATGAACATACAGTCACGTATTATGTCCTATGTCCATAACCATCAAACAAATTTCCTCCTGGTGGGAAATCAAATTATTTATAAATCGAATCATAATCCGTATCCTGAAAAGGTCATTTTCTATGTTAGATAGCTACTAGCTTAGCAAGCACTAAGCAGAGAACACTGGTTGTGAAAGTAACAGTCCATATGTTACTCTATATTTGAAAGATCATACTTTCGCTTTGTTTAATCTCAGGTTTGAATTTCCCATGGCATGATTTCAGCATTCATTCACTAATAGCTAGTCTTATCCTCTGTGTGAAACTACTAGTCTGTAGAACAATGGATTGACTACTATGCTCTCAATTACCTTCTTTCTTTCTTTAATAAGAGGTAGGGACAGGAACACCTCTCAGTGTTGTCATGAAAACACACAGAGCTGAGGGTCCTTTATAGTGGGTGTAGTGTTGTGGCTCTATTGAACTTTGGACCAGATAGTTGCCTTTAGCCTACATACCAGTGTCTTGGTCCTTGACATTACATTTACATTTAAGTCATTTAGCAGATGCTCTTATCCAGAGCGACTTACAAATTGACTAAGGTAGATTAACCCTCTAGTCTAAACTGCAGGGGGGGGGATACTAAACTAACATATGGAATTGTTTTGAGAATTGTTTTAAGATGGAATTGCTTTAAGACCCCTTAAGGTATCAAAAATATTTGATGAAACATTGAATTTGGCCTTACTGCATGGAACAACATATAGTCCACAAAAAAATCTAAAGGAAGTTTGTGAACTGACTTCAGACGAGTCCCTTAACTCAAAGCAAAATGGGGAACACCATAGTGTTCGTGAGAGTCTCATATTGCCATAGAGGTGTCATTTAGTAGGCCAAACCGTTCAGGCGCTACAAACGTTTTCATGAGGCCGATTTACGGGATGTCTCATGGTCTGACAAACAATGCTGTAGCTCTGCCACCTTTCACCGCAGATGTGGATTGACGACATCAGCGTACGTGGTCGATTGAGACACATCCAATGCAAAATAACAGATATCTCTAGCTTTAACTGACGGATTTTGATGGGGATTTTTTATTATGCTAATTATAATTTTGCAGGGCCATCGACTCTGGGGGGTTAAGAGACAATTTAATTGGTGAATGAGGCGTTTAAACTCAGAACACTCATTGATATCGATGCAACCCCTACCCCTGTTCAAAGCCTTAATGGTCAAAGAAGATGATTGAATGGTCGGGGTGCCGGAAAATAATTATAATAATTTGTACACTTCCAATTAACCACAACTAGGCTTAAAAATATAATTTCATAACTTGAATTACATTGAAACACGACTACGTCTCTTCGAACAGACTTCCTAAATTAAACTCACTTTTAGCTGAATTCCTAGTGATGTCTTTTTTTTGTGCCGAAAACTAATTTAAATAACTTCTCACATACATACAGTGCATTCGGAGAGTATTCAGACCCCTTGACTTTTTCCAAATGTTGTTATGTTATAGCCTTATTCTAAAATGTGTTAAATTAATTGTTTTCCTAATCAATCTACACACAATTCCCCATAAAACAGGTTTTTATACATTTTTGCAAATGTTTTACAAAACATTAATTTAAAAAATACCTTATTTACATAAGTATTCAGACCCTTTGCTATGAGACTCGAAATTGAGCTCAGGTGCCTCCTGTTTCCATTGATCATTCTTGAGATGTTTCTACAACTTGATTGGAGTCCACCTGTGGTCAATTCAATTGATTGGACATGATTTGGAAAGGCACACACCTGTCTATATACAGTTGACCTTGCATGTCAGAACAAAAACCAAGCCATGAGGTCGAAGGAATTGTCCGTAGAGCTCCGAGACAGGATTGTGTCGAGGCACAGATCTGGGGAAATATACCAAAAAAATTCTGCAGCATTGAAGGTCCCCAAGAACACAGTGCCCTCCATCATTCTTAAATGGAAGACATTTGGAACCATCAAGACTCTTCCTAGAGCTGGCTGCCCGGCCAAACTGAGCAATCGGGGGAGAAGGGCCTTGGTCAGGGAGGTGACCAAGAACCCGATGGCCACTCTGACAGAGCTCCAGAGTTCCTCTGTGGAGATGGGAGAACCATCCAGAAGGACAACCATCTCTGCAGCACTCCACCAATCAGGCCTTAATGGTAGAGTGGCCAGACGTATTGTGTGTAGATTGATGAGGGGGAAAAAACAATTGAATCCATTTTAGAATAAGGCTGTAACGTAACAAAATGTGGAAAAAGTCAAGGGGTCTGAATACTTTCATTTACTAAAATCTTTGCTGACCTCTGTTGCCAACTATCCAGTCAAACAAGTGATTAAATCCACATCAGTTAGCTAGATAAAGCAGTTATCTAGATAGATAGTGTGTCATGATAACGCCAACAGCCCTGGGTTCAGAATATGGAGGTGATGGTCCCCATGCAGTGTCAGCACTGGATCATGCCTGGCAGGCAGGAGGAATGTGGGCCATTGACGTAACATGTAACCCTAAAGGACCAACATGACTTCTCACCTACTTCTTCTGTCTATTATTGTCCCATGCATTTATTCTCAGACTGTTACACACCGACACATTACCTGCTGCTAGAAACATACACAACACAAAGAGGAAAAAAGTATTCTCAAGTCAGGGTCCACGCTTTCCTGTCAAGTAGGCTATTTGATAGAGTTTAGAGACAGTGTGGTGGAAGTGGCACAATAACAGGCTGACCAATTTATAACCAAGCCTCAGTCAAACGTTCAAAGCCTTACTCTAGTACTTCCATTTCAGTAAAAAGCCTAACAACCATAAACCTCTGATCTGCCTACAAGCTTCCCTTCCCCAGGTTTTACAAGCAGTGTGGAGAGGTTTAAACAGAGCACCATGGTGTGGTGTAAACTCACAGATGTCCTTCAGGTGTCTTTCAGGCCGTCTCCACAGCAGATATGCAACCAAGAGTGTCCTTATGATCCACAACCCAAAACCAGACAGCCTGCCACCAAACAAAACAGGGTGACAATACTGGGGTCTCAGAACTGGTCAAAACTACTGCACTTTTCAGCAAACGCTAGTGTAGTGAGCTACGAGACTACTGCCTCCAAGAGTAGCTAGCTGATCCAAAGTGTCACTGATTCAGAGAAGCCACATGTTTCCTATAAATAGCATGAGATAACAGCAACATAGCTGTGGCTGGACACAGTGTCATACAGTGAGGTCCAAATGTATATGGACAGTGAAATTTTTTTAAATATATTTTTTTCACTTTGTGCCTCTAACTTTCTCACTCATCATTATTCATGATTCATTCAGGATTATCCGTAATGATGGTAGCATCCACATTAATGTATTACCTGAAACACAAACAAAACAAACTGCAAATGCATCCAACAACTTTGTAAAGTCACAAGCTTTATGTAGTCATTGCGTGCTAGGAATATGGGCCAAAATACAAAACTTTGGACTACTTTAATAAACATAAGTGAACTTGTCCAAATACTTTTGGGGGGGGGACTATGTACAAAAAGTGCTGTAATTTCTAAACGGTTCACCCTATATGGATGAAAATACCCTCAAATTAAATCTGACAGTGAGTCTGCACTTTAACCTCATTGTATTATTTCAAAGTGCTGGAGCACAGAGCCAAAACAACAACAAACGTGTCACTGTACATACAACACATGCACACACGTCTTTAGCTAATCAGAAGGAAAGACAAACGTCTTCTTAGCGGGTCAATACATCTGTCCTCACAGGTGGCTGGCCAGTGGACAATAGTGCAGGAGTCTATCTGGTCAGATGACAGTTCACTGTGACCAGAGGACAGGTAATATGTAATGTATCAAAGATCAAAAGGTCAGACTCGATGGTCCAACCCCATTGGCCAGAAGCCCTCAGATATCCGCTGAGTCAGCTGAATGATTACAAGAAGTGGAGATAGTGAAGACTGAGTGGGTGAAGATGGGATATGGTTAAAGAGGTGTTTGAAAATACCTTTTAACAGCAACTTTTACTGGGAAAAGTATTAGTGGACAGGACAGGACTGTGCTTCTGTTCAATGGATGGGGAGGTTAATCAGCTATGTACCACTGTGTGTAGGCATACTTACTCCAAGAACTTTGAATAATATGTTCCATCCTGATGCTGACAGAGGACATAGATCAAGTAGTACCACTACCAGGCCAAGAACATCAGCCAAGGTCTGGCCAGGGAAGTCATGCATCCATTCACATCATAGCCTAGCCTGCTCTCCCAGGTTTTTCTGCCTTCCAGCCCAAAGGTAACCTGAACCCTACTACAGCAGCCCCCCCCCCACGGGTAGTAAAGGATCACCCCATGGCCTATCAGCCAAACAGACTAAGGAAAGGGAGGGAGGAGCGGGAGGGAAGCTATTTAAAACAAAATGACGTTTGAATGGAAAATACTGGGCAGGAGGTATGTTGTGTGTTAGTGTGTGTGTGTGTTGGGTAGGGGGAGCAACTCCCATTTACACGTAGAACAATTTAGGGAGTGTGAGCCATCAGACGTTAAAACACTGAAGTTCAACTGGAGACTCATGTCAAAGCCTTTGCATAAGCACACGGTTTAATCTACAACCCCACAGTTATGGACTCCTGGTTAATCTCATCAGTCATTTACCTCATCTTCATTACTTATTGACATACATCCAGAGCAATGCTTGTTTCAGAGGCGTTGTGACTCAGAAGTTACTGGTGAGTGGTGTGCGCGTCCTTCAAGCCAAATCTTTTCATTCACTGACTGGGTTTATTTACATGGTACATTCCACACTTCTGGCTCAGATTATATCACAGTCACTCTCAATACACACATACTCACTTCACTACTAGTGGCCAAGTCTAAGCAGCAGCACAGTGACTGGAGTTGACAGACCCCCCTTTCAGGCAGGTCACCTAAGGATTGAGAAGGGGGACAAACTCACCACATTAGGTTCATTAAAAAGCTCATCCTAACCCTAACCTTGTAAGAAAAAGACTGCAGTGTTTACAATAATGCAACACCTGAACACATCCAAAACTTGGAGGCATTACAGTAAAATACTATGATCATTACACTATTGGAGGCATTGCAGTACAGTACTATGATCATTACACTATTGGAGGCATTACAGTACAGTACTATGATCATTACACTATTGGAGGCAGTACAGTACTATGATCATTACACTATTGGAGGCATTACAGTACAGTACTATGATCATTACACTATTGGAGGCAGTACAGTACTATGATCATTACACTATTGGAGGCATTACAGTACAGTACTATGATCATTACACTATTGGAGGCATTACAGTACAGTACTATGATCATTACACTATTGGAGGCATTGCAGTACAGTACTATGATCATTACACTATTGGAGGCATTACAGTACAGTACTATGATCATTACACTATTGGAGGCATTACAGTACAGTACTATGATCATTACACTATTGGAGGCATTACAGTACAGTACTATGATCATTACACTATTGGAGGCATTACAGTACAGTACTATGATCATTACACTATTGGAGGCATTGCAGTACAGTACTATGATCATTACACTATTGGAGGCATTACAGTACAGTACTATGATCATTACACTATTGTTCCAACTGAATGTGTTAAATAAGATGAGGACCCTTTGTATACATGCAAAATGGACTAAAGTAGTAACAACATGAATTAAGATAATTTCAGCAAGGTCACAACAATCGAGCCCTATGTTTCTGGACAGCTCTGTAAGTAGTAATGGGGGGGGGGGGGGGGGGGGGTGTATCGTGAAGTCCCTAAGTATGGTGCTAATATCATATCATGAGGTCCCTAGCAATTCCTAGACCTATCTGTAAGGCTGCACACAGTCTGCCCCGTCTGGCCTCTCCCAAGCATACAAGCACCACCCTTTAGAGTGAGGATGAGTGGCAGAAGTGCCCTCTAAACTCAGAGTCCTAGTTAAGCTACGTCCTATGAGGTTTAGGAGACCGTCAGTCAGGAACAGTCAGTCCAGGGGTGTATTCATTATGTATTGCAACAGAAACCGTTTACGAACCAAACAGAACGAAACCGGACCTGCCTGATTTTGTCCAATAGAAACACATTGTTGTTGCAAAACATTTTCTGTTCAGAGTAAACCGTTTCTGTTGCAAAACGTTTTGCAACAGAAGAATCCGGATAATACATTCAACCTAGGTTAATGGCTTTCAAATGACATAATGAATGCATCTGTTCCTGTTCTACAAAGACAAAACAATGTCATTAATACTCAGAACGTCATCTCATCACTTAGACCCCTAAATCATTAATGCCATACATTGGTTTCAACACTCTGTCCACTCTAAAGCATCTTTATTGGTTAGTGAAGCAACGCCATTGATCAGTCTAGGCTACTTGTGGTCACACTGGATAAGCTTGGATTACCTTTGCCCAAGTGAACTAGGATCACTTGGCCAAAGGTTGCAGCAGAACAGACCTCTCAGAGACCTTTCCCCTTACATCAGGTGTGTCAAACTCATTCCATGAAGGGCCTAATGTCTGCAGGTTCTTTCTTTCAATTAAGACCTACACAACCAGGTGAGGGGACCTTAATTCATCAATCACGTACAAGGGAGGAGTGAAAACCCGCAGGCTCTCGACCCACCGTGGAATGAGTTTGACATCTGTGCCTTACATTGTCTCAAGACAGGCGACCAGGCCAGAGTAACTTGTTATTGACCAAGAGTTTGTTAAAATAGTTGTACAGATTTCAATTTGTACACATAGGCATATACGAAACAATACAACCAGCAACTCGGCAAGTGCAATGGGAAAAACAACGTCCTCATAATAATTGGGCTCCCGAGTGGTGCAGCGGTCTAAGGCACTGCATGCATCTCAGTGCTTGAGGTGTCACTACAGACCCCCTGGTTTGATTCCAGGCTGTATCACAACCGGCTGTGATTGGGAGTCCCATAGGGAGGCGCACAATTGGCCCAGCGTTGTCCGGGTTTGGCCGGTGTAGGCCATCATTGTAAATAAGAATGAGTTCTTAACTGACTTGCCTAGTTAAATAAAGGTACAATAAAATAAATAGGCTTTGGGGAGGTTTTTGTATCTGACCACAATCACCCTAATACTCCTATGACACCGTAAAGGAGTTTAACTAGTCTCACTAAAACTTCTCCAAGACATAGTGTGAAATGACAAGACATTGCAAGTGTGTGTGTATGACACACAGGGGTCAGGGAGGATTAACGGGCGTGCAAGAACAAAAGTGACAGCTGAGCTGGGACATGTTGAGCCATCCAATGAGGGAGTGTCACCTTTCACCTCAATACCTGCGGTAGAGAGAGGGGAGAAATGACCCGACTGCTACCGATTCAGGCATGGGTTGAGAAGGCAAGGGCATGATGTAACTTTTAAAACTCACAGTAGGGTTATAGCACAACCGAAATACATTTGGAAATACTAGCTACTGCTAGTTACCAAGTCTAACTACAATCAGAAAAATTGCAATAACTGCTAAGGCACACACAATTTAACCCATTGATTTGGTTTAACCTAGTGTGAGACACGTTTAATTGATAAATAGCGAAGTACAATGTTTTTGCTGCTAATTAATCTGGATAGGAGTAGCACGCCTACTTTTAGCTAACAAATTGACATGGCATTATGAGCAACTGTTACCAAGACGTGGCTTTGTCGCTAGCGTGTGTAATTCTAGTTGCTATGACATTACGTATGGATCCGATCCATTCAAGCCATAAATCAACAAATGCATATAATGAGACTAAATCAGCCATCATTCCTAGTTACAATTATAAACAACGTTTATTTCATTGTATATTTTTGGCATTATTAATATTTGCATACATCTGCTGAACAGCGTTTCCATTCATCATTGATACATACCGGTATTTCAAGTTAGATAAAGGCGTTGAATAGTCTCGTCTGTGAAGCATCAATAGGTTTCTAAAGTAATCTATCGTAAAAACACGACATAGAAAACAACGACCACCAACCTTTGCAGCGCGCCAGCCTTGTGATATTGACCATGCGTCCTGGAGGAGGGCATGTCCGTGGTACACCCGGCTCGTGAGGCGACGCTTAGCCAATCAGAGCCTATATACGTTGCGTTTGACTCAAAATCTTTGTGTGGGCACTACTCATTGGTGAATTTTGCCACCGTCTCTTTAACGCTTGTAAAATAATTGTTGTACGCT